GAGAGGGGAGAGGGGAGAGAGAGGGGAGAGAAGAGAGAGAGGGGAGAGAAGAGAGAAGAGAGGGGAGAGAAGAGAGAAGAGAGAAGAGAGAAGAGAGAAGAGAGAAGAGAGAAGAGAGAAGAGAGAAGAGAGAAGAGAGAAGAGAGAAGAGAGGAGAGAGGAGAGAGGAGAGAGAGAGAAGAGAGAGGAGAGAGAGAGAAGAGAGAGAAGAGAGAGAGGAGAGAGAGAAGAGAGGAAAGCAGAGAGAAAGATAACAGAGAGGAGAGAGGAGAGGAGAGAGGAGAGGAGAGGGGAAAAGGAGGGGAGAGGAGAAGAGGAGAGAAGAGGAGAGAAGAGGAGAGAAGAGGAGAGAAGAGGAGAGAAGAGGAGAGAAGAGGAGAGAAGAGGAGAGAAGAGGAGAGAAGAGGAGAGAAGAAGAGAGAAGAGAGAAGAGAGAAGAGAGAAGAGAGAAGAGAGAAGAGAGAAGAGAGAAGAGAGAAGAGAGAAGAGAGAAGAGAGAAGAGAGAAGGGAGAAGAGAGAAGAGAGAAGAGAGAAGAGAGAAGAGAGAAGCAGACACAAAGGACGAACAAAGAAAAGAAAAAGAAAGAAGGACGAAAAAGAAGAAGAAGAAGAAGAAGAAGGCAGAGACAAGGAGAGCAAGCGACACACAGACAGCAACGGGGAGATGGGAGCAGCAGCATGAACATCAACATCAACATCAACATCATCATCATCATCATCATCATCATCATCACTGTCACTATTTACTATCCCCATCTCTTTGAAATACCCTTCCGCAAATTAACATAGGCCTCGAACATAGCCACTTTTGAATGACACTAGTCTTCCAATCCCCGGCTCTTGGCAGGGTCTATGATAGTTGGGGGATGGTAAGATTATCTAAAATTGGCTAAGATGACACATAGTTTCTTATTTATCCCTTTCTTTCCGTAATATATCCCAATATTCACATTGATAAATCTCCGGTAATCACACATAGCAACCGGACATTTTCCATGTAGTTCGATGATTTTCCCTGCTTTTTCACCTCCATTCATGGAGGATTTCTTCCTAGGCGCAGTATGGGTGGATCTCGGGTGAACGACACCTGCGTCCTTCGGTATCTCGGGCCTGATTTTTTCGGCATCTCGGGATCTCAGGGCCGGAAAACTGAGCATTTTATGGGTTTAACTATAAATCCACTATTAAAATTACTTACCCTCTGGTAATGACTAACATAGCTATTGAAAATGGTGATTTATAGTGGATTTACCCATTGAAAATGGGTGGATTTTCCATAGTTATGTAAACGTTTACCAGGTAAACTCACTGGCAGTCACATGGATGGGGATTTTTTGGGGCGTTTCACACATGGTGCTGATGCTTGATGGAGCGATGAAGCAGATGGTATAGCTATGAGTGGTGGCTCCAATGGACTAATTCCAACCATATTGGTTGATATCGGTTGTTGGTGGCCCTCTATTTTATGATGTTTGCATATGTTTGCCATTGTTTGTGATTGAAGAAGCCACTCTGAACATAAGCTGCACTGATTTTAGATTGCGATGGTCCAACGGAAGTGTTCGGCTCCGAGTCCCTTTTTTGTGCGACGAATAACATATATTTAGTACAATATACATATATATATATACATACACATGTGATATGATGTAATATGATGTAATATGTATCTATGTATCTATGTATCTATGTATCTTTAGATACAACGGACAGTTCGACTGCATGTAGATCTTTGTTTACCCATCACAGAAAAGAACCCAACAGAGCATCGTTGTTGCTTGGTGTATGAAATCGTCCCCCGTTTTCCCAATCAGTGCTGGACAAACCTTGCTTGAGCAGGTTAAGTTAGTCTTTTTAGTTTGCATGTTCTTTTTCGGCAAGAGTAGGTTACTTGGTAGTTTTAGTTGGTTTTCAAAGGCTAGTGTTTTGGTTCGTAGTTTTTTTTTTACAGTGGGATTGGTACAAACTAGCGAATCGAACGATCCAAGATGAGCCGCTGTCGTCACTGAGGGCACCCCCCAGTGCAGATGCCAGCAAGGAGATTTTCCAAACAGGGGACTAGATGAAACCAAGGGTGAAGGTTCTTTTAAGGGTTCCATAAATGATGATGATGATGATGATGATGATGATGAGAATGAGAATGACAATGAGATGATGATTAGTATGATTAGTATGATTAGTATGTTTCGTATGTTTCGTATGTTTAGTATGATTAGAATGATTGTGATACCATCTGGTTATGACTCACAGTTCGCCATGGAAAGATCCAGCCATTTTATAGCTAGGTAAACCATCTATTTCTATGGGCCATCTATACCATGGCTATGTTAGTCATAACCAGAGGGTGGTGAACGTTTCACATCATTGGACCATGAAAACACAGATGTTGGGCCTCCCCGCAGGAGCATTGAACAAAAACGGCTACTGTATTTCAAATTAGATTAGATATGTAGATATACGTATGAATAAAGACATAAATCACAAACACATACATATATGCATAGTTGTTTTAGGCTTCGACTTTTACATGTATATATATATACACATGTATATATAAATTTGTTACAGATAGAAACGCGATGTACACAGATGAGCAGTATATGTACATATACATGTATTCTGTATATATATACGGTATAAAACATACATGATCTCATTATTTCTATATTACACCACATCTACCGCAATGTGGCTCGATGCAGGAGGATGAACCCGACTTCGTGGTCTTCCCACCTGAGGGGGTCGGCACCTGAGGATTTCCCGCTGGTTTTTTTCGCTGGGTTTTTGGATCAGTTTTGGTGGTTTTCAGATCATGTTATTTGGTTCAATAGGTAGTAAATCATCCACAACTAGTCAGCTAGTTGATGGTTTTTCACTTGCCAGGTGAAATGAGGGATGTGACCCTGTTGAAAAAATTAGGATAGAGCGCAAAGATGGGGATGATTTTATGCGCTTGAAATTCGCACCTAGGTTTCCTGCAATTGCAGAATTGTCAGATTATGTACCCTCCTGTAAACTAAGATAGATGTGGAAAGCCCATCATTTCATGTAGATCGTTTTAACGAGTTTACCTACGGGTTTTTCCACATCTTTTCGGAGCAGTTTACTCAGGTACCTAGAAGTTCAATTTGATGCGAGATTGCTCAATGACCCAAAGGGATGAACAATCTCTGGATTTGAGCCGTGGATATTTTTCTGAAGAGCCATTGACCCATTGCTTTATCTGCCAGAATCAACTGACATTCCTTTCTCAAAGTGTTTTGGATCTTTCCGGAGCCCCGAAAAACCAGACCCACCAGCACCGTAGCCGCGTAGCCAGAGGTGTGTCCCATGGAATTGCTGGTTGGCTGCCATTTACCTACCTGGACCATCATGCCGGACAGTTACTTGGCACGGTGGTGGCCAAGGGATGTTGGAGCGGTTGTAGCTTCGCGAATCCAACGACGTCTCTTTTGTGTGTTTGATGAGTTCCTGTTTTCTTTCTGGTTTTGTGATTTTATCATCTTTTATCATGATTTATGCCTACATCTAACCCGAAATGACCATAAGGGCTGGGTTGAAAATTCAACACTTCACATGCGACCGAGGCCAGCAGTTCCAACCAAGCCACTCCTTGCAGGTGGTTTTCGGGGCGGAGCTTGGAGGGATTGATCCAAGATTAAAATTACTTACCCTCTGGTAATGACCAACATAGCTATTGAACATGGCCAGTTATAGTGGATTTTCCCATTAAAAATGGGTGGATTTTCCATAGTTATGTAAACGTTTACCATAGGGTAAGGATATGAGTCAAAGTTTGTCAGTCCATGGAGTAAGTCGGGGTTTTATCCACATGGCTAGGTAAGATCTATCTACATTTGGATGAAGCTTGGGAACCAAACCATAACTGAAGGCCCCATCTTGCGCTTTGACCCATATCCATGGGCAATGGGCAGGGGCATGAAAAACTGGTGCCTTGTGGCCATCAAGCATGGCAATGGGACATCCATATGTTTGATTTCAACATGATCTACGTATATATGAATATCTTTTATGGTAAATTGAACATAGCCATGCTAGATGTTTGTGGCTCGACCATCATTCGATTTCATTCCATTTCATTTCATTTGATATTCTTGAACGATTATGATTGACCATTGCCTATTTTGTTCTATTGGAGGTGGCCCAGGGCCCCTCCGCGTCTCCAGGTGCGCATGTGGCGCGTGCGTTTGCTGCGCCGCGAGGACACGGCGGACGCCGAGGCGGACCCCACGGAGCGGCGGTCGAGGAGCAGCTACCCGTCGGGGCCCAGCGGGATGGGGATGGGGGATGGATGTGGAGGTTTCCATAAATGGTACCCCAATAGCTGGATGGTTGATAATGGAACATCCCCATGTAATTTGTTTGAATTGAATCAAACGTGAGACATGGTGATTTGTTTGAGATTTTCAGCATCGAAGATGAGCTCACCATGAAACATGTGAAACATGGGCATGCAGAAGAACTGGGGCTCAAGCCTTTGGGGCGCCAATAACGGAACCAAACATGTCTATGGCAAGAATGAAATGAGTTCGTTATTGGGGGGTTGCAATGTGATTTACAGGGAGATAGATGCAGCAGGAATGGAGATGCCCTCGGCAAGTGTTTGGTATTCTACCTTATGATCTTATATGTTCATATGTTCCCTGGTCAAAACTTGGGCAAATTCTTCATCGCTTCATCTTGCATCATATTGCGGGATAGTCCTCAATCCAAAGGGATTTATATGTGCACATAAGTCTTCCCATTCACATTCTGGGATGGATATACATACATATATATAGTGGGCCTAAGAGCTTCGAGGGGCATCTGGACCAAAAGTGAGGGCACACAGGATGGGCACGGCTTCAAGTTCTGTTGGCATTTGTAGAGAGAATCCATACCTTTGTGAATCGTTTCTGGTGATGACGACGACAACGATGACGATGACGACGACGGCGAGGAGGAGGAGGAGGAGGAGGAAGAGGAGGAGGAGGAGGAGGAGGAGAAGGCGGATGAGGATGAGGATGAGGATGATGATGATGATGATGATGGTGATGATGGTGATGGTGATGGTGACGGTGATGGTGATGGTGATGATGATGATGATGATGATGATGATGGTGATGGTGATGGTGATGGTGATGATGATGATGGTGATGGTGATGATGATGATGATGATGGTGGTGGTGGTGGTGATGGTGATGGTGATGATGATGATGATGATGATGATGGTGATGGTGATGATGATGATGATGATGGTGATGGTGATGGTGATGATGATGATGGTGATGGTGATGGTGATGGTGATGGTGATGATGATGATGATGGTGGTGATGATGATGATGACGATGACGCTGTCCAAACCCATAGTTGGTTCATGATCATGTAGGGTTTTATCAGCTGGTTGATGATTATGTTTTTGGGTTATATATATATAGCTGGTTGAATGGGAATTGCACGGGGTTGTCTGAAAAAATAGAGTATCCTTAAACACCTACCTTTTCACATGTGCTCACCTTTCTCTAGTAACTTAACCATACGATGGAGTATCCGCATATGAATATTAGACTGTCATAATGTCATAGACTGTGCATCGTAGCCTCATGTAGCCTCAACCAACTGTTTCCAGCTTTTTGGTGGATGCTAGGAATCATCCAACTGTTAAGCCCTAATATATATAATAGAATGGGCTAGCGCCCAGGTGCCGCCGACCCCCCTAATTGGAGGGGGGGTACTGTAGAGAGAGAGAGGGAGACGGACAGCAAGACAGACATATGGCCGTTTGCTTCTCAAGCAGCGAGAAGTTGCACCCTGCGGCCAAATGGACACGGATCAGTTCGAACTCCGCCAGGTGCGCAAGGGTGAGGCAGTGGCCGTGTTGGCTACCTGACAGCTTGTTGATGATTAATCATTTTATGATGAGGGGTCATCAATGGTAATGATATATCCACATACAATAAGATATGGTCAAAGCAATCAACTTGGGGGGGGTGCCCTTGAGCCATTGTTGTGGCCTTGTGGTGGCTTTTGCCTGCGGGCGTGGCGCGTGTTGAGTTTGTTGGGTTACCTTTTGCCTGCGGAGTTGGGCGGACTTTTGGGGGATTCGGAGGGTTTGGAGGGTTTGAGGCCTGGCAAATGGCAGACTTGAACACCTATAAGAAGCCATTGCCGCAGCCGGGGGGTGCCCTTCAGCCATTGCTGTGGCCTTGTGGTGGCTTTTGCGTGCGGGAGTGGCGCGTGTTGGGCTTGTTGGGGTACCTTTTCCGTGCAGAGCTGGGCGGACTTTTGGAGGGTTTGGAGCGTTTGAGGCCTGGCAAACGGCAGCCTTGAGCGCCTATAAGAAGCCATTGCTGCGGCCGTGGGGTGCCCTTGAGCCATTGCTGTGGCCTTGTGGTGGCTTTTGCCTGCGGGCGTGCCCGAGGCATGGACGCCCTAACGACAGAGCGCTATGCAGGCAAACGGCCGGCGAGGCATTTTAAAGGTTTTATAAGGGTTTGAAGCCTGTCAAACGGCAGCCTTGAACGCTTATAACAAGCCATTGCTGCGGCCGGGGGGATGCCTTGAGCCATTGCTGTGGCCTTGTGGTGGCTTTCTTGCGGGCGTGCCCGAGGCATGGACGCCCTAACGACAGAGCGCTATGCACGCAAACGGCCGGCGAGGCATTTTAGGGGTTTTAAGGGTTTGAAGCCTGTCAAACGGCAGCCTTGAACGCCTATAAGAAGCCATTGCTGCGGCCGGGGGGATGCCTTGAGCCATTGCTATGGCCTTGTGGTGGCTCTTGCCTGCGGGCGTGCCCGAGGCATGGACGCCCTAACGACAGAGCGCTATGCAGGCAAACGACCGGCGAGGCATTTTAGGGGTTTTAAGCGTTTGAAGCCTGTCAAACGGCAGCCTTGAACGCCTATAAGAAGCCATTGCTGCGGCCGGGGGGATGCCTTGAGCCATTGCTATGGCCTTGTGGTGGCTTTTGCCTGCGGGCGTGCCCGAGGCATGGACGCCCTAACGACAGAGCGCTATGCAGGCAAACGGCCGGCGAGGCATTTTAGGGGTTTTAAGGGTTTGAAGGCTGGCAAACGGCAGGCTTGAACGCCTATAAGAAGCCATGGCTGCGGCCGGGGGGATGCCTTGAGCCATTGCTGTGGCCTTGTGGTGGCTTTTGCCTGCGGGCGTGCCCGAGGCATGGACGCCCTAACGACAGAGCGCTATGCAGGCAAACGGCCGGCGAGGCATTTTAGGGGTTTTAAGCGTTTGAAGCCTGTCAAACGGCAGCCTTGAACGCCTATAACAAGCCATTGCTGCGGCCGGGGGGATGCCTTGAGCCATTGCTGTGGCCTTGTGGTGGCTTTTGCCTGCGGGCGTGCCCGAGGCATGCCGAGGCACGGACGCCCTAACGACAGAGCGCTATGCAGGCAAACGGCCGGCGAGGCATTTTAGGGGTTTTAAGGGTTTGAAGGCTGGCAAACGGCAGCCTTGAACGCCGAGAACAAGCCATTGCTGCGGCCGGGGGGATGCCTTGAGCCATTGCTGTGGCCTTGTGGTGGCTTTTGCCTGCGGGCGTGGCGCCTGTTGGGCTTGTTGGGGTACCGTTTGCCTGCGAAGTCGGGCGTTGTGCATGCGGGAGTGGCGCGTGTTGGGCTCTGTGCAGGCAAACGGCAGGCTGCAACGCTGGAACAGCAGGGGCTGACGGCTACAGGGCTTGGTGCAACCGGCCGGCGGAGTATTGGAAGCATTGTAAGGGTTTGCAGGCTGGCAAACGGCAGGCTTGAACGCCTATTGCTGTGGCCTTGTGGTGGCTTTTGCCTGCGGGCGTGCCCGAGGCATGGACGCCCTAACGACAGAGCGCTATGCAGGCAAACGGCCGGCGAGGCATTTTAGAGGTTTTAAGCGTTTGAAGCCTGTCAAACGGCAGCCTTGAACGCCTATAAGAAGCCATTGCTGCGGCCGGGGGGATGCCCTGAGCCATTGCTATGGCCTTGTGGTGGCTTTTGCCTGCGGGCGTGCCCGAGGCATGGACGCCCTAACGACAGAGCGCTATGCAGGCAAACGGCCGGCGAGGCATTTTAGGGGGTTTTAAGCGTTTGAAGCCTGTCAAACGGCAGCCTTGAACGCCTATAACAAGCCATTGTTGCGGCCGGGGGGATGCCTTGAGCCATTGCTATGGCCTTGTGGTGGCTTTTGCCTGCGGGCGTGCCCGAGGCATGGACGCCCTAACGACAGAGCGCTATGCAGGCAAACGGCCGGCAAGGCATTTTAGGGGTTTTAAGCGTTTGAAGCCTGTCAAACGGCAGCCTTGAACGCCTATAAGAAGCCATTGCTGCGGCCGGGGGGATGCCTTGAGCCATTGCTGTGGCCTTGTGGTGGCTTTTGCCTGCGGGCGTGCCCGAGGCATGGACGCCCTAACGACAGAGCGCTATGCAGGCAAACGGCCGGCGAGGCATTTTAAGGGTTTGAAGGCTGGCAAACGGCAGGCTTGAACGCCTATAAGAAGCCATTGCTGCGGCCGGGGGGATGCCTTGAGCCATTGCTGTGGCCTTGTGGTGGCTGCGGGCGTGCCCGAGGCATGGACGCCCTAACGACAGAGCGCTATGCAGGCAAACGGCCGGCGAGGCAGTTTAAGGGTTTGAAGGCTGGCAAACGGCAGCTTGAACGCCTATAAGAAGCCATTGCTGCGGCCGGGGGGATGCCTTGAGCCATTGCTGTGGCCTTGTGGTGGCTTTTGCCTGCGGGCGTGCCCGAGGCATGGACGCCCTAACGACAGAGCGCTATGCAGGCAAACGGCCGGCGAGGCATTTTAGGGGTTTTAAGGGTTTGAAGCCTGTCAAACGGCAGCCTTGAACGCCTATAAGAAGCCATTGCTGCGGCCGGGGGGATGCCTTGAGCCATTGCTGTGGCCTTGTGGTGGCTTTTGCCTGCGGGCGTGCCCGAGGCATGGACGCCCTAACGACAGAGCGCTATGCAGGCAAACGGCCGGCGAGGCATTTTAAGGGTTTGAAGCCTGTCAAACGGCAGCCTTGAACGCCTATAAGAAGCCATTGCTGCGGCCGGGGGGATGCCTTGAGCCATTGCTGTGGCCTTGTGGTGGCTTTTGCCTGCGGGCGTGCCCGAGGCATGGACGCCCTAACGACAGAGCGCTATGCAGGCAAACGGCCGGCGAGGCATTTTAAGGGTTTGAAGCCTGTCAAACGGCAGCCTTGAACGCCTATAAGAAGCCATTGCTGCGGCCGGGGGGATGCCTTGAGCCATTGCTGTGGCCTTGTGGTGGCTTTTGCCTGCGGGCGTGCCCGAGGCATGGACGCCCTAACGACAGAGCGCTATGCAGGCAAACGGCCGGCGAGGCATTTTAAGGGTTTTAAGGGTTTGAAGCCTGTCAAACGGCAGCCTTGAACGCCTATAACAAGCCATTGCTGCGGCCGGGGGGATGCCTTGAGCCATTGCTGTGGCCTTGTGGTGGCTTTTGCCTGCGGGCGTGCCCGAGGCATGGACGCCCTAACGACAGAGCGCTATGCAGGCAAACGGCCGGCGAAGCATTTTTAAGGGTTTTAAGGGTTTGAAGCCTGTCAAACGGCCCTTGAACGCCTATAAGAAGCCATTGCTGCGGCCGGGGGGATGCCTTGAGCCATTGCTATGGCCTTGTGGTGGCTTTTGCCTGCGGGCGTGCCCGAGGCATGGACGCCCTAACGACAGAGCGCTATGCACGCAAACGGCAGGCTGCAACGCTGGAACAGCAGGCAGCCTTGAACGCCTATAAAAGAAGCCATTGCTGCGGCCGTGGGGTGCTCTTGAGCCATTGCTGTGGCCTTGTGATGGCGTTTGCCTGCAGTGTGGGCGTGGCAGGTTCAAGAAAGACAGGATCCACACCTCCGGTGGTCCCAGGCGCCGCCCCGGCCTTGGCGAAGGCCAGGGTCGGCGGACATTAATCTACTAGATATATAACACAATATCCATATCTAGTAGATTACCATATCATACCATATCATGGGATATCTATGATCTAGATATATCTAGCACAATATATCTACTATCTATGGGATTGTACCATACCATATCATCCCATACCATGCTACGATTATCCCATACCAAGTTCCTCTGGGACGATCCCGATTTCTATCGATCAGATCCATGATAAGAACACCGTGATTCACCAGGGGCTTGAGGGGGTACTATGGTCAGACCAACCCATATATATGTATATATATATATATATGTACATGTATATTATATGTATGTATGTATATATATATATTATATATATACATATGTGTATTATATATAATAGATTTCCTATCACCATGCTTAGGATCGGAACCAGTCGCGGAACATGCGTGTTTTTGTCCCAAGGCTGCCTGAGGAACCGCCCTATGATGCCATCCGACTGGAGGTGGGCATCTCTCAGGTCACCAAGTTTGGGGGTAAATGGGGATGGGTCAAATAAGCAATATAATAAACACTGTTATTATACGATTACACCATATGATTGGTGCATGAACATCCATGGTCCATGTATCAGCGACTTCAGTGTTTCGACACATGGCCAGATGGGGATGCGGATAGAATGGGGACGGACCACAACCTCTGCAATACACTATGAATGGGGAGGATGGACATCCATAACCAGAAGTTAGTTTGGTTGTGACTCAAAAATCTCACAACCACATGAAGGTAGACGAACATACAGGAACACTTGCTGACCCAAAACAACTAACATCAAGAGACAACATGCAACGAGTGGAGGAGGGTTGAACCAACAGTTATAATTATAACTTCAATCTCATCAATGTGGGGAGTCATGAGTCGCTACATCTACTTTTGTTTCGTTGCCCGAAACTCAACTGTTGGAGTCAGGATTCAAACCTAAGATATGGCCATTCGAATAGGGAAGATCATAAGAAACTACGATCAAACGCTAAGTTTTTGGGTACCCCAATCTCAGACAAATCCAACATGATATGAGGTTTAATGATGGGAGGGAAGTAATGGCACAACGAATATCTTTTAACGGACTAAGCCAGCAACTATTTCCCCTTCCCAGATCATCCAAGCCGAGCCAAGTTGATTGTTTCGGTAGTCGGAGGCTAGGGATCAGTTGCCCAGTTGCTCACGATCAACCAGTGGACAAGAACACCAATCCAATTTCTTCATTTCTAAAAACTAAGAAATGAACTAAGAATGAAGAAACATGTGGTAAAACTAAGAAATGAACTAAGGTAACATTCATTTTTAGAACCCGGTGTTCATGTTACCTTTGATGAACTATCCGGTGGCCCCCTTCGAATCCAGGGCTGAATGAACCAGCCCATAATTCATGGGGAACCTATGATCCAACTGGTATTTTATGAGATGGGAAAACGGAGGCTTTCATGGCTCATATGATAATTACCATTTAATTACTAATCAAATCTAGTCAAGTCATTAATATTTGATTGATATCCATTAGTTATATCACCATCATGAGTTATGTATTCCACGAATATCCATGGCGGGTTGATACCCATCCCCATCAAGTTCGTCGTGGTCTCCTCTTTCTCCCCGCGAAAGGAGCTTCCTTTGAGCTTCTTGACCTGCGATTGTGCGGCCGAAGGGAATTCCTTCTGCATCATCTTCCGCCGCTGGGCAACCGGGGGAGAGGGATTCCCCAGTGGGCTTTGGAGATATATACAGTATACATATATATATACATACACACAGTATATATATATATATGTATATATATATATATGTATAATATATATATATATATATATATTTGTATGTGTATATATATATATATGTATATGCTTATTAAAGACCTATTTGGTAGATGTGGGTTTCCCCATTTCCAGAAGATATTATGGCCAGCAACATGAATGGTGAAGAGGAGGATCCTCCACTTGGTTTGCGTTGACCATTCGGGTTTCTCCAAGGTCCGCAACTGTCGCGAATTTCTGAAGGAGATCAACTGGAGGTTGCGCCAACGTCGCAGATTTTTTTTTTGATCTCCAAACATGTGGCAAAGATCAGGGATTATTGTATATAGTACTGATATGATATATGCCGTATGTATATATATATATTGCACATATGTATACATATATATACTGTATATATATATATATACAGAAATAATCTGAAATAGATACGAACCTCCAATACCGATATTTGAACTATGCACATAAATAGTCTGGGGCTCAGTGGGTTGAGTATCATCCATCCAACTGTCTGTTAGTACTGTATATATATATATACACATACATATATATACATATAATTATATGTATACATATTACATATAAACATCCACCACACACCCCACATATCCATTAGCCTAGTTGTAAACCAACGTTACCTATGTGGGTGTCCACGTTTTGTGTACTCACAGGCCATCGGGAGTTGAAAAGGGTGATCTGGGTGATCTCTAGACACCTTCAGGTTGAGTTGCTTGGCCTCCGTGGAAGCAGTCAAAGGTGCGGCCTTTTTTTTTTTCGGTTTTCGCGGCCGGAGATTTCACGAAGCTCGGGGATTTTTTTTTTGGACATCACCGACATCAGAGCTGTATCTGATTTGACCCTGGAACTTATGGCAAGGGGGTGGAACTGTGGAACCCCCCCCATATAGGGGTGATGGTAGGATGACCACAGCGCATATACCATGTTTTGAGCATGGCGAATTGGTTCATTTAGGGTTTAAATGAACCCAAAGCAAACAGTGTATAGGAATCGACTGGGAATATGATGGGGATATCACTAACAAGATGATATGGAGGTTTCCTAAGTCATGGGGGTACCCCCAGTTCTCATCCATTTTCATGGGATTTTCCATGAAACAAACCATCCATTTTGGGGGTAACCTCATTTATGCAAATCCCCATATGGATGTCTAACGGTTTCAGGCTGGTTGCATCATGAACAACATCCATCTATATACAGTACTGGTATCAACACCAAAGATTTAGTCCCTTCAACTACCATATACCATATTTAACATTATTCAACTATCATAATGTCACATAAATTCTCTTTTTGTCTCGCCTTGTTTTGGACCCCGCCCTTGTTTTTTTGGTTTGTGATGACATCGTCGACACGACACGTGGCCAGGCACCACTTCTTCCACGAGTTTCGAAGTTGCGGCGAGTTGGCCTGGCAGGACGCTTGAAAGATCAGTGATGTTGACATTTACTGGAAATGTCTAGCTTCGGCTTTTTGAGCGTTGTAGAAACGAGAATCGTGGAACTTCAAACCAGCACAAATAGGTGTTCAATCCAAAAGAACTGCACGTATAGAATCGTCAAACGGCAGCATTCTGATAAAACGTGCGCAGCCAAAGAGCGCCGAAATTCGATAGACGTGCAGAATTTTCTTTGGCTTCTGCATCGTACTCGTAGTGTGACTTGTGGTTCTCCACACAATTTTGATGAAACACGTTAGTGTTTTCATCCGGGTAACTAAGTGTTCCATAATTCGCGCACATTTTTAGCAAACGCACCCAACTTTGACAAATCGGCACGCTCCTCAGAAGCAGACTGTTTGACGTCATGAAGAGTGTACCTGGATGTGCTCGGAACCTGTGACTACAGCGCTTTCCCGTGATTTTTGTTCCATGAGTCAATGATATCCTTAGAAGATCTTAGATGAGTTAAGTCAATTTTGTAGAAGATGATTACCTATCAAATCCCAATAGCAATGAATTGTGGACTTTGTATATCCCCATATATCCGCCAGGCTCTGGTGATCGTTTTTGGGCCTTGACAACTTGACAGGTCAGATGATCCTTCCGAGACTTCCAGTCGTGCCTTGCGAGGATCATGAGTTCTTTGAAGAAGTTCAGAACTTTTGCAAGATGTTCAGTGACATTGACGTCTTCAAGGCCCCGATTCCCCGATCATCGATCAACATCGATCAACATTGGCCTGCATGGATTCCATGATATTCCATGATATTCCATGGATGGCGAGCAGATTTGAGGGAAATGGCAAGCTTTGGACCCTGGTGTTTGATGTAGTCACCTGGGTCCAAGATATGGCAGCCTGGCAGCCTGGCCCACTGTGGGATGAGTTGACATGGGATGGCCCCATCATCTCCGGCCAGGGCACGTTGCCAGCACTGCCCAAGACGCTTTCCAGAAGCCATGGCCCCAGATCTGGGTATCATGGTCTTCATATCAACCTGATTAAAGCCCAGTACTCAACCCACAGGGGGAGATACTGAGGTTTTTCTGAGGTGTTTTTTTTCCCTCGAGAAAGCCCTATTGCTAAGAGCTGACCTTTCTTGGACCCACATCTTTCGGAGGCGATTTGCCACAAGGGAGTTTTGATCAGTCCTGGTGAAGTTGAAGCTTTGTTGACTTTGGAACTATCCTTTTTCACATGACCTGGCGATGGAACTATCCTTTGAATCCTCTACATCTTACCAAAACCTCCAGAATCTACATGAATCTATTGACTGTTTGGTGCTTTCAAGAGATTTTGGACGATGATCCCATGGCCATATGATGTTGAAAGGCTGAGGTTTTTTTCAGCCAATGCCATGAACCTCCAGGGTCTTTTTCAACCAATTTCTATCTATTTCTGGCGAAAACTGCGATGTTTTAGTATTTTGTCTACACCATTACCCCCAAAAATCACAAACCATCCGGGGTGATGCATCTTAAGCCTGTCGAAATTGCCACATTCCTTCAACCTCTCAGGCCCACGGGCAATGCATACCCCTGTGGCTAGGTCTCTCCATAAGAATCTATGTGATGTGGGTCTGGGAAATCCGGGAAACCATTGACATATTGGTTTTTTTCGGGATTTTCACGTCTTTTTGTCCCTTCCCCTGCCGCCCTTAGAACCTCGGCCACCAGGTTTTTCGCTGGCCGACAATTCATTGCCCGATTTGCGGCCCATTTCGCATCTCTCCAAGGACCCAGAAAGTTGGGTCGTTGGGCATGGCTTTGTTTGATGTGGGAAGGACCCCCCAAAAATCCACCATGGTTGATCATCATTTTCCCATTAAAATGGAATTTTTGAATCATTGTGAAACACAGAAATTTTGAGCAAATGCATATGCCTGATACAAGAGGACACTTCCATTTTCATCAATCTGAGATGTCCAGATCTATCCTTGCGGGATTTGAGGACTTCAAAACGGATGACATGGAACTGTCCATGTATTTCTACTGTGCCGGAGCCGGGGGACTTAGTGGGCAAAACGGGATTCTTCAGAAACAGGGGAAACGGTGGAACGCCAGATGTGGCCAGAGTTGGCACCAAGATTTCAGGGATTTCAGGTCACGTTGCATGGAACTCTCATGAAATTCAAGTTTGATTTAATTGTTAGTTTAGTTCGTTCATGTTAGTTCCTTATTTCGCAGCTACCGAGTATGTGCAACAAGCTAGATAGGATCCCAACATTGGCCCAAAGATCATTGAACTATGTTGAACATCACTGCGATGGCATGTGCGAGACATGTTTAAGAATAGACGTGCCCCGGGCCCAATGACTCGTGAATATCGTGGGTTTTTATATGGGCCATCACGATGGACCCCAACGGGGCTGGAACACTTCCAATCAGGGATGGACATCGAGTGAACAATGTGACAAAGGAATGATTGCGACTAATTAATTACCAGATTTACCAGCGAATTTGCTGCCCAAAGGTCATCAATCCTGGAAAATCACCTTGATGTGGATGATATGATGGGTATGATGGGTATTTTCTATGCCTAAACTGGCGATTTCCGACTAGGAGAGATTTCCGACGAAGGTGCTACTGATTTTTGATGATGGGATGTGGTGATCCCCACTGCCATGTTTCGTTACCAGAGGCTACAATCAAATTGCCCATTCTTGGGTGAAATCCGATTGTTTTGCTGGGGAATTCCTCATTTCGACTCATGTCTGCTGGTTCAGACCCCTCAATTCCTTTGCTTAAAACCACACTTTTGATGGCAACATCCCAATTCTTGCCGCTGAACTCCACAGTTTTGCGGCTTCACCCACCATTTTTGATGACTCTCACATGAAGTCACCATTTTTAAAATTATAAGATTTTTGTTGGTGAAAACGAACGCCATCTTTGAAGGATATATCTTTTTCTTGTTGAAAGCAACCCCATGTGTTTTCGAAGGGTGATCATCTAACTGTTAGATCAGCCAATATTTCATATATGGTTCAACTTAATGCATCCCATCATCCCATGGTTTTCTTGATGATCATCTAATTTTTTTTGAGCAAAACTCTGGGTTTTGTCAATCCACCAACCAACCAAACGACAAGGCGGCGGCCTTTGAAGCTGACTTGTACTTGCAGAGATCCGCCTGGGATCCCGGGGGAATCTTGCTGGGTGATCCGCCTTTTTACATCTTCCAAAAGAGAAGGGTATGATCTATGACTGGTTGGTGGTTTCGAACTTTTTTTATTTTTATTTTTCGGAGGGGTTGAAACCACCAACCAGATGAATATATATATATATATATCTTATGATATCTTATGATATCTTAGGTTTGCAGTTTGCTTTTTCTTTTTTCTTTTAAACACATCTAATGAAATTGATGAAATTTCAATCAGATTTTGGTCAGTCTTAGGATCAGATTCTGAATCCCCATATCTCGATCCATCTTTTGGGTAACCATGACGTGATCGAAATATTTTGGTACCACAACCGGGATGATTTCATGTGCATACATGAATGTATATATATATATACACATGCATATATCTGGTTGGTGGTTTGGAAGACTTTGGAAAAAAAATGCGAATAATATATGATATATACTATATTGGGAATGTCATCCCAAGTGACTCATATTTTTCAGAGGGCTAGGTCAACCACTAACCAGATATGCACAGTGCCACGCCGTGCTCGAGGACGGCAAGATCAAGGTGGATCGATCGACCTTGGCCCAAGACCTCAGCCATCGACTCGCACTCGTGCTGAGAATGGATGGCCAAAACGCAGAAAACGTTGGAAAAATGGCTTGAAAAAGTTGGAAACCTGGGAATCATGATGGAAACATGATCTTTTTTTTAAAACATTCCCTGACATGGATGTACCTTCCAGCAAAGTTGGTGGGCAACAACCATGTCAATGTGTTTTTCAATCCAGTCCCATGTAAACTGCACCTGATATTTGCAGATCCAGTTGTATTGTAATCATCATTGGAATCTAACCCAGCTGTCAGAATATGGGATACAACGGGACCCCAGTTATTCATGATGAACATCCCATATGCACATCTCGTGTACCCTCCGGAACCCGAAAAAAGCGTGACCTGCAAAGTCCCCCACTTTAGTGAACGACGGAGTTAAACTTCCCGTTCAAACTGCCATTTACAGTGGATTTTTCCATTGAAACCTCCATTTTTGGGAAGATTTTAACCATGATTTCCCCATTGAAAGCTCCATGTTAGTAATGAGGTAGACAATTTTTCCATCCAAACACCAACATTTAGATTTCACTTTGCCTGCCGTGGTGGATGACCCAAAACATAAATTCCCATTCTATCTATCCATATCACCATATACCATTATATCACCATTACATACATACATCACTTGGCCTTACAAGGTAAATCAAGACCAGTTACCCTCCGGTATTTCATCAGCATCTTCAATCGATTTAATAGGTAACTCTTATATATATATAAATGGGACATTTTCACTAGCAAAGTGTTAAATCACCAAATGGTATGACAAGCGGTGTCCGCTGCTTCAGGTCTTCAACTTGGATGATCACTTCCTAGTGCGATGGGCAGCCCAGGGGTGATCTGGCGCTAGGGATAGGAAGGGACCATTTTTGCCCAGAGTTTGGCTGAGTGATTTCCGGATATTTCCATATATTTCATGATATTTATGATGATCACGTAGCGGTTTTATCAAGTCCTTGGGTGAAAAACATGAAAGTTTTACCGAGTCATTGGTCATTAGACCATCCAGGAGGATCGCTATTGCCATACCCAAAGTACTGGATTGCTATTGCCACGCTGGTGGTGTAGCTATAACACTTAAGGATCATTTAGTAGACCAAATCCCCAGACCGGAAAGTCTTGCCATGCTATCGATGAAACTCAGCCACTTCGGGGTGAAACTCAGCCACAAGGCGTCAAGCTTCCATGCTCCGTCTCCAAGTACGAACTCGCCTTCCGACTTTCCACGACGCAACGTGGGGCACCCTGGTGGATCAATGCCCATGCAGCCTCGGCTTGGGTTAAAAGAAACAGTTACGCACCGATGGACGGTTTTTTGGTTTCTCTAACTTGATAAAAACTTGATAATCGATTTTTACAATCCCACTTATTAACCGTTGTTATTAACATAACCATATTATAACATATTGTAACAATAGATGTTTATATATATATATTTTATAACCTGCTTAACAATTGTTTATGGCGAGAACTATCGTTCACTGGCCCACCTCCAGCTTCAGGTCCTCGAAAGCTGGTGGAGCATCCCCTCAAGCTGGAGGGCCCAGCTGCAAAAAGGTGACCAAAACCGCTGGAGGAGCCCGAAATTGCTAGTGATTTTACATGGTTCATGGTTATAAACCACTGGTTGTACATGGTTAGAAATAAAGTTATCATTTTATAAATGGGGTCATAAGTAACTTCTAACTGGCTGTAGAGTTACCCACCAAACATGAGATAAAATGAGCTGCCGGGTGGTAAAAGTTGTTGCATGGTCCAGTAGACTGATATTCGTGAAGTGGGTTGCAAGCATCAAGGGGATCAAGTGTATTTACACTGCTGCACGCCAACCTAGCACCTACTGGTATGGGAAGTCTCCTTATTCTCATCGGAACATCATCTACAAATAATATGACTATGGATAAATATGGGGGGGACTTCCATTGCCATGTTTGATGACTGGAGGGTGGGTCACTTTCTTCCATAGCCAAGGTACAGCATCCGTTCATTGGAGTCCGGCCCAGAGAAGGGGAGCTCTGCTTATCGTTTTAGGTTTGAGGGACGAAGACTCTCAGAAAACTCGATAAACAGATTGGTTTCGAAAGTTTTTTTTTTGAGTTTTTCAATTTTGATTGGTGATGATGTGTGTGTGTATATATATATATACATACACCAACCAGCTAACAGCTAACATATTACAATTTGCAGGGTCTCATGTCTCAAAGATTCGCAAAAAAAAACTCGGCAAGCCAGTTCAAAGAGAAACACGGAAGACCACGTTGTTTTGTTTGATGGGTGGTAAAATGGATAGTTCCAATGTCATCGGCAACCACAGGTCGGTGCATGGTACTGTATTGTTTCAACTCAAGATCGTGACACTGAACGAAACTGAAGAGATGGTGGCACTTGGAATTGGGGTTTTGTAATGGCGCCTTCGTTGATGCGCTCAACAGCCCATTGAGTCAGAAGCTTCTTTGACATCTCCGCTGCGGTGTTGAATTCTCCACAGAGGTGAAAGCATCTTTTGCCATCTCGGAGTCACACGTATCACACGTCTTGTTGTGGCTACTACATCAGACAAACATGTTACATTAGTGAATTATTACTCCATGTTCAAAGTACATGGCTCTGACCTACTTTTTCAGAGGTGGTTGCGCCATCTATTCAACAGTGAAAAAAATCAATCCCAAATTTACCCGAAACAGCAAATGTGCCAGAAGATGGCGCAACCCTACAAGTGCAAAATGGGCCAAATTGCGCCATCTACCCCATTTTTAATTTAAATTCCTTCTTCCGGGACCGGACATTTCGGTCATCAAAGGGTTGAAAAAGTAAGGGGGATGTGTGTTCAACAAAAGTTTTTCGGGGAAAGGATTTTTTCACTACTAAACTACTGAATAGATGGCGCAACCACCTGGGACAGTGCCATCCAATTGCAGGAGAAAGGAGAAAGGAGAAAAGGAGAACAGGAAAGGGGAAAGGGGAAAGGGGAAAGGGAAAGGAGAAGGGGAAAGGGGAAGGGAATGAGAAAGCGAAAGGACAAAGCAGAAAGGGGAAATGGGGAAAGGGGAAAGGGAAAGGGAAAGGAGAAGGGGAAAGGAGAAAGGGAAAGGGACAGTGAAAGGAGGAGGGAAAGGAGAAAGGAGAAAGCGAAAGGGACAGGGAACACGATTTTTCTTCATGAAACCAGCGCCATCTATAGGTTACCGCTGCGTTCCATTTGTAAAGGGAAAGGAAATGGAGGAGGGAAAGGAGAGAGGAGAAAAAGAAAGGGGAAGGAGAAAGGAGAAAGGAAAAAAGGAGAACAAAGAAGAAGAAAGGGAACGGAGAAAGGGAAAGGAGAAAGGGAAGGGGACAGGAGAAAAGGAAAGGGGAAAGGGAAAGGAGAAGGGGAAAGGGGAAGGGAATGAGAAAGCGAAAGGACAAAGCAGAAAGGGGAAATGGGGAAAGGGGAAAGGGAAAGGGAAAGGAGAAGGGGAAAGGAGAAAGGGAAAGGGACAGTGAAAGGAGGAGGGAAAGGAGAAAGGAGAAAGCGAAAGGGACAGGGAACACGATTTTTCTTCATGAAACCAGCGCCATCTATAGGTTACCGCTGCGTTCCATTTGTAAAGGGAAAGGAAATGGAGGAGGGAAAGGAGAGAGGAGAAAAAGAAAGGGGAAGGAGAAAGGGTCAGGAGAAAGGAGAAAGGAAAAAAGGAGAACAAAGAAGAAGAAAGGGAACGGAGAAAGGGAAAGGAGAAAGGGAAGGGGACAGGAGAAAAGGAAAGGGGAAAGGGAAAGGAGAAGGAGAAAGGGAAGAGAAAAAATCGAGCGCAACCGACTGGGTGAATGTTGCGGAGGCTTGGAAACTTTGGACTTAAGAATCCCTGCATAGATGGCGCAACCCTGAAACACATTGAAAACACATTCTGGCATAGATGGCGCGGCCCACAAAAGTAAGGGGGATGGATGTCACGCCCTCGGGGGGTGTCAAAATTCAAAAAGTCGGCGCCATCTATACGCGCACTTTGGAAGAGGGCGGGGCCATCTACGTTGAAAACGGTGTAGTCATACATAGTCATACAGTACTATTAATTCTGCCAAAGAAGTTTGTAATATTTCGGCCACCTCACGCTGAAGAGAGCAACAAGACCCACACAGAAAACGGGGGTTGTCAGAAAATAGGATACGCCATGGCATCCCATGGTTGAACACTTCTTTTTCCTCAATTTCAACTGTTTTGCTTGGTGCCATTTTTTGAACAACCATATATATATATATATGTATATATATATATGTATATATATATGTATATATATATGTATATATATATATGTATATATATATATATATGTATAATATTATATAGTTACATCTCCATTATTCATGATATCTCCATGATATCTCCATGATACCCCCATATCAGATATCCAATGATATTTCCACTATTTTCCAAAAAAATACTTTTCCTATCCCCATGGTGCTTGCTAAACAAAAAAAAACCCTGGGCCCCTTGAGGTCGAGGTCCTTTCCCTTGACCACGGTGGAAGATCCCCCATCGCAGAAGTATCAGCGCTACGGCTTCTGCCCTGTGTCGGGTATTCCCAGAATGGACGATCAGATCGTCACGAAAGATATATTGGGTCGTATCATCCTCTATAACAATCAACCTGGGTAAATTATAACGACCTCACTGCGACCTCACTGAAACAATAGTTAATAAGGGAAATCATCCCCAAATGGGCCTTAATTCAGGTTAGTGAAATATTATAATTTACCCAGATCAACTAAAACAGAGAAAATAACGAGTTGGACACCTTGATAAAAAATGGGTCAAGTTACAGCATCAAACCAACATCTTGGATTGTTTGAAAACTATCTTTTTTTTGAGATCCATATAATGGGATAGATAACTGTCCCTGCCACTTTTAGCAATTACACCACCTTTGGATCAAGCACGGTGGGGATTTATACAATGGCATGGGGATATATAACTTGGAACAGTATATGGCTATGGGTCAATGGGTTGGCCACTAGACCCAAAAATGTTCTGAGGTAACCTTTCAATACCTTTGGTATCAATCCTCCATTGAACACAACTGGATTTGGATGTACACCGTCAATGCTTTGTTAGATCTCGCTTCTCTAAAACCATGCAACTCAAAGCTAAGGAGGCCGAAGACCACCTTCAACTCCCATTCTGTCCTTGCAGAATTGGATGAAGGGGTGCTAAAATGATCTAAAATGGCAGGAAACTCAATGTGAAGAAAAAACTGGAGTTTCCTACAATCTATCCCTTCCAATCCCTTTTCAATGCTAAATACCCCCCTAGAAATGCTAAGTTACCGAACCACCCCGAGGCCGCCTACAGCGCAGCTACTGGGAATGACCATCCTGGCACCCATGGAGTATGGTCTTCTACCCGGAAGCCTGTGTGTGCACCCAGCTCCAACAGTTTCTGGAAGTTTATGGTGAATTGTTTGGGAGCTTCCTGGAAATTGGATTCCGTCAATTTCCATGTGTCTTGATTCTTTGCAGGCTTTCAACATGTTTGTTTTCGCCCTTTTTCCGGATATGGCAAATTCGCATGATGACCTTGATTCCTTGAACTCATTTGTTTTGCATGCTTTTCCGCGATGTTGAGGGGCTGTTATCTACTGTAGCCTAAACCCGATCTAGGGCTGTTTCAGAGAATGATTTAAATACTTTAAATACTACCCACGGGTTTTGCCCACCGCAAATAAGACACAACCACTGGTCGCTGATTTTACGTCATGGTCGCTGGTTTTGAGACATTTTCTAGAGGATTGAAAACAGTCCTCTCTCTCTCTCTCTCCCCTTTCTTTCTTTCTTTCTTTCTTTCCCTCTCTTTATTTCTCTCTTTATCTCACTCTCTCTCTCTCTCGCTTTCTGCATCTCCATACAATTGCTAAACAAGCACACACACACACACCCATATTTGATGTATGTGCATCTCTCTCGTTCGATGTATATATATATACATGTGCTGTATACACATGATATATCTGCATATGAAATACACTAATTATATATGATAACAATTGTGGTACTGTACCCTCTTCATATACATACATACATACATACATACATACATACCTACCTACCTACCTACGTACGTACGTACATACATACATACATACATACATACATACATACACACATACATACACACATACACACATACACACATACACACATACACACATACACACATACACACATACACACATACACACATAATCACATACACACATACACACATACACACATACACACATACACACATACACACATACACACATACACACATACATACATCCATACATGCATGCATGCATACATACAAACATACAAACATACATACATACATACATACATAACAGAACAGAACAGAACATAACATAACAGAACATAACAGAACATAACATAACATAACATAACATACATACCATACATAACATACATAACATAACATACATACCATACATAACATACCATACCATACCATACCATACCATACCATACCATACCATACATAGATAGATAGATATACACATTCGTTTGCATAGTAAGGTTGTGCACATATGGTGCTGATTCTTTCATACCACAGGAGTTCATATGCCCAGCAACTCCAAGGAGAATCTCCTTAGTGTTGCTGGAAGCTAAGGTATTTTCTGGTGCACATCCAACCTGCCTGCCTTCCTGTGGAGGCATAGTGGATGGGCCTTCAGTTTCTGGCCATTAAACATATGAAAACTATGGAAATGAACCAAGAATTTTACGACAAAAGCAACTGAAGTGACAATTTGTTTGACTTTCATAGAGGGGTAGGAATCCATTCGACCTGAACGCAGCCCTGAATTTCCTGGTTCCCAGTCTCAGTGATGTTTCGTAGGGGAACTATTGCTGGATTCCATGAGCTTCAGCTCGGGAGAATTCAGATTGATCTCCAACGACCGCAAATTGCAGGGTCTTATTGGCAAAAAAGGGCAAAGACATCATGGACAAACCCCCTAAGAAAGAGGGATTTGCACTCCAACTTTTAGGGCCTCTTTCCCAAGGGTCTCTTGGAAAGCCAGCTTGAGTGGCAAGACACCCCGGTTGGTTGATGATTAGTTCGGGATGATACGAAATCTTTTTTTTCCTGTCCATGGGATCATCCCGCATGATAATTATATACTGTCCATTAAAACTGGACTATCAACTACAATCGATTGGCCTATGGGGGATGATCAGGATGATCAGAATTCATTGCCTGCAAACACTGCTGCAACACTGCTGCACAGGTGCCCCCTGAACCTGTGGGGGAAATGCGCCCCACCCAGCTCTTCGAACGTCTCCGATGTGATCATGAAGAGGTGCGGTGCATTTGACGAAATCTCGAGGCTTTGGCGATTGATGCTGGGAATTTCATATGATTTTCCAGTGAAGATGGCGATTTACCTCTACTGACGGACTGAAAGTTGGGATTTACCATGATTTACCTGTTGAAGATGTGAATTTGAGTGAATTTGCCTACTGAGGATGGGGCTTTAGCTATTGAACATGGGGATCCCAAGAGAAATTTGGAATTATCAGAGTGAATTTAGAGCATCTATAGCCGGGCCCTTTTCCATATCTATGTTATTGCACTGGAGAGCTCGGTGGGTGCAACCCATCTTGGCAGCTTGCTTTCACCCCAGTTTGTCCGCATATGTCCACGTCAAGGGATCATTATATACAATGAGGAATCCCTACCTGCAATCTGCAAGGTGTTTGAGCTTCTCGTTCAAATTCGACCTAATTCGACCATATCTTAGATCATTTTAGTATTGAAAGTCATGGCTAAAATGGGGATCCCCCATTTTTGTATTGAAACCTCGGTATATTTTCGACATCGCTGTCGTGGTCGACCTCCCTAGGCAGAAGAGCGAGCTCTGGAGATGCAGGTCATCAAGCAGAAAGGCGGGCCGAAAAACGTCCTGGTCCGACGTTCTTTTTGTTGGTCATAAATCTAGTCATAAATCAGTTGTTACCCTCTGGTGAACTAACATAGCTATGGAAAATCCACCCATTTTTAATGGGAAAATCCACTATTTCTATGGCCATTTTCCATAGCTTTTTGTATGTTCACCAATTGTTATAGTCATAAAATGTCATGAACATTTAACTGTTATCTAGGATCTTTGGATCTTTTTGGGAGTTACTATATATATAATTATATATATATGTTACTACATGATCATCATGGGACCCCAGATTTTCACCATGAAGAACATACAGCTCGGACATGTGAGTTCACATATAATTATATATATACACATGCATACACAAAATATTATTCCCCATTTAGGGTTGTTCACACCATTTCGGGACAAAACCAGATCATTGAGTAGATTACAGTAAATTAAACCAACCCCAAAAGGGAATTGTCCAGGGAAAAAACAAATACACCAGATACATGGATTGAAACATCACATGTCGGGGATTGAGCTATCAAGCAACTCAAACGCGTGCAATAAACCAGTTGCAGAATTATGTTTTGCCCAGAAATCTTGGAACCAAAGCTACAGGTTTCACTAAATAAAGGCCCCGGTCGTGCTGGTTTTAATGTTGGTAGATCTTGAGATTAGTCAAGAAGATGATTGGTGTTGTCAAGCATGGCATCTTTCTTCGCCAGTCAGTGGCCCGGCACACCGCCCCAGCCACCAATGAATCCCTCGGAATCAGTGAATCAACGAGAGGATAATCAGTGAATCCCAGTGAATCAATGAACCAACCAATCGCTGAATGAAGAAATCAACGAATCAATGAACGAATAAATACTATTAATAAACCAACGACACAATGAACCAATGAATCAACGAGTCAACGAACCAACGAAGCAGTGAATCAAGGAACCAAAGATTCAATGAACGACTGAATCAATGAACGAACGAATGAATGAATAAATGAATGAATGCATGCATTAATTAATTGACTAATTGATTGAATTGATTGAGTGACTGATTGAATGAATGGATGAATGAATGAATGATTGCATCAATTAATTAATTAACTAATTAATTGAATTGATTGAATGAATGGATGAATGGATGAATGAATGAATGAATGAATGAATGAATGCATCAATTAATAGATTAATCAATCAACTAATTAATTGAATTGGTTGATTGACCGATTGAATGAATGGATGAACGAATGAATGAAAGAAATGAATGAACTGAATGAAATGAAAGGAAATAAAAGAAGAGAAATGACATGAAATGACATGACATGAAATGACATGAAATGAAATGAATGACATGAAATGAAATGAAATGAATGAAATGAATGACGTGACTGAAAAGAATGAAATGAATGAACGAATGAAATCAATGAAGGAAGGAAGGAAGGAGCATTTTCGCCCGCGAATTCACACGCTGCCGGAGTCTTTCGCTTCCCGTCATGGGCTTGACATGGTTGACACCACCAGCCCACCAACTCGGCGGCAAACACCACTGTTCCCAACCACTGTTCGTCCACCGGCTAACTGGCCCGGCCACCGGCCCGCACAAAAAAACACATCTGACATGTATCCCACATTAATCCCACATTAATCCCACATTAATCCCACATTAATCCCATATTAATCCCACATTAATCCCATCAATCCCTGTTTATTCCATAACTGCTACATATCATGAACTTGACTATATTGATCATATCTATAATATCATGCTAAGCATAGATGATTCTATATCTAGATTCTATAGAATATCATGAATCTTGCTATATATATATATCTATAGCAGATTAGAATCATGAACTATATCATGAATATGATACTATATCTATAATCTATATATATCTATAATTAACTAATATTATATAGATATTATCTATAACAGAGTAGATACTCTGATGATGACATGAATCTGACTCATCAGATGAGACCAAGCCTTCGGAGCGGCGACGCCGCAGATCCGCTCTTTTCCGCCGAGAGGGGCGATGCCTCCACGTCACTTGGGCGGCACCCATTGTGATGTGGGGTGCATTGGAATGAGGTGACGACTAGGTCACCATTTGGAGAAGAATCCCACCATTTGTAAGTGGTTAGAAACCATAGTCATAAGTTATAACATGTTATAACATGTTATAACCATAGAAACGTCACCCATTGTGATTTTTGTTTGCAACAACAAATTGCGACCAGCTCTGCGAGAATTTTGAACTTTCAAGGATCTTTCAAGGGACTGTGGCCCGCTGCGGATCTTTAATCCAACACCAAGGTCTAACAGGGGTTTAAGCTACCTACTATCATCTGACAAAAAAAGGGCTAGAGTGCTTGGTGGATCATTCCACTTAAGTTTCGTAAGTGGGTTATCCCGTATCCCATATATAAATGGCTTATAACTGATAAGTATGCTTCCAAACCACTTACTATATGGGATGCAGTTCCAGTTTAAAGTGGATATAGAACCATAGTTACAGGAATTACATCATTATATATACATATGTATCATATATATCCTATTTAGAATAATATATATATATATATAGGTATGTATCATATATCCCATTTGGAATAAGAAACCGGAGGGATTCAGTTTCGGCCTCGAGGCGAATGGATGAGATGCTGCGGAGGTGGGTTTTGATGGTGGTTTTTCGATGGGATCTCAGATGGGATTTCAGATTGGATTTACCCGGCCTGGTAAAGGTTTACAAAAAACTATGGAAAGATCCACCATGTTCTAGCTGGGTAAATCCACAAACTAAATCACCATTTTCAATAGCTATGTTAAATTACCAGAGTGTAAATATATGATATATGAACCACTGTAAATATATTTATTATTTTATAATGGGATTTTGCCCATCTACCAACCGGTTCAGGATTTCGCAACCATGCGCAGTATGTTGTGTTGTAGATGATTATGTTGTATATCTACAATGTGACACTATTAAGGGATAATTCTCATATCTATTAAGGAGACAATTCTAAAGATAAAGATCTTTCATGATATGGGGATGTACATCCATTAAGTTTTATCCCCATATCATATCCCCATATCTAACCTGTCATATCTCCACATTCGAAGTCCAAAAGTTCTTGGTCTTTAAATGGGATATGCTATTTTCAAAAGTGACATAGCTGTCAAACAATCCAAGATGCCCAAGCTTTTTGAGTTGTTTTTGTTTTTTCCATGATATAGCTGTCCGAGCTATCCACATTTAGCACTTGACCACATTTGGGTAGAGCCTGAAATGACTAGTGGGTTAATCTGAAAATCGGAGATCCCGATATCCCGATATCCCATGGTGAAGAATAAATTTTGCCATGGGTATATCGAAGATCATCAGCTCCAAGACACATCCACCAATAGCTGGATGATGTTGAAAGATTTTCGCCTTTATCAACCTCCTGAAATCGTTTTGGGATTTCCCAGCTAGCCATGTGACAGATGTGAACCCAGGAAAAACTGATGCAGCATCGTCAGGAGAAGCTTTCAGAACACTCAGCGCATGATGTGGCTCGACTCCCTTCACTTGGGGAAATCTTGGCGAAATCTCACGTGATAAACCACAGATCTTGACCGCCTTTGGAACATGGGGACATAGATTGACCATGATTGACCAATCGAACAAAGGGAATGAGATGGCTAAGCTGCACATATTTTGACGGTGAACCATTGCATGAGGAAAAAAACCACCGGGATGGAGCCAAGCTTTTGGACGGTGACTCTTCATAAACGGATGCGGAAAGAGCGCAACATGTATCCACAAATGGGGATTTGAAGAATGCAAGCAAACCTGTGGATTGAATTCGAAGAACGTGGATTAGTCAACCAAAATGGGGTGTTTTTACATGTTTTCACATGTTTTTAACCAAGTCATGGTGGATCCCTAGTCGTCACCATGGGTTTCAATGCCGGTTTCAATAGACTTCGTCATGGTCTAATGACTTAGATTATTTGGGGATGATTTGGGGGTGCCTGGGGTGCCTTTATTCCATTCATCAACCAAAATGATCCAAGATGGGGGCGGAAAACCCTCCGGGCCAGGCCGGAGATGTGGCCGAAAGAAGTTTTTTTTTTTGACAAAAGATGGGAAAAGTGATGGGAAAGCAACATGTAATCATGTAATATCAATGTAATATCAATGTAATATCAATGTAATAATATCAATGTAACATCAATGTAATATCAATGTATCTTGATGTATCTTGATGTATCTTGGGCTATCTCCCCAACCATTAGATATAGATAGTGGTTTGTGAAGGTCAATAGTGGGCTGGTTGCCCAACATGCGATGGGTCCGTGACTGGCATCGCTGTGGGAGAACTCAAGGCATATGTGCCATTTCAATTGGGGAACAGATTCAATGCTATGGTTTCTTTTAGAATCTCATTTCCCCCTATTTTCCCTATTTTCCCCATCTGTGGCAATTCCGGAGTACCGAAATCATGGCAAATTTTGACGCCCAGGTTGCACCGACCCTCCGTCGCGGCGGTGCCGTCGTTAGTGGTTAGTGGGATACCCTCGATCGAAATGTGAGTGGCATTGAAAGAAAAGGAACAGCCTGGTGAACATGGGGAATTCTACAGTATCCATCCATCCATCCATCCATCCATCCATCTATCTATCTATCTATCTATCTATCTAAAACATGGGGAATTTGAGAATTGGGATGAAATGGGATGAAATGGGATGAAATGGAAATATGTATTCACAGCAAGAATTGATGTGATTTAGAACACCACCTGGGTGGCCTGTGCAGATGGACCCCACTGTCAACGTGATGAGAAGGTGGGGTGCGCTGATGTTTTTTTTTTTCGGAAATCTTCACTAGGTACAATGGCAACATGATGGGGAAAATGAATGAAAATGATGATTAACCCAATATATGTGGGGGTTGCCCCTAATTTTCCAAGCCATCTTTAAAAAATTGGACTTGGGGGTTCAAGTAGAGGCTGAAAAAGGCCGATTTTGAGCTGAAGTGCTTGTCCTTTTCTCATGGGTTGGTCGATAGAAAATGGCATAACTCCCAATGGTTTCTCAGGTTTCTCTAAATGGTTATTAGCCCCCAATAGAGGGGAGTCCTCTAGATCGGAGCTAGCTGTATATGGGCCTCTGGTAAACCTGGCAGTGGCACTTCCTCATCTGGAGATGATTTCCCTATCAAAAGTATGAACATTCCAGCATTCTCTGTGCATTTCCAATGCAATTTCCTAGGAACATCTAGGAACATCTAGGAACATAGGGATTTTCCGACGTGTCAGGTTACATCACGGCCTGGAACTCCATCTGGCTGAGAGGACACAGGACGGCGTTGGTGATCAACGTGACTCATTTAGCCACTTCGTCGTTTATTGTAGAGCTTCGCACATCAGCAATGCCATACGGGTTCCTGATTCCCGCTGGTTGTTGTTGTGGTTGTGGCTGTGGTTGTTGTTGCTGTTGTTGATGATGGTGGTGATGCGCATCCGGCGCACCAAAGCACGGTGTGGTATCTTTGGCGTACCGCTGCTTTGTACCATCGTAAACACATTTGGTTGTGCAAAAATAGTGCCCTTAAAAGGCGTCATAGTGGCGGTGTTCTCGCATTTTTAGAAGGCCATTTTGGAATTCCCTCCAAAATTGCCAGGACCTACCGCAGATGATGCATTTGGACTTGGTCGTCAGGGAGAGCCGCTCCAACCAGCAACGTTTCGCAGCATGGCCCAGGAGGGATGATGGAGGGGATGTGACTCCATTTTTTCTTCAAAAGCAGAAAGGAACACAAACAATTGATGATTGGATTGGTTTAAGGGAAAATTTACAGGAAACCATAGATTTTCCCATTAAATATGGGAGGGCCATTTATTTAGGGATTTTTTTTTTTAGTTTAGGGATTTTTTTTTGGATTTCTTCCTGCTTACTCTATTGCCTCCTGCAGTGCTTCTCTGCTTCTTTGCTTCTATTCCTTTTTTTGCTTTTCTTGCTTTTCTTTGCTTTTTTGCCTTTTTGCTTCCCTTGCTTTTCTTTGCTTTTTTGCTTTTTTGCTTTTCTCGCTTTTCTGCTTTTCTTTGCTTTTTTGCCTTTTTGCTTCCCTTGCTTTTCTTTGCTTTTTTGCTTTTTTGCTTTTCTCGCTTTTCTGCTTTTCTTTGCTTTTTTGCTTTTCTTGCTTTTCTTTCCTTTTTTGCTTTTTTGCTTTCCTTGCTTTTCTTTGCTTTTTTGCTTTTCTCGCTTTTCTGCGTTTCTTTGCTTTTTTGCTTTTCTTGCTTTTCTTTGCTTTTTTGCTTTTCCATGAGGTGTGGAGCAACATCTTCTCTTGGTTCGAAGCAGATGGGCACGCTGCAACACAAACACAACCGCCAGCAACAACACCAACACCACCACCACCACCACCAACAACAACAACAACAACACTAACACAACACTAACACAACACTAACAACACTAACAACACTAACAACACTAACAACACTAACAACACTAACAACACTAACAACACTAACACTAGCAACACTAACAACACTAACGGTAACAACAACAACACTAACAACAGCAACAACAACAACAACACCACTAAACAACAACAACAACAACAACAACAACAACAACAACAACAACGACAACACAACACAACACAACACAACACAACACAACACAACACAACGACAATGACAACAACAACGACAACGACAACGACAACGACAACGACAACAACAACGACAACAACAACAATAATAACACTATCAACACAAACACAACCGCCAGCAACAACACCAACACCAACACCACCACCACCACCAACACCACCACCACCACCAACAACAACAACAACACCACCACCAACAACAACAACAACAACACCAACACCACCACCACCACCAACAACAACAACACCACCACCACCACCACCAACAACAACAACAACACTAACACAACACTAACACAACACTAACACAACACTAACAACACTAACAACACTAACAACACTAACAACACTAACATCACTAACAACACTAACAACACTAACAACACTAACATTAACACTAACAACAGCAACAACAACAGCAACAACACGACCACCACCACCAACAACAACAACAACACCACCAACAACAACAACAACACCAACACCAACAACAGTAACAGTAACAACAAACAACTGTTGGAATGTCAGCCTTCAGCTCCAAAATCCTGCAAGTACTGTGAGGAATGTAGCTGTAAAATGTTGCACATACGGTGGAAATGCAGATTCCAGCTCAAAAATGCTGCAAAGAGCATGGAAAATGGACAGAACATGCTCATACTGTTGCAAATACCGTGGAAAATACAATGGAAAATGAGAGGTTCGAACTCAAAACCGTTGCACATACCGTGGAAATGGCAGTTTCCAGCTCCAAAATGCTGCAAATAGCATGGAAAATGGTGAGAACCGGAAATCCAAAAAAAATTCCCCAAACTAAAAAAAAAAATCCCCAAACAATTTCCTACCCTTAAATATGGGGCTTAAACCAGTAGATTTTCCCTTAAACCAATCCATTGAATTGGGAAACCAAGGTTTTGGTTTTAAAATGACTGCCTCCAAATTCATTCATCATTATTCGTCATTCTCAGTGTGGTTTCCCCAGGATTTTTGGAGTATCCCAACTTTCAGGGTGAACAGGACCCGCCACAACATGGTGCACTTCACATCCCCAATGGAACTGAAACCACCACACCGTTTTTTTTGCTCCCCTTTCTGGAGGTTACCCTTCGGTAAACTAACATAACTATGGAAAAGCATCATTTTTAATGGATAAATCTAGTGGACATTTTCAATAGCTATGTTAGTTTACCAGAGGTTATCTCATCTCCCCAATTTTGCCAGTTTCGGGGGCGGTTTTTTCGTCCAAGGCCCTTCGTTTGCAACGCAAACTCGATCATCCCGAGTTCTATGAAGGTGCCCATGGGCGGAGGATTTCCTTGAACCGAGGTTGGGGATTGAACCATTAAAATACCTTCGTTGATTGCTTAAGAACTAGGGAGTTACACTAGTTAAATATAGTTAAGTAATTTATTGGGGATTGTGATAATCCATAGGGAGAACTATCAACCAACTAGTATAATGAGATGGGATTGGATGATTCGTACCCCCAATATGATTCGCCCAGCAGAAGAATTTTTCGTCTCTTCACCGCTAGAACATCACAGCAGTCTAGTCAATATTTGTTGCAATTGTCTAAAACATACAACTTGCCAGTACTTGCACAAAATCATGAGAGTTGGAAGGCGGACTTTGAGAATCTACTTGAGGTAAGACAAAATCTAGGAAAGACATCTTGAAGTCTTTGATGATAAACAGTAATTCTCTTAAGTCCATCGGGTAGAACTTTTTTACTGCAGCATGCCTCCAGTGATTTTCCGGTGCAGGTGTGTTGCATTTGGCAGATCATGATCCTGGTGCCAAAATCGAGTTGTACTACAGGATCACTGAGGAGACGGCAGGGCAGGCGTTTCAATGGTTTCAATGGATCGGTGAATCCACAGGGCCTGGCGCCTCCTGAATCTTCACATCAGCGGCTAGGTCGGGGAGGTTTGGATTCTTGAGTGTCCTTTTGAAGTGAAGACACTCTAGACTGAAACTAATCGCGATCCCCAGACCCTCCATGATATGTTCTGGTTGGTGGTTTTGAACATGTTTTACTTCCGATCCCTGACGAATACTTTCCACGAAGGTTGAAGAAGCCGCCAACCAGATATTGGCTCTGTTTGGGGGGCCCCCCAAAAGATAGAGCAGTGTTTCCTGGATGTTACGTTTCCCCCCCAAAAAAGTCTATGTGTAAGTCATGGGGGTACCCCCCAAATCATCCAAGTGGCAATGACTTCGTTCCCCAAACAGTGTGTCCACACTGGGTTCTTACGGTAGCTGTAAAGGCGGGTGCCTGATCAGGGTGCCCACTCCGTGCCCCGGCATTTTACCTGTAAATTTCCGCATAAAGTGGCTCTTGTGAAATCTTGACATGCGTTTCGACTGCGCAGGCTCGCACAAAGCGTGGGCCGCGGTTCTGGGGAACGGCATTTTCCCTGTAAATTTCCGTATAAAGTGACTCTTGTGACATGTTGAAGTGCAGTTCGAATGCGCAGGCTCGCACAAAGTGTGGTCCTAGCTTCTGGACCGCCGCTACATCACCATCACCATCATCCTCACCATCATCATCATCATCATCATCATGATCATCCCCATCCTCATCCTCATCCTCATCCTCATCCTCATCCTCATCCTCCTCAACATCATAGTCCTCCTCCTTCTCTACATCATGATCCTTTACCTTTTCATCCTCCACTTCATCTTCCGCCATGTCCTCCTCCTCCTCCTCATCATCATCATCACCATCCTCAACAATGGCCCCGACCAGTCCATTCCATAATTTAGCGCTGCGCTCCATTCATCATCATCATCATCATCATCATCATCACCATCATCATCATCATCGTCATCATCGTCATTATCATCATCATCGTCATCGCCATCGCCATCGTCATCGTCATCGCCATCATCATCATCATCATCATCACCATCACCATTACCCTCACCATCATAATCACCATCATCATCATCATCATCATCATCATCATCGTCACCACAATCATCACCACAATCATCATCATCATCCTCATCATCATCATCATCAGCATCATCATCATCATCTTCTTCTTCTTCTTCGTCTTCATCTTCATCTTCGCCCTCACCATCCTCATCATCACCATCATCATCACCATCATTATCGTCATCGTCATTATCACCATCTTCATCCTCACCCTCACCATCATAATCACCACCATCATCATCATCATCGTCATCGTCATCATCATCATCATCCTCATCATCACCATCACCATCACCATCACCATCATCGTCACCATCCTCCTCCTCTTCCTCCTCCTCCTCCTCCTCAGCATTAACAACATTTCACCCTCACCATTATCATCCTCACCATCATTATTTTCATCATCACCATCATCACCACCATCATCACCACCACCATCATCACCATGATCACAGTCATCATCATCCTCGCCACCACCATCGTCATCATCATCATCATCACCATCATCATCATCACCATCATCATCATCATTATCATCATCCTCATCATCATCGTCATCATCATCATCATCACCCTTGCCATCATCCTCACCATCATCATCACCATCATCATCATTATCAGCATCATCCTTCTCTTTATCATGATCCTCCACCTTATCATCCTCCACTTCGTCTTCCGCATTATCATCCTCATTCTCATTCTCCTCAACATCCTCATCCTCATCCTCATCCTCCTGGACATCATCATCCTCCACATCACCCTCCTGCACCTCATCATCCTCAATACACTGTTATTCACCACCATCATCACCATCACCATCACCATCACCATCATCATCATCATCATCATCTTCATCTTCATCTTCACCCTCAACATTATCATCCTCACCATCATCACCATCACCATCACCATCACCATCACCATCATCATCATCATCATCATCATCTTCATCTTCATCTTCATCTTCACCCTCCCCATCATCATCCTCATCATCATCGTCATCATCATCATAATCTTCACCCTCACCATCATCCCGTCATCATCCTCACCATCTTCATCATCATCGTCATCATCATCATCCTCATCATCATCTTCATCTTCATCTTCACCCTCACCATCATCATCCTCACCACCATCATTATCATTATCATCATCATCACCATCATCAACTTCATCTTCATCTTCACCCTCACCATCAGCATCCTCGCCATTATCACCGTCATCGTCATCGTCATCATCATCATCATCATCATCACCATCATCCTCATCATCATCATCATCTTCTTCTTCTTCGTCTTCATCTTCATCTTCGCCCTCACCATCCTCATCATCACCATCATCATCACCATCATTATCGTCATCGTCATCATCACCATCTTCATCTTCACCCTCACCATCATAATCACCACCATCATCATCATCATCATCGTCATCGTCATCATCATCATCATCATCCTCATCTTCACCTCACCATCATCATCCTCACCACCATCATCCTCATCCTCACCATCATCATCATCGTCATCGTCATCATCATCATCATCATCATCATCTTCATCGTCACCCTCACCATCATCATCATCACCATCATCATCATCATCCTAACCATCATCATCATCGTCATCATCATCATCATCATCCTCATCTTTAACATTATCCTACATTATCCTCCCGGGATAATCTTTTCAACCTATGGTGATGTGGGGTTCCGCCATGGCGACACTTGGCGCTTGCAGGAGACGTACCGAGCTCCGCTGAAAGTGGGCGAGTGGCGCGTTGCTTGGACCAATCCAGCGCAGCCTGACACCGGTTTCTCCTATTTCTGGGTGGTTTTTCTCATGAATCATGAGGAGTTTCCACTGTTTTTTTGTTTTTTAGGGGAAGACGAGCTACTTGAGGCACCAAACAGCAACATCAAGATCTCAAAAAAAATTATGAACGGGGAACACCACAGTTGACCTGAACATCTTAAACCTTTGAGGAATACTTGAGATGAAAAGGCACTCGAGATTCTTCATCCGATCGCTTTGGTTCTTTTCAGATTGGTCCGTCTTGGGGCAGTGGATCATCCTGATACTGTTGATGTGGACGGTTTCCCAACTTTGTCTGGCTAGGCTATGCTCTAACATGCTTTACCCACCTAGGATATATAAACAATAAAGGGCTGACTGTGTCAAATCCACCTTTACTAAAGTGTGGAATACCCAACAAGACAATGTCAGAGTGAGTGGATATATTACATATTATATTATATTATCATATAGAGGTTTCCTAAAATGGTGGGTCCCAAATCATCCATGTCTAGAGCGGATTTTCCATTGTAAACCATCCAGATATTCGGGGACCAACATGACTTGGGAAACCTCCATATAATCAGCAGTTCATAGCCAAGTTCGTTTGGGGGTCACTCTTCGGGGGGTCCAAGAAACGGCATCAAAACAGAGTTGAAGTGTGATAAAACCAATTTCACGATTTGGGAATCGTTGTAAACTTTATTGGTTTCACCACATTAATGTGAACCCGGATTGCAAACGTTGCCTGTTGCTTTAATTGGGGGGTTAACTTTTTAGTAGGAGATGAAAACACTTTTTTGGGTTACCCCCTGTAAATGTCACCGACCAGTTTCAACATTTAATCAACCAAACAAACCTACGGAATTAAAGTGATTATACAATATTATATCATGGCATTTAATGGCTACAAAACACGGTTTGAAACCCCACCACATTTGAAAGTTGACATTCCCTGGGCCCAGCGCAGGTCGGGCGTCTCAACGAGGCCTTAGATGACTGAAGTGGGAGAAATGCTGGGAATTCACCCCACAGATCTGGATTGTTTCATGATAAGACCCAGTGGAAGGCTTTAAAATGGGGACCCCACAGGAATGACGTGGTGATTATTCATAGATTTCTAGCGTACCCCCCCAAAGCCCCCCCCCCAGAAAAAAACAGGATTTTAGCCAAAAAGGAAATAAGACAGGAATAAGCTTAATTTCGTGCAAAACAACGGCAACCTTATTCCAGCCTTAATTCAGATTTGCAATAAACCCGTTAAGGCTGAAATAAGGCTTATTCCTGTATTATTTCTCTTCCATGCCCAAAACTGTTGTGAACGTGATTTTTCCCGCAGGTTCCTGCCTTATTCCTGTGTTATTCCTGTACTATTTCTTTTTGGGTTAATTTTCCCAATTGTTTGAAAACAGATTCAAATTCAAATTGCTGTAGAGATGTAATTTAATATTGTGCAACTTGTGCAACTTAAAACCTCATTGTGGACACCTCAAAAAACCGTGGTTTGAAGTTTCTTCCATCAAAACAACCAGCATTGCAGAATAAGACATCCAATATCCACAGTTGAGGCATCCTGTACCCACATCAATTGAGCCAGGAGCCCTACTAAACAGAGATCACAATGATTTTCTGGTGATTTATAGGGAACGGGGATTGAAGGGGATTAATCGGGATGTAATGGAATGTAAATACCCTACCGAAACTGATATTTGCATTGGTTTGTTAATGGGGTACCTCAAAACTTGTTGTTTTCATGGGGAAATAGAATTATGATCCCATGGGTTTAGTGGGTGTTCCTTTCCCATTTTCCAATGTCAATGTATACAGGTAACCCTCAATTTATTTCTGGGGTCAGTATTGGTGGGCCTGGGTACTTTAGAATTGGCGGAAATAAGATGGAAATAAGGCCTTATTGCCGAAAACAAGACAAAAGTTTATTCCCGCCTTATTTCTGAGGCTTTGGTTCCAGAAATAAGGTCATATAGGGTTTCGGAAATAAGACCGTTTACGGCCTTATTTCAGCACTATTTCTTATTTCAATGCTATTCCTGGCTTAATTCCTTATTCCAGTCTTATTGCTGCCTTATTCAGGCCTTATTACTTGCGCAATTTTCTGGGGGGGGGGGCTTGTGGGGGGTACGCTAGAATTCTGTGAATTATGGTGATTTCACCTGCTGAAGCTGGGAAAAACAGCGATCCCATAAAAAAGTGACCCGAAGACCGGGTCGAGCCGTCCTTTGCTGAAACCGAGCAAAGATAGATGCTAGTCGAACAGCTGAGTGCTGGTGAAAAGTGGTGATGATCAGTTGGACTTATAGAAGATGTTTATAAAAAGTCACTAATACAAAACATGAGAACATGCATTCATTTTTGTATAATATGATACAATATGGTATAATCGAATTTCAGGGCAGCAGCAGTTTTACCATGTTTTACAGTTTTACCGTCTTTCGCTGCTGTATGGCATCTCCAGTCTGGACTTATCCCCAGTGGCCTTTTTTAAAGGTGGGGATTATGACAGTCACCATCGGGTTTTTCATGGGGGGTACACGACGGTACAAGATTTTGAGACCCAAATCCAACTTGGTCATAGGATGTCTGCCAGGCATAGCTTCAAGAGGAACATGCCGAAGCTTCGATGACAAAGACTTGGATCCACAGTCGGGCTCAAACACCATCACCTTCCCAGGACGACTTTCCTGCGCGAAGGGCCCGGGTCGGGTTGGGCGCAAAACTCCGGTGTCGCGGAGCATTTTCGGCCCATTTTGGAGTCATGTCAGGCGAGCACGGCTCGTGAGCTATAGCACAAAGCCGGGCAAGCTTTTGATTACGAGTTTGATGGTTCAAATATGTTCAAATCATTTGGGCACCACGGAACCAAAGAAACTGAACATATGGCATAATATGGGATAATTACTGTAATGAATACATACGCAATTCAATGCATATTGAACACCAACATGTACCCTCCACTAGTCTCTCCACAGCAAAATGTGCGGTTTCCAGCAAGCCTTACGGACCGCAGGTCGCAACACTCGCATGGCACAATGGCTCGACTATAGGTGCGGAAGCTGCGCGAAGCAAAGGGGCTGTGAGTTGCGTTCAAATGGGACGGCCAGAGAGACAAGAGATCATAGGCCATATCAATAGATCGACATAGCACGTGTATATGTATGTTTATTAAAATATTAAAATATAGCTAATGAATAAACATAGTTTTATAATATGTATTAATTTGTCGTATGTATTATGACATATGCGTATATCCTCACACTATACAAAACTATACTTGTATATGGGTATACGGTATACTATATATATATTATTATATACAATTTTCCCAAATCCCAAAAGTTGGTCTACTTATAGGATGCACCCCCCGTCAACCCGAAGAATCAATAGGTAAAATATATTAAACAATTATAAATGGTATACCAAACCGGCCCTGTCTTTTTCCCCGACAGCAGGCTTCAACCCACAAGGATTTTTACTGTCCAAAAAGACTAGGGACAGCGATAAGTTTTCTGATGGGTACAGTATATAGTATGTACAATATAATATTTGTTTGGAGTTTGGAGGTTTTGAACCTTTTTATGCTCAACCCTGTGATGATGTGTCCTACTTACTGCGATGATTACTCTTTCTCGGATTCGTCGACAACATGGCAAATGGGACAGAATGTCAACTCCTGATCTTGGGGGGAGCGCCATTTTAGTAGCAGATTATCACTATTTAAGGGATACCATCCATCTCAAATAGTCAACCAGGGTTTACATATTCAATCTGGGGTTGACATTGCACACACCTAAATTTTGTAGATCCAATTTCAATCTCATCTAGTCCTAATCTAGTAGTCAACCAGGCTGATCTAATCCATATTCAGGTCCAATCTACCTGATCAAGCATGATCAAACACATGGAAACTCCCCCGATGATTCTCCCAATTTCCCCAATTTCGATGTGGCAGATGCCAGGGTCCGAGTCACTATCTCAGATGCCCGCATGTTAGTGGGAACCTTCATGGTTCCTTGGCACCAGATTACCCAGGAAAAGACCCCGGAAATTGGGCGGGAAAACAAAAAAAAACGGACACTCCTGGATTTGGCGGGGGAAAAAGCCGCGTTTCTGGTATATTCCCTGGGCAAGAAATGGGGAAAGCTCCAGAAGATGGCGGACGGCCCCAATCATCTCCAAAGATGACTATGAACCCCGGAAAAGATGAACAATTAGAAACCAACTATATACAATTACTACTCTGAAATGATGATGCATTACATGTTCTTTTCTACCTTTTGGATCCTTTTTGGGTGTTACAAATCTAAGATAGTTCGGGGATGGCGGCTGCAGTTGACCTGGGCAACGTTGGGGAATTCCGGTCGATTTTCCGATTTTCCTATCCAGTTTTTGAAACCTTCCGGGTTTGGAGGGCTTCCGGCTTTCCCAAAAGGTGTTTCGCAGTGATGTCATTGTCATGGGGAAGCATCAGGGATTCTGGAGCTAGCAGATAGTTTCCAGGTCAAGTTGTGACGACCTATTGTTCGGTTGAAGGATCCCTCAATGTAGACATATATTATATACTTGAGTCCAGTTATACGTATTATATATATAATATGCATATATATATATATATTCATATTCGGGGTTCTTAAAACGGGGAACCCCCAAAAATCCAGACTTTGTCATTTTTTGATGGGGAAACTATTTTTGCTGTCCTCCATTAAAAAAACATGTGGGATGCGATTGGGATGATCCCTAACTTTCTAGCATTTTTTGCAACCAGGATTTACCTCCAAAAATCAGCAGGATTTACCTCCACAAATCGATGGCTTAAGGTTCCAACTGAGCCACTTGATGTGTTTCTGTTCAATCCTTATGGGATGCAGATGCTCCCCGGGATACCATGAAACATGGAGATTTCAACTGCCAAATTGGGTCATTTTCTCCGGATGGCTGGCTGTGGCCGCAGGCCTTCGACAAGTACATGAATGTGGTCTTGGCGGACTGCGAAGAGTTTCGAAAGATCAAGTGGAGCCGGGGCGGCTGCCGATGTAGATGGAACCAGATTGGGCAATGCGGATGTTAGCAAGCACTGTTGATACCACTAGCCAATTGCTATATATATATATATTGATTGGATGAGTTACCAATATTGGGGGGGACAACTACTGGTTGGTGGGTTCATACGTTTTTCCACCCTAGACATGGGATGACGGTCCAAATTGACGTTCCCATATTTTGGGGATGCCTTGACACCACCACTTTGGTGTTCATCAAAGGCGAGTACGGCTTCCTCAAGACAATGGACACTAGCAGTCACTGGCAATTGTAACGGATGATAATGGTATCATATGGTATTATGTATGATTTTAATATATAGTACTGCCGACCAAATCCCTGCGGCCAAGTTCCAGGAACCCACCTGAATTTGATGGCCTTCACTGGGGTTTTGTGATGCAAAGTTCAGTGAGATGAATGGAAAGTGCCTTCATGTTCCAGTGATTTCCTAGTCACTACAGTCTTTCGGCTTGTTTTGGCATCAGATCATGAATTTTTGGGTACTGCTGCAAGATGCTCAGACAGTTTTACCATGGGATAATTTTCCCAAGCCCCTCCAGAAAGCTAACATGGAACCTCAAAAAGTCAGATTTTGGAAGATCATTTCCTTCTCGGACCAATTTTTTGGGGTTCAATGTCACTGTGGGTCTACAGTCACCATGGTTGATTTTCCCAGCCAGCTTTGACACCGCTACGGTAACCATCATTGGCCCCCTGGCTTTGGCCTCCGCAGCTGGCTGTAGTCATAGTTGTTTCGCTTGCCGTGTCCAGCGAAGGCGATTGAATGATTCAAGCGGCGCCGGTGGATTTGAGGGTACCATCTTTTCAGACAAAACCATGTAAACATCCATATGGAACTGGCATTTCTGCGGACACATAGTTATTTATTTATATATATAATTATATATATATATATTATATATATACTGCCACCACCGGATTAATAACCCCTCCCTATAGGTCAGGGTATACCTTGCAAGGTCTTTCCTGGTGTCCCCCCTAAATAAACGGCCTCTGAACCATACAAAATTGGATATGGCTTACGTCAATTGGCTGAAAGCTATGGGGGACATTGGGAATGAATGGGCAATAAAAACATTAGGGACATGGTGGTTGATTAATCAGGGGCAAACCCTGATTATTATCAATGGGGGACATGGGCTCATGGGGGGTACGGTACCCTTTGGGAGCTATCCAAACTGATGATTTTTATAAAGAATTTAATTAGAAATCGATCATTTGGGGAATAGTTGTTTTTTCAAATTTTCAATGATCAATCAACAGTGATGGGTTCTGGTGTTCATGCGGTTTCAACTTAAATATATATCATAAGGAAACCATAAGGAAACCATTTGAAACTTTTGGATAAAAAAGGGATTTCAGCACTGGTGGTTTTTTAATCGGGGGTAGGCCAAAGCGTTTATTAATCTGGGGGGACCACCTGTTTTTAAATTACAAAAAAAAATTGGGCAGTGGTGGTTGATTAACCTGGAGGGGTTAATTAATCCTAACTTGACATTATGTATAGAGTTACAACTTGATATACAATTAATAATAATGATAATGATTATTATTATAATATATAATATATATATATGTAAACTATATATATATATATTGATACTCGTATAGTGGGCCAAGATCACTATTTGTAGGTTGACAATGTGATTTTTTTCATGTTCGGTTGCGATTCGGGATGATTCAAATTGGGATGGGCACCCCTAACCTGTTCTACTTATCCCAGACGAAATCCCATTATCCCTGGAAACGAGCTTGCTTTATAGCTGGGAGCTGTTGTTCCCAATAGATCCCCAAAAATGATGTCCCCAAAAAAATGAAATTACAGATTTCTCATGTTTTATATTCTTGATTCTATGTCCAAGATAGAAAAAAATCCACGATTCATGCTGCATGTTTTCGGGTTCCATAACTTTGTTGAAGTGACATCCCCCATTTGTTGAAGTTATGCCCCATGAAACATCCACTAAATATACCGTATATCTTTCTATCACCAATATGGTTGGTTTCATTACTTTTGATTCTTGATTTTTGTTTGAATCCCCAAAGCCACAACTATTGACAATGATTGCTTGATTTGTTGATTTATACAAGGATTGTTTTGTAGCCTTAGTGGCTGGGCCATCCGCACTTCTCCCCACCATCACCTCCAGGCGTTGTCCTGTTAAAGTGGTCATGGCGGAGGAAACGAAGGTCGGGATATGGAAAGCGAGGGACACAACTTGGGGATTTTGACAGAAATTGGAGGATTCAAGGCTCAAACAGTATCAAAAGTTGAGATTTAACTGGAGGACATGATGAAAAATATTGTGATTTCTGCTGATTTTACCTAGAGTAAGTCAGGGTTTCATTAAATATGGTTCAAGCATCCTTTTTCCTGATCTGTGGCTTTGTTTCAAGGACCAGTTAGATCTTGAACCTACCAACACAAGGATGTGGATTTTGGGCCACCAGCTTTGTGTCAAAACCTATGATTTTCCCACATGAATGGGGGAACTATGGTGAAAAAGCTCCCTGGTACCCTGGTTTGATCCATAGCCATAACCCAACTAATGAAATGTTAGCAAATCTATGCCAATACTCCGAGTTTGGGGTGATTAATTCCCGTGTTGTAAACAACATTCCCCATGTTGTACAAAAAATGGCCGGTTCAGCCGGCCCAAAATAATGCACCCAAATCAGAGGACTGACGGATTTTTACTGATCACGGGACTGCTCATGACCAAACTTGGAATCTGAAATCTGAGGGTAAGCCTAGTACCCTCTGGTAAACTATCAGTTTGCTATTGAAAATGGTCATTTGTAGTGGAGTTTTCCCATTAAAAATGGTGATTTTCCATAGCTATGTTAGTTTACCAGAGGGTAATTTGAAGCAATTCTTGAATATGTAATACTGGGCAAGCAAGAAACACAAACCACGTTTTCAGATCCACAATTTATGACAACTGCTGTTGGTGGACATGTACCCCATGTCTGACCCCACACCAAGCTATGTCCGTGTGTAGAGGTGTGCATATGTGTGCATCTTCTATATTTACATCTTGTATGTAGACATATGTAGACTACATACCCTGGTTGCGGGGTTTGTTTGAGACAATGATCCCTAACAAAGGTGTATTTGCATGTATTTGTGTGTATATATTTGTAATTATATATATATACATATCTATATGCTTAGGCCCCTCAAGCTACCTTATTTTCAATTGTTTTGACCTGCACCATGGGAGCTTGACGATCACAATGATGAAATCTCTAGAGTAAGGATTCTTTGGTTTCCACATATATCTAGATGCCAACGTAGATATTCTTACACGAGCATTTTATGATATGGTATCTAGAACCGCCAGCATATTAAGGTTGGAGGGCCCACCCTAATTGTGGTCAACGGGAGCCATAGAATTTGGGGGTTGGCAACGGGCCAGGAAGGCCCCCATCCATCCAGCGAGTTTGATCCCTTTCGAAAGGCGTCGGAGTTGACGGAAGAGCAGTGCCGACGCGTCTTAGAAGATCGACAGAAAGAACATCAGCAAATATGTGCCTTGGCAACTCTTGAACCAATGATAACCAATGAGAACCAATGGTCCATGATGGGAATCCCGAAAACGAAAAGAAGTGACCCGCAATGAGAGTTGGAATCTGCATTGTTTTTATTTCAAGGATTGCTTGGTGGTTTCAATATCTTCATGTGTTTTAGCTGTTTTCAGTAATTGTGCTATTTTCAGAATTTTTGTCCGGTGTAATTTAATGTAGTGTGATATGATTTAATACATGTAGTGTATGTAAATGTACGTAATGTAATGTTTACTGTAATGTTTTCTGTAGTGTTTACTGTAGTATTTACATGTATTTACTGTAGTGTTTACTGTATATAGTGTTTACTTTGCTGTACTGTCTACTGTAAATTGGCAAGGTGACGTGATGTACTGTAACGATATGTGAATGCAAATGTAAATGCGAGATAATGCAATGGAATGTATGCATTTGCTTTGCGTAGCGGCACCAGATTGAAAACGCTCCTTTTCCCAGGCGTTACCATGCCTTTTTTTGACAGCTTTCGAGCATGACCTGCAACTGCGCATACCCCCAGAGCCACAGAACTTGCAAAAACGCCGTGTTTCGTGCACAGTCTTCCTTGCCAGTCCACTTGACACAATAAGTTCAGTATTTTAGCCCAAGAACACAGTGCTTCGCATTGCTGACAGTCAGGTATATAGTATTGCAGTATACAGTATATATAGTATTACAGGATACAGTATATATAGTACAGTATATATCTATATATATATATATTATATAAATATAGCTAGTGACTTGTTGAGTGGTTAAGTTGGCGACCAAAAGTTGTCTACTCCATTGTCACGATTTGACACGATTTGTCACGTGTCCGTAACTCGAAAGTTTTCATCTACGTAATTTTTGTTTGATGATTGCATATCTGAGCTTCTTTACCAAACTTGGATAAAGAATGTTAAATATTGGATAAGGAAACTGTTGACATCTCGATAAAACACGGCTTCTTGTACAGTTTTTTTCACATTGTTTTCCCCGAAAATCAACAATGACCAGTTTCACTTGGATGTTGACTTGGGTCCCGCATGACTTAGGACCCCCCCCACATATCCCATTAGATAGCGTATGAAATTTGCGTCCATGGCACATCCTCAAACCTCTGACGTACACATCTATCCCCAAATTATGGTATCTCTGGCATATATCATCTCACCCTATGTCTGTCCCCATGTTTCGCGGCAGCTTGCAAGGTGATATCCCGAAATGTTATATATGTGCATTGGTTAAAAAAAACCCATCTGACCATAGTTACAATCACCATAAGCATCCAGAAGCCCGAAAAAGTAGTTATGTCAGCGAACTTTTTACTACCTCAGTTTGTTTGTCAGAATTTAATTGGATGACTTAAAACAAAACCATTTCATCTAAACTCCTGATTTTTAAGGGCTGTTACCCTCTGGTAATTTAACATAGAAATTGACAATGGCCATAGAAATAGTTGATTTACCCATTAAAAATGGTGATTTTCCATAGTTATATTATATATATATAGTTATATTAGTTTACCAGAGGGTATCTCAAAACTATCACTGTGGTTATGACTTGGGAAGTCCCTTCCACCAGACCTGGACCGAGCATGGCCAAGCACAGGTAATCAGGCGCTGGCGCAAGCACGTAGCACCTGTGCCAAGTTGAGCGAGGCCCAAAGTGATTTGGACCATGGCAGGTTGAAGCTGGGCCGACACGGCCAGGGTGGCATTTTTGTTGGTGAATTCAGGTCGATATGATAGTCACGGGAAAAAGATGGATGACACATGATGGCACATTTTTGGTGAACTCCTAGAACAAAACTTAGAGATAACCGATGTGGTTCTGTTTTTTAACGGGGTTTGGACATATTTCGGTGCAACATCTATGCCGTTGGCCAGTGTTGGCTCATAAGAAGGGAGAGATGACAGGGTTGGCCACTGATAACTTTTGATACCATACGAATGGGGGTTATGCACGTCCAGCTGTGCACCAGTTATTGTTTTGTAAGAACAAGGGGATTGATTACAATTTTTTTGACCCATTCGTACCCATTCCTAATTCCTGATGGCTCGTTTCCGACAAAGCTCATAGTGGATTATCCCCACTATTTGATTTTCCAGAGTGCAAAATTTAGAGATCATGGAGAGTTGGGTAAGACTAAACAGTTGAAACATGGTGTGAAAATGGCGTTGTATGTATATTTATAATATGATATGTTACTTATGTATATATATATTATGTACATATTATTATATTATGCATATTATATGTCCATGCACATGTCGACTGTCCAATGCACATACCCAAATCCAAGCTAGAATCCCACGAAATGTGGTTCAAGCGAAATTGAGTTCCATGATTCTGATTCTAATCCGTTGCCAAGGGGTGGATGAAAAGTCCAGTAAGACCAAGGTATAACACCTTTCAAATTGATATCTGATGGTATGTCACGGCATTTGTGAAACACATTTGTCTGGATGAATTATAATGATCTCACTGTGATGTCAGTGGAATGATGGTTTCTATATATGGGGAATTATCATGAATTATCCGCAAATGGCCTTACTTCGTGAATTATAATTCAGCCAGATTTGGAGGTTTCCTAAAATGGGGGAAGTCCCGGGATACTCTCAAGTCACCATGGGTTTCAATACTATGCAAAAGGTCATCCATGACGACTGGATGATAACTGGGGTATCCACTGGGTCCTGACCAGGGTTTGCCTAGGATACCAGGTTCGGAAAAAAAATTCCCATCCTGAATCACTGTGGCTGGGAAAACGGAGGCCCCATGTCATCATGTTCATCCATGGCTTCTCTGAAGCCTCTGGTGAGCCCCAGGACTTGCCGCGAGAATTGCCCTGATGAAGTTCATCGGCTTTTCTCTATTCCTAGCACTACAGTGGAGATTCAGGATCTGATCTTCAACGAGACCCCGCTCGTGGTGCGAACCTGCGGGCCACACCGCTTTAAGACGGGGCAGATCGTGCTTCTCACCGGGATCAAAGCGAAGACTGGCGCTCCATCGCAGCTTCAGGCCCTGGTAGAAGGCTTGAGTCGTGGCGATCAGGTGGCTCGGCGGAAATTTTGGGTGGGGAACAGGTTGCTGCCTGGAACAGGACATTTTGAAAAGGTTGATCCTGGTTGATCCCTCTTCAAGTGTGAACAATTATGAACACTTGGGATTTTTCAACATCACCGTCATATCATCTCTGAGTCGTTTAAGATCCCATCCGACTATACTGATCATGATGGATCATCCCATATGGCTATACTGGATAATATCACTGATCATCCCAGCCCAACTGAGCCCATTCCCAAGCCCCAGATCTAGGCCATGGCGTGGGTCGACGATTGCCGTTTCGCCTTGTGCTCCGTGTCCCAGTTGCCCTGCAGCGAAGAAACGGCGCGGGACTATATCGACTTCTCCGGGGCGCAGGTGGCCCTGAGCGTCCCGTGGCGAGGAAACCGAGTACGAGATGGAACTTGTGTGGTACCAGGAAAGGCATCCCTTTTTTTTGTATCTATAATATGTATATATATGTATATATATATATATATGTTTTTTTTTCCTATGAGGCACGAAGGGACTGTAAAGTCGCGGCCTAGGCATTGAATTCCACCGCTGCTGACATCTACTTTGCATAGTCTGGTCCAATGAATTTGCCATACTCAGAGACCATCACTATAATATGTATATATATATATATATCTATTTAAATATTATATATATATGTTATGTGGGTGTCTCTTAAAATGGGGTATCATCATGGTATGATCCTCTGAAAAGGCATCTTCATGGAGAACATGATGAGAAACTGCGAAAATCTTTGAGGTAGCATGAGATAGCCATGGATAACTAGCCTACTTTTGGGCAAACCAGTGTGGAATCATGGCGTTGAAAAAAACATACATATAATATGATATATATATATATGTATTACATACATACATATATTTATCAATGGGTGTGTTTGAGATGAGTGGTTTCTTTTTCAATGGATTGGAGAACCCACTGAAAAATCACTTTGACGCTCCTATTTTTACGCCTCGATTTCCCACGTGAATTTCCGAGGTTTACCTGGAGGCGATTTTTGGAATTGGAGATCACAAAGTGACCGTACCGTACTGTCCTTTGAATGTCACAATCTTAAAATTACCCTCCGGTAAACTAACATAGCTATGGAAAATCACAATTTTTAATGGGAAAATCAACTAATGGCCATGTTCAATAGCTACGTTAATTTACCAGAGGGTATATACTGGATTATTTTTGATTGATCTTGGGTAACATTCCAGAAAAAACATAAAAAATCAAAAATGTCAGATGTCAGATGTCAGAAGCATGGTAAATGTCATCACCAGGCGATAAAATTTACCAGGTACTACCAGGGTACCTTTGTGGCAAGATGGCCATCTGGAGTATCCAACCCATGGATTTTCCCATGTTGAACAACATCGGATCATTATCCCCATGGCATTCCCACAAAATGCTTGGTTTTAGCTACATCCAACACACCCAAGTGGCTAGTGACCACGTCAAAATTCCTTTAGTTCTGTTATAATGACAACTATTTATTGTATAATGGATGTGTGTAGATAGTACAGTATGGGTATGAGTCAATACCTATAGATACATTTTTAGTGGGATGAACATCCATTTACCAGCTATTTTGGGGTTCACCAGGGGTACAAGGTTTTGACACACTGCCATATCCCCAGTGAGTAGGTTGTCGCATCGAACGGTCAGGTTTCCACCTGGGCCCTCCGAAAGGGCTCCGTCACTCTCTCGGTCTTGCTGAGCCTTTCCAACGCCGCCTCATCCTCGGGGCTAGGATCGGACGATGCTTGCAGTGTGGGGAAAAGACATGGGTTGATATTTTTTTTTGGGATTTTTATGGGTGTTATTTCACCATCAAAACTACAGAACATTTCAGGGGTGAATTGCGAAGAACAGGTTTTTCCATGGTTTTCTATAGCATTTTCACCTATAGCTATATGGAAAATCACCATTTTCAATAGGTAAATATAATATGCTGTAAGTAAATCATCCATAAATGGATGTAAATGGTTCATTTTCCACTCAAAAAAGGGTCCTTCTCCAGATGGATGTCGCAGGACATGTTGCTGGCAAGGGCTGGGCTGGTCTCTGTGTCATTGGTGATAGCCTTCGGAGCGTCGTAGACACCACCGCCAGCCATGTGGAACAGCGACAGCAGTGCCTCAATTGATGGGCCTCAATTGGGGCCAAGTTGGAGACCACACCGCATGATGCGCTCAACAAAAACCAATGTGTTTTTATGCGTTTGGTGATTTACCCGTCCTCAACTTTCAGGTTGTGCATATCCAGTATAGTGTTTCAAGTCAATTGAGATTTTTTCTTGCAACTCAAGGATGTTGAATGGCAAAGCACTGTCAATCCCGGATCAATATGTTTGCCCCTGGCTGTTTAATTGGGGGGTAACCGTTAATCATTTTCGTAGGTGAAATGATTTGTTTGGGGGAACCCGCCTCAATACATCAGTGCAATCCCTCGGAGCTTCTGCATGAAGCATGGCCACAACTGTGGGGTAACTATGGTATACTATGGTGATGCCGCCAGTTTCATGAAGTGTATCAGACTATATCAGACTATATCAGACTATATCAGACTATATCAGACTTCAAATCCCCATGATATCCTCATTTTACATATCACATACTGATCGTCATACTGGGTTTTCTGCTTGGCTTTCTACCCTGCTGCAAGCCGCGCCGTAAGGACTCTGGCACCTGGGAGGTGGGCGGACGGCTTCTTGGCGCTGAGTTGTACCATAAAGTACCGATGTACCGCCTCTGCCTGATCCAACGAAATAATGTTTTGGTAGGATTTCAATGAACCAGTCACTGCAACCACTTGTTGAGAAGCCGAATGCCCAGAAACATCCAGAAATTTTTTTTCGGTTCATTAGGGGAACACTCTAAAAATGGTTCACGCAGAGGTTGGGATTTTGAGAAGTCCATGACCCGAACGAAGTCTCATGATTTTTTTACCGTCCCGAACGACTTCAAAGCTTGAGGCCTGTCTTGGATACAGGGTGGTTTAAGAAGCGCCAGTGACTTAAGGGCTCCCGACGTGTGGCTTGGTGGCATGGGGCATGGCTTTCAGGTGATTCAGGTGCGGCCAGATGAAGCAGAAGGTACCCATCTATGGGGGGTTTTCCAAATGTTTGATTCGTGATGTCGTTGTTTTCCTGGATGATGATCCCAGATGACTGTCTGTCAAACTGCGAAAGCACCAGTGATGATCTTGGTATAGTCTGACTTGTGTTAACCTTCACAAACCACTGTATACAGAATCAAAGCTATGGTTAAGATATAGTAGGGATACAATGGGGACATAGTGGGGAAATCAGGGGAATGTACTGAGATGTAGTGACTATTTATACTTTTGCTTTTGAGTGGTTTGAGGGTCTTGGAATTTGCCTCCCGGGATAGTGAATTCACTCCAAGAATTTGTAACAGGGAGCCATAGCGAAAAGAAGCTACACATTTCTCAGGATACTCATGACCCTGGGAAGTTTAGGAACAACTATGTGGCTGTGTCTGTTATTTTGTGCACCCCAATTTACCAGTAGCCCATCATCATTTTCCACTCAAAATGGTAATTTTATACGTAGCACAGTCTGTACAGAGCCGCCGCCAAAACGGGCTCCCCGTTTTGGTTGACTGACGCGCACAGTCTGTATCCCCCCTTATCTTCCGATTGATGTCTGCTTGATCCCCATGATTTTCATAGATGTGTTGCTCAAAATCCTGACAGATCTATCTATGATTTTCAGCATCATTTACCCCAATAGAGGCCATGGACCTCTGGCTACAACCGAAAAATGAGTTGTGCAAACACAAACGCAGAGCCATCGTGCAGCTGCAGTGAACCATTTAGATCCAGGAAGCAATGGACGCTAAAATGGGGGTTTCCTAAGTCATGGGGGTACCCCTAGTCATCATCTATTTTAACAGGGTTTTACATTATAAACCATCCATTTGGGGATACTCCCATTTATGGAACCCCCCAAATACCTTGATGATTTGGCTGGAAATTCGTTGTGACCAAAGTGTAATTTCAACAACTTCAGCGAACAACTTGCTCAAATATTGCAAGCCAGCGATCAAAGAAATTCAGAAAGGCTTCTTACCAGATTGCATACTGGATTTCGCAACTAAACCAAACCAATCTAGAGTTCTACAACAAGGAGTTCTTGTACTGAGGGGCAACGGTGCTGCTGAGAGAATGCAGGTATGGCGCCTGTGTTTTCCATCTTAGGTTAACATACGCTTTCACAAAAACGTACCTGTGGCAGAAAAAAGAGTACCAATAGAATGTAGATGAATGTAGTAGATATTATTCAATAATGTTTATATAATATTAATCATATTTAACGCAACTAGAGTATTTATACAGATCTAAAGGTTTCATCATGATATATACTAAGATGTTCTTGCAACATCTTGCAACAAGACACATATCATATACACCCTGGGGAACCCTGGTAAACGTTCACAGTAAACGTTCACAGTAGGGTATATAGCATTATATTCCCATTGTTGGTGTTATACCCCGTATCATATCCCATTGTTGGTATATCTTGATGATATGTCAAAACGGAATATACCAACAATAATGAATTATGATATGGGCATATCATCGCATATTCCAAAAATTATCTAAACTGTTTCCCAGTGGATGTTTGAATACAGTAGTTAATGGATTATTCAGATATTGTATATATTTGATCAGGTCCCAATTTTTTAAAATGGATATTGCATGATAGAGTCACATAGTTGTTCAGGTCCCATTCATGGATATTGACACATTATTATCATCCACGAATGAATATGAAAAACATAGTTAATGGATATATCAACATCATATATATATAGTTATATATATATAGTTATATATATATACATATATATCATGTTTTCCAGTGGATATTTGAATAGTTATATAACCAGATATAACATCATAGATGAGTTATTCATCGAAGATCCTGCTGATCCATTCTGAGGCCACAGGCCTTGACCAATTTCTGGGGCCGCTGTGTGGAATTGGCCCAGCCCGCCTCGTGGAACGCCTCGCTGAATGCTGAGTCCTGTGAGGCCGGCGGTAGATGCGGAAGGAGATCTAGCTGTGAGATGTGGAACATAGTGATATTAAAAGTGGTTAATAGATGTTAATAGGGTATAAACCAACAACAATGGGAATTTGATGATGATCTGGTTGGTGGTTTGGAACATTTGGATTATTTTTCCATATATTGGGAATGTCATCATCCCAACTGACTTTCATATTTTTCAGAGGGGTAGGTATACCACCAACCAGTATATCACTCAACATGTATTTCAAATGGGGAACAACACTGAATAAATGGGTTGTGACCCACTGTGTTGATGATGTTTTCAGGGGTTGTTGGCGGTCTTTTGGGTGCCGAACCCCAAAAAAAATGAAAGTCGGTTGAGAATCCAGAACATTGAGAACCAACTTCCAATGCAATACTGAGAACCACCAATAAGGGATGTTTCCAAGGTGCAAAAAAAAACCATGGCTGCTTGGCAACCCTTTTCAAACATCAACTGAAACATCCAAGATTGTCAAATTTGTGTACCGCAATCCTCTTTTCCAACCTTTTGAAGTCTTAACTCCAGGCCGCAAAAGAGTCGCATTTCTCGACCTTTTGACATTTTTGAGTCTAAAGTGCCAAACTCAAGGCTTAAAACTCATGTGCGAATACATCAAACACCAGCATCTTCATCCATTTTCAGGGTGGGTTTTTCGCTGGGCATGCAGACATGGCGCTCCGAGGAATGCATTCAGCCCTTCGGGGGTGGTCTTGGATCCAAGAACGACTCCTCGAAGCACCACTGTCGCCACTGTGGTAGGGTGATCTGCGACGCCTGCTCGAAGGTGGGGGGGTGGGATGGTCATGGTGCCAAACAATCCATTTTTGGAGGGGGCAAATCAGCTTAATTTTGAAGCATAATGAGGTCATCTGCGACCACACTCCATGCTGCAAAATCCATGGGATTTTGAATAGAGCAGCTATCCACAGATGGATGTGGATCTAGGTTAGGGATGATTAGGGGGTAAGATCCCTGGTAAATGCAACTGACCCGATGTTCGACTGCTACGTTTCATCATGGTAGGAAGTAAACTGCTTTGTTGATTACTACCCCCAACCTTACATTCCCAAAAAAGGTTTTGGAAGATATGCACTTGAGCAGCTTCAAGAATCATCCAAAAATGAAAGTTTAATGGACTCCCCAAAAAACCTATACGTAGTAAAGCATAGAAAACCACATACTAAAATCACAATAAGGGATTTTCCATTCGCTTTTTAACACTGCTCACTTATTCTCCATCCCTCTTTGGCATTGCAGGACCGATTGTGCGTTCCTTGGGAAGGCCATTCCAAGGCCGTGCGAGTTTGTAAGCTTCGCTTTGCATAGAGGCCATACTTTTCCGTACTTTTTCCCTGTGGGTTGATGATAGGGGATTCGATCGTAACATCCAGTAACCAATTTTTTCTGATACCTTCTGGACATTTAGCATAGTGCAAATTACAATCAGTTTTAAGTTCGGTAAATCATCGAAGTGCATGGGCCATGGCGGCCATGGCTTCCGGGCATGTTTGACGTCCACTGCGGGATGATCTTTGGAATATGAGACCCAAAACTTTTCAGAATTTCGCTACTACAATGGTACCCCAAGATCAAACCAAGCAGGCGGTTTCCTGGGTAAATAATCGGGAATCTGCCAAGAATGGCTTAACACAGCTTGGTTTTAATTGGTGGAAGACTTCCCCACTAAGGTAAGGCCTGCAAGGAAGTGGTGGAGGTCAGGAACCATGCTTTGCAAGTGCACCTCGTACTGCCATGGAGATTTATATGAGGAAATGGATTGAAATGAATCGCACTAATACATATATATATACATACACACATACATATTATACACAATCCGGTCAAGAATCAACTTGGTGAAGGGTAGGCTTTTCAAGGGGGAATTTATTGTATCCAGCTAACATATGTAATACATGTAATTATGTATGTATATATCAGAGTTGATCTAAAGGGTTTTGTAGAGATTGTATATGAAAACTGCGGCCCCTGTTGTGACAGAACGAGCTCCTGCGAAAATCTCTTGTGAGTTCGCAAAACTAATATATTTTTGGGCCAAAGAACGGGTAACAGTTCTATTGCTGTATCTTTACGAGAGACAGTTAACTACTAGAATCGCCATAAAATGGGATGACAGTGGATCAGAACCCACAGATACCCAGTGAAGAATATTGCCTTCCCACTCGCATTTCTGTTTTTAGTTCTCTGGACAGGCCAGGGCTTTTGTCCAAAATATGGGGATCCAGATGAATTTTGGCTCAGAGTCATTCATAGCCCAGGAAACAAATGTCTTTTTGAATATACCCATGGCAGTTTTTTCATGGGAAACATGACGATCAAATTGTAGGGCCCCATTTGGCTGGCACCTCATTCACTCTCAGTGCGATGGGAAGCCCGATGGGTGCCATCGAGGTACGACACCTTGTCAGAGCGGATCCGTTTAGTGCGAACGGGCCACATCTTGCAGCCAAAGAAGGGCGCGGGAAAGGCCCGGGACGCTGGGACGCTGCAGGTTTTGGGCATCTCCAAGGGCCTCTGATTGAGGAGTTTGAGGTGGCCATCATGGTTGCCATGGCCATGGCCATTGGAAATAGGTAAATCATAGAACTAAATGGGTCTAGCTAGTTGGAAGTTCGAAGTGATTGTCACTGGACTATAACTATCAATTATATCAATTATATCCCATAGATGGGGTATAACCGTTAAAACTGTTTGGCTTTAAAATTTAGGGATCTCAGTTGTTAGATGGGATGGTGAGGAATTGTTGATAGCCCCATTGTTGATGCGGTCCCATTCGGCTCCGAAAGACATCGGCTCCGCAGGGACCGCCTTTACCAAAAGGAAAGGGCAAGGGCAAAGGGAAGGCCAAGGAGCGTGTGATAAAAATCGTTGAGTGGCTGTGGCTGATGGTTTTACAATGTTTTACATGTTTGAGCAATTTTTTGGGGCAGATGTTGGTTTTGAATGATGAATGATGATGAATGGCGGATTTGCTTTTCGCAATGATACTGGGGAAACATGTTTTGGTTGCCACAGAAAACACACAAATTACTGGTTAGTGGTGCAATAGAAAAAACACTGCAGCAGGCCACAAATTGGGGTATCCGGGTATCCGTGACTTTGTCGAAAACGTATATTTCATTATATATCTACTACACATATGTACAATATGTGCAGCACCTCAAAATGCCAAATTGAGTAATTAGGGACAATGACGACAACATTTGGATTCTTGGGGTAGTTTGGTACACGTTAATCCTCTGACATGATGGGGATAGACAGACAAACAGATAGGTCGATCGACATGTTACAATATGCAGCATACATTATAATTACTATATATACACTATATATGTATATATATAATATATCTATATATCTGTATATCTATATATCTATATATCTCTATATTGTCGATTTTTTTCTATATATATACATACACATATATATATATATCTATATATCTACATATATATATATCTCTATATCTCTATATATATAGGATATATAGGATATTTTTATATATCTATATATATATATATATATTTACATCTATATATCTATATGTACATATATATATATACATATATTTCTATATCTATATCTATATATAAATATATATATATATACATACATCTATATACATATATCTATAAATCTATATATACATATATCTATCTATCTATCTATCTATATCTATTTATCTATCTATCTATATATATCAATATGAATATATATATACATATATTTATTATATATATACAATATATATACATATAATAATATATATAATATAATACATATAATATATATAATACATTTTATAAATATAATATAATATATATAAGAATATAATATATATGTAATATAAATATATATATATAATATAATATACATATGATATATATATATAATGTATATAATATAATATATAAATATAATATAATATATATAAGAATATAATATATATATAATATAATATACATATGATATATATATATTAACCCAGCTTTGCAACCCAACAGCATACCTGAATCTTCCACCTACGTCTTTTTTCAGACCCTGTGCCAAAATCCTGTTTTTTCAGTACCCAGAAAACTTTTCAGGACCTACTCTCAAATTCAGGACCTGGCCATTTTGGGGTATCAATGGTAATGGCAATCATTGGGTGCAAACATGCGAAACCAACATTTGGGGGATATTCAAGCCATTGGCATTGATCCACGCAAATAAAAGCACTCCCAGCCCAAACTCATGGCAAGGCAGGATCAGAATATAGTATATTCCAGAAAGTATGTCAGAATAGATGCCAGATAGGATGCCAGAAAGAATGTCAAATAGAATTTCAGAAAAGAATGTAAGATAGTATGTCAGAACATATGTGCCACATATACGTCCAGATGATATGTCAGAAACTATGTCAGAATAGTGTGTCAGGGTGGGGATCACTCTTAGTAAGGCAATTTTGAAAATATATTTCAGGTTCGGAATTTTCAAACTGTTGTCCTTCAGGCGCCGAAGCTCCCGTTGAAGGTCAGCATCGCCCCATGTCAACTGGTCCAGTCCCACTTCCATTTCAACAAGTCCAACTTCATCGATTAGGGTGTTGGTTGAATGGACTTGGGACTCTAGCTGGCACGGCATCCCTTGTAACCCTGTAGACACTGTAGTGGGCAAAAAGATTGTAACACACAGAATCAGCATCATTTTGATCAGGCATTCTTTTTGCTAATCCTTTCTCCCTATTACGAAAAATACCCCCAAATGACAAAAACTAGGTGCGATTTCCAATTTTGGGAAATGTCAAATTGGTTAATCTGATTTTTAATTGATCCCCTTGAGGAAACAATTTTAAAAATGAAGGTACCATGTGAGGGTTTCACCCCCAAAGAATAAAAAACTAGTCAACACCGGGGTGTCTTTTATTGGGGTCCGTCCTTTAAAATCGTCAATTTTAGTTTTTTTAATTCAGGTGTTGGTGTTTTATTTGATACTAGGCGAAAGCTGCGAAATCCTATTCTTGGCAGTATTCTATTTAAAGATTATTTTCATGGATTTTGAAATTAGAAACAAAAAACGGTTTAATCCCTTCCCCCTGTTGCTAAACAGTCGCCCCTTCACCCACCCACCCAAATAACAAACACCTGGAGGAATTTTTAGTATTGGGGGGGTCTTTAGTATTAGGGTACGAAGCTTCCCCCTAATACTGATAAAAAAACACACACACACACACGCATATATATATACACACATATTTCTATTTAAAAATCGATCAGATTTCTTTCTTTTTAAATCCAATTAAAATATGGCAAACAAGTGGATTCCGAAGCTTAATATCAAATAAAACCCCCAACATAAAAAATTATGTATGTTTTTCTTTTTCGAAATCGATTAGATTTCCTTTTAAAAATTTTAATAAAATATGGCCCAAAAATTGGATGTCGAAGTTTTTCCCTTATATTAAACCCTAATATCATTTTGTTTTTTTCCTGTTTCAAAATCGATTAGATTTCCTTTTGAAATCTAATGAAAAAAACAAAAAAAATGATTTTGAAGCTTTCCCCTAATATCAAATTAAAATCCAATTATTAAAATATGTTCAAAAATTGGATTTCGATGCTTCCCCTAATCTTGCATGAAAAATTCCAATATAAAAAAACTAAATTTGTTCTATTTCAGAATCGATTAGATTTCCTTGTAAAATCAAATTAAGATATTGCCAGAAATTGGATTTCGAAGCTTTCCCCTAATATTAAACCCTCATATCAAAGACTATTTTTTCTATATCAAAATTCATTAGATTTCCTTTTGAAATCTAATTAGAATATGGTCAAAAATTGGATTTTGAAATTTTCCCCTAATATTACATTAAAAAAACCCTAATATAAAATATTATTTTTTCTTTTTTGAAATCGATTCGATTTCCTTTTAAATTGTAGTAACAAAAATAAAAACAAAAACCGGATTTCGAAATGTTTCCTCTAATATTAAATTACCAGCCCTAATATATTTTAAAAAAAAAGAACTGTTTCAAAATCGATTAGTTTTCTGTTTAACATATAATTAAGATATTGCTAAAAATTGGATTTCGAAGTTTTCCCCTAAGATTAAATTAAAAACACTAATAAAAAAAAACTATGTTTTTTCGATTTCAAGAATCGATTAGATTTCCTTTTGACATCCAGCAAAAATATTTCCAGGCAATGCCAAAAAGTGGATTTCGAAGTTTTCCCCCAATATTATATAAACGTTGTAATATAAAATACTTATTTTTTCGACCTTAAAAGACCCTAGTTTAAAAAAACACCGGGGCTGACTAGTTTTTATTTTTTGGTGGTGAAATTCTGAAATGGGACCTTCATGTTCAATTTGTTTTTGAAAAGGTATCAATTAAAAGTCAAACTGGCCAGCCTGAAATTTCCCAAAATTTAACGCGGACCCTAGTAAAAGGAATCAATGTAATATTTTAGTATTTAGGGCTTTAGGGTACGTTTAGTAAAAGGAGATGGGGATTAGTAAGGTTTTCAATTTCATATAAGGGGAAGCTTCGAAATCCAATTTGGCAAGATTTGAGTTAGATTTTGAATAGGAATTCAATCGGTTTTGAAATATAAAGCTCATTTTTTAAAACAAATGTTTTCAATTTAATGTCACGGGGAAGCTTCGGAATCCAATTTTGGCAATATTTTAGTTAGATCTTATTTAAAAAATGTTTTCCAATTTAGTTTTTTTAAACCAAGGGGGAAGTTTCGCACCCTCATACTAAATACCCACTAAATACAAAAAACTATTCCGTGTGTTCATTATTGGGTGGGGAGGGGCAGACGGTTTTTTATGACGCAGGGATTGGTCAGGCATCACTTGCCGGAATTATTGGATTCTTTTGGGATGATTGGTATGATGTTTAGTTAGGCATGGTTCCCTTCAGTCATGCACGATTTTTGCAAAAATCCTATTTAGGCACGACCCCAAAATCCCAGCCCGGCAAATTCCGGCCCTGCGTTTTTCCAAAATCAGGCAAAACCAGTAAATCAGGTATTAAGTCAGGTGTAGTTACCTTTTAAGTCATTAAAGCTAGTCAGGCATGGTTCCAGTGGGTACCTTTTAATTGTGAAGGCTAGTCAGGCATGGTTCCCTTAATTCAGAGGCATGGGTACCTTTTAATTATGAAGGCTAGTCAGGCATGGGTTCTGTTAAGTCAGGCGTGGGTGGGTACCTCTTAATTATGAAGGCTAGTCAGACATGGTTCCCTTAAGTCGGGTGTGGTTACGCTTTAAGTCATGAAGGCTAGTCAGGCATGGGTACCTTTTAAGTGATGAAATCTGAATCAGGCGGAGCTCCTATTCTAAATGTGTTAAATAAAATTGTTCAGTGTGGAAAATCGATTTTTTTTGGCTGGTCTACGGGCAAACCCTGTGTCTTCCAATACCATAGCGTGCTGATGCCGCTTGCCTGCATAATAGTTAAGGCCAAAGCTTAGGTCATCAGTGTGATCCTGAAATGGCGCCACGACCAAGAAGATGACATGTGTAAAATGGGCCCTGGATTAACAAAGGCTGACTAATGAATTTGGAGGATGCCACTAAAGTATGACATGTAATCACTTTTGAGGAGCACTCTATGGCACGCAGCGCGCGCAGCCTGCTTTACGGTTTAGCGTTTGAAAGTTTTAGGCTTTGTCTCTATGGCACGCAGCGTTTGAAAGTTTAACCATTTACCTCTATGGCAGGCTGTGCGCGCAGTACGCGTTACGGTTTAAAGTTTGAAAGTTTTAGGGTTTATGTGTGTGGCACGCAGTGCGCGCAGCGCGCATTAGGGTTCAGGGTTTGGAAGTTTTATAGTTTATTTTATTGCATGCAGCGTGCACGGTTGCAGGGTTCCAAGGTTCCAGGGTTCCAAGGTTGCAGGGTTCCAGAATCCTTGAGGGTTCCAGGGTGCCAAGGTTCCAAGGTTTCAGGGTTCCACGGTCGCAGGGTTCCAAGGTTCCAGGGTTTCAGGGTTCCGGGGTTCCAAGGTTCCAGGGTTCCAGGGTTCCGGGGTTCCAAGGTTTCAGATTTCCAAGGTTCCAGGGTACCAAGGTACCAGGGTCCCACGGTTTCAGGGTTCCAAGGTTTCCACGGTTCCAAGGGTTCCAAGGGTTCCAAGGGTTCCAAGGGTTCCAAGGGTTCCAAGGGTTCCAAGGGTTCCAAGGGTTCCACGGGTTCCAGGGTTTCAGGGTCCTAGTAGGGTGCCAGGTGTGCAGGGTTGCAGGGTTCCAAGGTTCCAGGGTTCCAGGTTCCAAGGTTGCAGGGTTCCAGAATCCTTGAGGGTTCCAGGGTGCCAAGGTTCCAAGGTTTCAGGGTTCCACGGTCGCAGGGTTCCAAGGTTCCAGGGTTTCAGGGTTCCAGGGTTCCGGGGTTCCAGGGTTCTGGGGTTCCAAGGTTTCAGGGTTCCAGGCTTCCAGGGTTCCAGGGTTCCAAGGTTCCAGGGTCCAGGGTTCCAGGGTTCCAGGGTTTCAGGGTTCCAGGATCCCAGCAGGGTTCGAGGTGTGCAGGGTTGCAGGGTTCCAAGGTTCCAGGGTTCCAAGGTTGCAGGGTTCCAAGGTTTCAGGGTTCCACGGTCACAGGGTTCCAAGGTTCCAGGGTTTCAGGGTTCCAAGGTTCCGGGGTTCCAGGGTTCCAGGGTTCCAGGGTTCCGGGTTCCAAGGTTTCAGGGTTCCAGGGTTCCAGGGATCAGGGTTCCGGTTTCAGGGTTCCAAGGTTTCCAGGGTTCCAACGGTTCCAAGGGTTCCAAGGGTTCCAAGGGTTCCAACGGTTCCAACGGTTCCAGGGTTTCAGGGTCCCAGCAGGGTGCCAGCAGGGTGCCAGCAGGGTGCCAGCAGGGTGCAGGGTTGCAGGGTTCCAAGGTTCCAGGGTTCCAGAATCCTTGAGGGTTCCAGAATCCTTGAGGGTTCCAGGGTGCCAAGGTTCCAAGGTTTCAGGGTTCCACGGTCGCAGGGTTCCAAGGTTCCAGGGTTTCAGGGTTCCAGGGTTCCGGGGTTCCAGGGTTCCGGGCTTCCAAGGTTTCAGGGTTCCAGGGTTCCAGGGTTCCAGGGTTCCAGGGTCCAGGATTCCAGATTTTCCAGGATTCCAAGGTTCCAGGGTTCCAGGGTTCCAGGGTTCCAGGGTTCCAGGGTTCCAGGGTTCCAGGGTTCCAAGGTTCCAGGGTTCCAGGGTTCCAGGGTTCCACCGGATTTTGAAGGCTGCAAGTCCCCGCGAGCCAGCCCCAGCCCTAGAGATTGAAACCCAACAGGCCCTGCTGTTGGGAATAATGTATATAATGTATATTATAATATATATATAATATCTATAATATCTATAATATATAATATATATATATATATCTATTATAATATATATATATATTATATAATATATATATAATATACTATATATAATATACTATATATAATATAATATATATATATAATATAATATATATTATTAATATATATATAATATAATATATATATATATAATATAATATATATATAATATAATATAATATAATATAATATAATATAATATATATATAATATAATATAATATATATAATATATATATAATATATTATATATATAATATATATAATACATATATATATATATAATATAGTATATATATAATATAATATATATAATATAATATATATAATTCCCTAAACTTCACCAAAATTCTCAAAATTCACCAAAACGTCCTAAAATTCCCTAAACTTGCATATATATATATATGGTGCAGGGCTCGTTCCAGGAAGCCTCGGGCCTTGGAGCACTCGCCTCAGTTTCTTGGAGCGGTCGTCACGTCGGAGGTCGCGGCTTGAGGGAGCTCTTTGTGGCATCTACCATACCAGCCATAGCAATTAACATGGAATGATGCTGGATCTAAGGGATAAGATGATCCATGGGTTTTTTGGTGGGAACTTACCATAACTTAACCTTGGCATCCTTGGTGTTATCCCTATTGATAACTGTTGTTTATAACTATATATCATTGGTATACGGTGGGTGGCCAAACAATACCCCATGGTTCACCCATGGAACTTGACCGATGCTTCCTCCGTTCTTTGCCCGTTTATGGGGGAGGGAACATATACCCAGCTGAAAGAAAACATCGAGATTAATGTGATTCCGACAATTTAGATGGATTGTATACCCATATTGGTGGATGACCACTAGCCCATAAAAAAAGGGATCTATATATATATATATATCAATTATAAGGACCGTATGCTGTTTTGCAGGATGCATACCAAACTTTCAGGGCCAGAACAACGCCGGCAACGCGCTATGGCTGGATTCTTTCAAATGCGATGGCTGTAGCCCGAAGCCGAAGATAGCGCGGATAGCAGAGTGAAATGACCCATGCCATGCCATACCCAAAGCCTGAGAAAGGGGATACCCGGTTGTCTGTGTTCATATGTATTTCTGCCCTGAAACAAACAATTTGAAAATCCAAATTGACTTTCAATTTTTCAGATCAGGTGTCTTTTACGCCTGAAAACGCCACACATCTGTCCACTAACCATCTGAAACCACCCACAGGAAAACCAAAAGAAACTGGAGTTTGCCTGACTGCGAGAAAACACAACATCCCATGGTTTCTCATCAATTTTTCCATATTTTTCCTAATCACTGGCGATTTCATGGGGGTAAATCCACTTTGGGATCCACCAGGGCCTCCCAGTTTTGCACATCTTGGGTCTTAGGATGTGAAACCCGGCCTCGGTGTGGAATCTCAGAAACTGGGTCTGAGATCCCCAAAAACATCCAAGAATCTTTTATATTTGATGGGGACAATTTTTTATATGGATTTGGATTGTTTTGGGGTACCCAAAAAATGAGAAGAATTCAGACTCACTGGTTAATCATGATTCACCAATTAGAACGGCTATAAATTCGGATATTCCCCAGTTTCAGACACGCACACACACACAATAGTATGGGACGTGATCGAACCTGGAAACGAGCTCCTGAAGTGATACAAGCCTGTTTAAAACAGGTACCACCAATTCCAATGGATAATTAATGATACCCTCTGGTAAACTAACATAGCTATAAAAAACGGTGATTTATAGTGGATATACCCATTAAAAATTGTGATTTTCCATAGTTATGTTAGTTTACCAGAGGGTAATCATCATTTGTCCCATGGAAACAGCCATAAATTGTATCATCCATCCAATTTTTGGGGAAACCTTTTTTTTTTTCTGCAGGGGCATTCTAAGATTAGCCATGCCAACAGTGCAGGCTGACGCTGGATAATTCGGTGTTCACAGTATAGATATCATCAAGCATCGTAATTTTACCGACTGGTATGTGACTTTATGTATAAGTTTTTCCTATGAGTTTCTAGGTATCCAGTAGTAAGAATTCGTTTTACAGCCATGAATCGCCAAGTGAGCAGTGACGAAACATGACGAAACTATGTTGGGGGCCTAGTTGCGGCTTGGTTTGTTGATGTTTATTGGGCATTACTTTTCTGGAACTTCTGGAACTGGTTCAAGGGAAAATGTACACTCTTTTTTCCAACAATCCAGGGACTCAGGGACCATATATATATATATGATATGATTGATGATATGTATATATATATGTATATGTATAATATATATATATATTATATACAGAGAACTAACTAGGCCATGGCTTCCATAGGAAATTGTTGCAGTAGATTATCAGAGGGCCAACCGGGCTAACCGGGCCAATGAGTCGAGGTGACTGGGTGGATCTGGAAAGACCCGACATCAAATTCACCAGGCTGCCATTCAGTGCAATCCCATCCCCAAGAAAAAGAACACATGGCCCCCCAAATGATCATATTCAATACGTGCCCAGTGTTTTTGACATTGTTTCTTTCTTGGACTGAAATCGCAGTTAGCAGGATAATGACTACATGAAATCACCGACTTACTGTATATGTGGTGGGTGACCACTGGTTCCGTTCATAGACCAGGCAATTAATTGGTTCAGCAGTTGGGGTTGTGACTGGGATGTTTGCTTGTTGAGACGGGGACAAGCTCGGTGGATTCACCCATTGTTCGGTCAATGAAGAATATCAAACATCTCAACTGAGTGGCGGCAGTGAACACAGATCGGTTTTTTTTTGTGCTTTTGAAACAGACCATGGACATGATGGGAATGTGGGCCCTGTGGGTCGACATCGATTTTTTGAGGGTCGCAATGCTGTGACTTTGCTTCCCAGGAATTGCAAGTGGGTCATAATCCTATATGTTATTACAAGACTTTGGTGTTTGGGCTCCTTAAAACCCCTTCTTCATGGGGTGCGGGACCTTCCATAGGTCCAACAAAAATTTTGAGAAACACGCCATCCACGCTGCTATGCCAGGTCAAAAATGCCACCACCGTCGCAAAATGCGCACAACAAAGAAGCTCTTTTCCTCAGGGTGGCAATGCAAGGACGATTGCTTGCAACCCTGGGGGGCCAACTGACGATGGGTCGTTGTTTGTGGTGATGAGTTTTTGCTACATATAAATCATATAAATAAGGAAATCTGGAAGCCAGCAAGTCAGATGTATAGATTCATTTGTCCATTGTGGCTATTGATATTGCCATGATTGTTTAAAATAATGTGGCTATTGATATTGCCATGGCTTTTTTCATGATGTATAGATTTTCATGATTTTTTTGTGCCATGATAGCCATGGTCGGTTTATTCGTGGGAACTTATCACAACAAAAACGAGGTGTTTTTTTTGGATCCAGGGCATCCTTCGATGGATCCAGGGCAGCTGATAGCCTCTGGTTATGACTAACATAGCCATGGTTTTTTGATGGCCTATTTTAATGTTTTTCCCAGCGAACTAAACCTCCATTTATTTTGGGGATTTTCCATGGCGAACTGTTAAATAACCAGATGGTAATTTTTGTTTTTCTCCGCCCGTTTTGATGAGGATATATTAACCGAACATCACCGAAGCAGCTAGGCTTTTTCAGGGTAACCAGATTTGCCACTGCAAGGATTCAGGAAACAGGCTTAGCGGGACAGTCACAGAGGTGGATTACTGGAGTCACCAAAGGTAGCTGTCCAAGCTACCCTCTGGTAAACTAACAGTTTGCTATTGAAAAAGGCCATAAAAATAATTGATTTACCCATTAAAAATGGTGATTTTCCATAGTTATGTTAGTTTTCCATAGGGTATCCACTGGGGAGAATTGAGTCAAATATGGCTGGTGGTTTCAAAGTTAATTCACCTGAAATTCTAATGTTCAAGCAAGACTTGGAGGATCCCCAACGGCAAGGACTGCTTATACATAATATGATATACATTTATGTAATAATACATAGTTGTATATATATATATATACATATAATAGTGGAATCTTAAGCATTGGCAACCCGTAGACCCCTGCGGCTCTGATTTCTTGGGTTTCCGGAGGATGCAAACATCACCTGGCAGAGATCGAAGATGCGCTGAGAAATGTCACGCTGGAGGCGGCGTTTATATTATATATACATATGTATCATTGTAATTCATTGTCTGTATATATATATTAATATATATATAGTTTGAGTATATGGATAGAGTATAGTTTCAATATAAGTGTAATATCATTAGTAATATCTAGCATTTCAATGCATTTCAATCATATGGATACAATATATAGATGTATATGAGCTTCTATGGCTATGTTGCCCCAGCGGGTCAATTTGTCAAAACAGCCGTCTGGCGTAAATACGCCCCAAATCTCCGAAGATAAGGCATGTGTCAACCAGGCATGCCATGAACATTTATGGCATTCACGGTATGTGATGTCACATAGGGTATGGTAGATGTCAAATAATTTAGGGTATGCCAGATTTTTTCATAGCGTAAATCTCAGATAAATATATGTCAGAGACTTTGTCTGATTTTTGTTGGTACGTGATGTCAGCGCATATCTCAGAATGGATGTCAGATATGTGTTAGAATCTGTGTCAGATGATATTAGCACATGTGCCTCAATGTATATCAGTACGTTCGGATAATATGTTAGATTGTGTCAGAATATGCATTAGAGAACAGATCGGATGATTTGGCAGAATATTTCAGAAATTTTCAGAATATATGGCACATCATGTTCTTACATTTCTCAGAATAGGTACATGTAAGGTATATGTTACCATCTGGTTATTTAACATAGCCATGGAACATCACCATTCTTAATAGGTGAACCATCTATAAATGGGCCATTTTCCGTGGCTATGTTAAATAACCAGAGAGTAGAACATATGTGTGCTTAATGTGAAGACATCTGCCAGGATCATCCAAAGTCTCAGGGCGGGGATCATCGCAGAGTAGCGGGGATCATCCAGCCTTGGGCAATTGGAGAGTTTAACCATGTTTAACGTTTTTTTCCCCACAAATGGGGGTAACATGGGGTAACTAATTAGATGTAAATCGTATTGAGAAGAAAACTCGCAGGTTTCCGAGACTCGCTATGGACTACAGAACTAAAGTCACTTGTGTTCTGCACGGACATGTGCCTGAGAACGTGATAAGAGAAACTGATGGAGATGCGGTATATAATATATATATAAATACAAACATATCTCTTACAGCCATGCCTGTCCTGCTTTTGACGTCAAAAGCAATAGAGTCTAGAGTTCGCCCATGGGCTGGTCTACAATTCGGGAAGTCTATCGGGAATCTATATAATTCAATATCTTATATTATATTGTTTGTTTGTTTTTTTTTGCGCGGCCCCTGGATCTCACAAGTCCCCCATTCCATTCAAAGGGTGCGAAGAACGTGGACAGTTGGTTTGAAGCGGTGGATCAGAGCCTCGACAGATATCGAGACAGCGATGGTCCTCATTGCAACAAACTGAGAACCACGACAATTACGCTGTCTATATATTAGTAGTAGGAAAACTCATGCCACAATTGGAATCTCATAGAATGGGTCTTTTTTCGCAACCAAAGATGGGGACTTCATGAATTTCAAATGGTTGAATCTAGCCTACCAAAAAATGCAGAATCACTGGGAGTCGTAGTAGTGCTTCTTCCCACCCAATTTTAAGGGTAACGATGACCCAAGTCATCCACCACGTTATAGTCAATTTTGCCAGCATGAAAGCCACATTTTGTGCCATCCCACTTTTGGACGCTTAAACGGCTTAAAGGGTGGGATAGCTCAGGATCATGCCTCTGGAAGACAAGTTCTCCTCCTCGTTCTTGGAATGTTTGAAGGTGAGGAGGGTGGGGTGTCAGAAGGGTCCTACTTGACCATCAGGATCCTGACATTTCAAGTGACTTGCGGCTAGCTACCAGGTTTCTCGAAAGTTCCCGATTTCGGAGAATCAAAAGTGGCTCAAGCACCAGTGCCGAATTTTCTGAACAGACGGTCAAAGTGAAAAGAGATATGTTCTGCGGAACCTTGATTGAGTAGCCTTAGTTCACGAAAGGTAGCTCCTGTGGGGCTACCTTGGCCATGGGGATTTCATCGGAGTTTTACTTCACGAAGTAAATTGGAGAGTGGCGCCGCCTGATTATTCAGGAGGCCATCTAATCTGAAAATAGGCTACTCACCCCACATAGAGTGGTTGCTCACCATACCGATGATATGGCCGTACGTTGGGTAATCTGATCTGCCATTTTTGGCGAATTTTTGGTGAAAGATATTCCCGCAAAATAGCCCCATAAAGTGGTTGGTTTTACATCTGCATTTTTTGTTGCTAAAACCACCATGGCTGGATTTAGACTCCCACGAAGAAAGGCCATGTACTGAGGGTATATAAATCCAAATGTTTTCTCGGTTAAATCCATCATATTCCCTGGTTATCTCCAGCAAAACAACACACACGCACACAGATAGGTATATATATAATTAATTATATATATATAATTAATTATATATATATATAATTAATTATATATAATTATATATATACATATATTCATACATCTAGAAACTCCACCATGAATTTCGATCATTGCATGTGGAAACAATGGGTTTTCCATACCTATGTTACAATCTTACTGTAGGGAATACCCTGCGGTAATTAGTGCCATGGCTTTCTCTTTGACTTTCCCATTGACTTTGATGATTTTGCCATATATCGATGCCCACTTTTGATGGAGATTTCCCGGCTAAGTTTGAATCGTACTGAAGGGGAATGAACTAATTCACCATTGTACCAGATAGTGCCCGGCACGCGCCGGGGCGGAAGTTTCGAAAGTAGGAGATGACTACGTAGTGACTATAAGAAATCAATGGCCTATAGGAATGTTTTTGAGATGCAGAAGCCATAAGCGTTTGAAGTTGTGAGGTGCAGCAACGAATGAGCAAATGGTGGTTGAGATGCCATTGATGCCATTGAAATGCCATGAAAGACTCCGTGCACAACTGAGTCAATAAACCAATGAATTTCATCAATCATTGAATCAACGAATCGATAATTCAGTGAAACAATGAATCAATGAATCAGTGCACGAGTGAACCAGTAAGTCGATGAATCAGTGAATCAATGATTCAGCGAATCAATGAACGAATGAAGTAGCGAGCAGATGAATCGACTAATCAGCAATGATTCTGGCAGTCAATGAGGCAATGAACCGATGAATTCATGAATCGATGATTCAGTGATTCAATGAATCAGTGAATGAATGCACGAGTGAACCAGTGAGTCGATGAATCATTGAATCAATATAATCAATGACTGAGTGAACGGGTGAGTCGCAATTGAATCAATGAATCAGTTAATCCATGGATCACTGCTTGAGTGAATCAACGAATCAACGGATCATTGAACCAATGAACCAACGAGTCAGTGAATCCATGAACCCAAACCCATGACTCAATGAATGAATGAACCAATGGATGAAGGGATGGGTGGATGAAAGCACGGATGAAGGGATGGGTGGATGAAAGCATGGATGGATGGGCTTCCTACTTTTCTTTGTTGAGCTTACTTCTTCAGTGAGTGACCTCTTCGCTGAGGCACCTCTTCTCTCAGCTACTTCTTTTCTGAGCAGCCACTTATCTGGGCTACATATGCTCTGAGCTGCCTCCCAGCTAGCCCTTTTGTAGCTTCTGCAGCCAAATTCTTCTCTGTGCGCAGCTGTCACAATGCGATTAGCAGCCTCCAGCTGCAACCCCGCATAGCACAAGAGTAACACGACGGTCAAGAACTACCTGTCGTGCAGCTGCTACACTGCGTTTAGCAACCTCCAGCTGCAATCCCGCTTGCCAGGAGCGTCGCAGCATCACTCATGCTTTGCTGCGCGCAGCCGTGCCAATGCGTTTTGTCACAGCTGCAGACCCGCAAGCCAGGAGCCACACCAAATCGACCAACGTTCGCGCAGCGCTGACAATGGGCACGATTCCGCGCGATGCTGCGGCCCTCATTTTTTTAAACACATTTAATATGAAATCGAGCTCTCGATGAAGTGTCGTGCATTTTGCCGACCTCATCTTCCAAAAGTGCCCCGATCCTGGTTCCATCATATTTTTGCGATTAGAGTGTTTTCACCGGTGAATTCCACGCCTCTGTCTGTACTGTTACACTTCCCAAGTGCTTGATGATGGGTGGTTAACATGGTGATGTGGTTAACATGATGTTGGGGTTGAAGTGATAAAGGGGTTGACATGATGATGTGGCTAACATGATGGTGGGAATGCTTAACCATGACCGTCGTCCGTAACCCGGAAGTTCCCTAACTAAACCTCCTTGGATCATATCCTGTTAAGATCCCATGATGCCACCAGTCTTGTTGGTTAATTACCAGAGGGAATATGTTCAAATATGTGATAAACACATCCTGGTTGTGGGGTGGAAAAACCTAGATAATGAACCAAATCAAACATCAGGCTGGTCCAACAAGAAACCCTCTTGATTCATAGGTTAATGTTTGTATATGTTTTTTGATGCATCGGTTAATCCAAAACATCATCCAGATGGATATAGTAGATTGGGTCACTATAACATACTATAACAATTTTCATAGTTAAGTCCCACAGAAGATTCCTTGAAACCCCAACGGGTCCGACAAAACCATTTATTTTTTATAAACAACTCAAGTACCGGTAACGTCCTTTTTATATACTATTTATACAGTAAACCATCTATTTTTGATAGTTAAATCCTATAGTAAAACGGAACCAGTTGTTTGTTCCCTTGAGGATGTTCCAGAGGATGACCTGGGAGAAGTGACCCAAGACCAGCGTCACTTGCGTGGCCCGGCGAAAGGACGACCTTAGGGTGGCTTAAGATGACCATAGGGTGGATTGGTTTCTATAAGGGAAAACAATTACAGGACCCCCCATATTTCATATTATTTCATGGAACAATCCATGATCTTCTAGTAGATTTTCCCTTAAACCAATACATTGAATGGGGGATTTCGTCAGGAAAGTGGGCGTTTACGCCGACATGGGTTTAGAGGTTTAGAGAAAAATCATGGCAATGCTGAAATAACTTTGACCCGGGTGATTTTGAAATTATTGATTGGTATGGGTTTAGCACAACCCCATACAGAAGCAGCGTTCTAAATTGAAACTGTATAGTTACAAAGTTACAAACACGTTCTCATGTACGCTCTGGTAATTAACTATGGTGTGCTGGAAAATCCACCATCTACAGATGATTTTCGTATCTAAATGAATTTAAATGCACATGCCATGGGGATCCCAGCTGGCCATATTTGATTACCGGAAGGTACGAAGGTACTACCATCAATTGCGTTGCACATTTGTTCGTCAAGCACCGGTTTATGGCAATAATCCGTGGGTCAAACCCTGGTACCAGGAAAATCCTGGTTTACAACCTGGGCCCATGTTTGAAACACAAATATACAGATATTCTGATATTCAGGAAAAAACATCTCCGCAGCAGAATATCTGAACAACTCTCTAATGTTTTGTTGCTTCAATAATGCCCCCCAACCTCCCAACCACCCCTTCCCTCCCCCCCGGGCCCTGATAATCTTGTCCCATGAATAGAGTGGTGCTCCCGATTGAACAGCCACTTGGTACTGTAACTCCTGGAATTCGTGGTATGCGTATCGCTAAAAAAACTCAGGAGAATAGATCCATACGATTGGCATTATTGGGTACTAAACCATTATTGAGGTGATGGTTTAAGCAATATCCAAGCGAAACAAACCGACCCCTCAGTAGGTCTTCCAAGTTGGGGCATCAGTTTCTTCTTCTTCTTCTTCTTCTGCTGGTTCTTCTTCGTGTTATCATTTATATCATGTTCATCATCGTTATCATTTTTAACTATCATGATCCCTATCATTGTTATTGTCATTAGCAGCTATACTTGGCGATTATCATCAACATATCAATGATTTTAGTCTTATAAACTCTATGACATTGTTAGTGCCATTACTATTTTAATCTATACATACGTGTGTGTATATATATAGTTATATATATATATATTTGCCACCACATTTTTCTTTTTTGTCATGATTGCCATCTCTATTTTATTATCACCATTATTATCGTATTATTTCTCATTATTATAATTGCCATCAATACTGTAATATATGTTCGTGTTTTTCTTTTGATATCATTTTTTTTTTGAAACATAATATTGTTGGTGTTAGCATCCCAACAGTTCCAACCATCCTCTAAGACTGTAATTAGTTTCGGTTTGTCTTGCCCGGCAGTCCCGCCAGTTTGATAATTCCTGCTATTCTTATCATGGTTCTTGTTTTACATCACTATCATTTAACATTATCAATATCATTCTGATCATCACGATACTTGTTACGATTTTTTTTACTTTGCTACTATCATTACATTTGTCATGGCCATGATTATTATCATTACAATTATACTGGTCATTATTACTATATAGTCTCATTACATTGTTACTATGCAGCACCAGTTCTAACTATATATATAAGAATCCCATTGAGATATCATGTCTTGATGATATAAATGTTACACTTCCTCCAGATAAGTTTTTTCCATCCCAAAAACATATGGAGGTTTCCTAAAGTGGTGGTACCCCCAAGTCACCATGGATTTCAATACCAATTCATGGTCTAATGACTTGGATGATTTGGGGTATCCGCATGTTAAGAAACTTCCATATAATTCATGTGTATATTATCATGATTATAGATACAGGATAATTTGAATAGACTATTCAATATTATTATATAGTGTAGCCATATCTATAGTTTATTGTCATCATCATCATCATCATCATCGTCTTTAGATCATAGATCATTATAGACTATAGGTTATAGTTGCTGTGATGTCTTACAGATTATCATCATCGTATCACTAGTCATGGATTATTATAGTTACTATCATCAATATAGGGTACTATAGACTACTGTAGACTATGATCGACTATTATAGATCATCATCAATATAACCTATTGTTATCAACTATTATCTTTTATTATAGATTATTATCGATGATTATATAGATTATTCATACCCATAGGATCCATGGTGCTGGTATATATGCTAACATTTGGGGTATATTGATGGGAAATGTTACCATATATAGCATACATGGATCCTATGGGATATAGATTCTTCCATCAGACTCCGGAGACACGCGGAGAGGCCGACTCTTCGTGGGTGTTCGCTCGTCGCTTCAGCTTCGCTGGCGAGCCTTGCGCCTGCTCCACGAGCTGGCGAATCCCCAGGAGCTGGGACGTTCCAGGGGATTTCAGCCACAAACAGTTGCTGATTTGAGATGATACAATCTAGTCTACATATGATATGTATATGTATAAACTTGTATAATATGCATATGTATATGTATATGTGAAATATGTATATGTATATGTATCATATGGATATATCAACGCACAAAAAAATGTTGAAACAATATATCCAACCCCAATATAGTGGTAAATTGAAGTTTTTCTATCTTCATTTCGGGATCACTGGCAAACTCTGTTTAGTTAATTGTCCAATCGTAATTTGAAACAGTTTGGCCTGTAAAGATGATCAAACAACTGCATTTGGTACCGGTAAATTTTCTTATATTTTCGAATTCTGGTTTTGGTCAAAATCAAGATTGAGAACATCTACCAGTTTCAGTTTTTCTTTTAATATTAAGAACGTCTCATTTGGTCTATATCAATCTCAAAATTCACTTCTCTGCAGGAGTCGTACTGGAAACCCATCTTTGCCGCGCAACGTGCCATCGACATGACGCTGGACTCGAGCGGCTCCTCCTCCTCCTCCTCCTCCACGGACTCGACGGTCTCCACGGTAGACTCGTGTGGATCTCCCTCCGAAAATTCACCACAACTCCGGGAAGAGGTGGGGCCGGTGGGATGCTGGATTTTTTTTTTTTGTGAGGCCCATGAAATCATAAAAACCGATGTTTTTTACAACAAAAACAAAAAAGGTCATGAATGGGGACCTTATCAAGTGATTGGATGGATTAGTAATTACTTTTTTGGAACAAAGGGAAACACAATATATATATAATATGTACATATATGACCTAACAAGCAGCTGGCTACATATATATATATAAACATTATTTGCATGGTATCTAAGATTGGCCATGCTGTGGGAAATGGAGACCAATCCATCTGAAGATGGAGCATCTACGTGAGCTTACTGAAGAAAACCAACGAAATAGATGAACCATTGAACATACCCTGTTGGTTGGTTGATATAAAGCGTTTTACTCACCGGTTTTTCTTGTTGTGTATCATGAAATAATCCATGCTAGGGATAGCCATAGCTATGTACCAACGAGTACAATGGGAGGGAATAGGGGTATTTTGTGGCTCACACGGATTTCCTGGTGATGTAATTCGGTTTAACTGTATTTTAATTTGCTTTGTCGCCATTGTTTGCGAACTCAGCATCAATTTTGCCCGACGACTTGTTTTCCAGCAATTCTTGTACCTGCCTTCTGAGTGGGGAGACGATAGCCCCATCGTTTTCCCCCAACATTTTTGTGCCAGGGGCCCAAAGCACAGGCGCTTCCCATCTTTTTGTGGTTCATTCATCACAATCCACTACAATCCGGTACTGCAACTTCCTCGGCAGAGGGCTTTAAAACCCACTTAAATTGGTCCCCGATTCATGTGTTTTTTTTTTTTTCCGAAGCGGTACAACAGGGCTGGAAACATGATCACCAAAGCACATGCCTCTTCTATGAATGTGTGCCCCTTACAAGTTGATAAAGAATCCAAGCCTCATGGCTTTGTTGGAGTTAATGGGTGCCCAATTTCCTTTTGATGGTTGAGAGATTTTCCAATGACTGTTTTGTGTGCTATATCAAGGCTATATCCCTCATCTGATTGGAGAAACCATATCATATTGTCGGGGTTTCCTGTTTCATCTCATGGTTCAGAAAATCAGGTTTTTTGCCACATTAAGATTGAAGTCAACTATTTTATCATGAATTTTGGGGTCTCTTAAACAATTAGTATCTCCATATTTTTTTGGAGAAATTAGGACAAGTGTAATGAAAGGAGCGACATTTTTATTGGGTAGATCATGGTAGATCCCCATTAAATCACCATAAGTGTTATATCACCATTTTCAATTGGCTTTTGAAGTCCCTGTTGGTGGGATTCCGAAGCAACGAAGCAACGAGAGGTGAAGAATCTGGTGGCTCTGTCCCTCGAACTGAGTGACCCCGGGTCGTTTAGCCAGAAAGTGCTGATCTGTTATATAACGGACTGTTTTTTTTTGAACTGGTCAGTTTTTTTTTGAACTGGTTTTGAAACCTAACCCGTTATATAACGATATGATGACATTATCATAATTTATCACATATATATATACAGGGTTTATGGTGATTATACCCTTTGGTAATCAATCATGGGCTAGCTGGGAAATCTCCGAACTAAATAGAGGTCTATAGCTGGAAAAATCATCTATTGATAATCATTAATAGGGGATTGTCCATTGCCATGTTTGATTATTGGAGGGTATGTTATACAATGATATGATGATATTACAATTATATAAGTCATATATATATATACATGTTCATCATGTGTGTATATATCTATGTATACATATGTATATATATACTATCCACTGTAGTTATGGCTATCTATTTTACTATTTCTATTTTATACGAATATTCGCACATATTTGACCTAGAACCCACATCACAACCCTTGTAACCCTGGTAACCCTGTTTTGGATGGATACCATTCCATTTTATGGCATAGCTCCTCCAAGATAAGGGGGTTCCGGGTACATAGATATAGATATAAACGCGAAAACATTTGGGATTGGACAAGAACATTTATTCAGCAGACCACGCTTTTTTTTTCCCTCCAGCAGTAGGGTTTTGAGGCCCAGGGAACACTTTTTGAAGACTCAACCACTATGAACATGTTTGGCAGACCCACGTTTAAATACCCTGAAATGGTCATGATACGTCATGATTTCGATGATGCAGCGCCATGTGGAAGACACAAATGGCTGGTGATGTTTTCGCACGGCATTCAATTTCTTGGGGTCTATCACTTTCAAAGCCTCAAGCCGTTTGGGGACCTGTCATATTCAGTCACTTGGTGTCACTTAAAACATTGAACACCAACATCTGTGGGTTTCGGGTTTTAACTCTTTGGGCCAGTCGGGAAACTTGACTTTTTCCCTTTTTCAGATGTTTTTTTGTCAGAGTCGTTGGCATCGATGACTCAGCCCAAGGCTCTTTCAACTCTCAGGAGGCAAGTACGAGAAACTGCCTGAATTGGCCGATCGCACCCAGGCAGTGCCTGATGGGTAGTTGATAGCCTGGTTGTAGCCACTTTACATATCATCCGGGGATCTCCGAGAATGATGGGGTTGAGATACTGGGATTGTAACAGAACCCCCCAAATAATCACTGTGTAATTGAAAGAGTGCTATTGGAAACCAATTGTTTTATTTTCAACAGCAGTACTTGTTGGGTCTCCATCTCTGGGTCTGGGAGTGGTGCGTCATTTGCTTGCCAAACCCAGAACCGGAAGGGACATCTGGAACCCGGAACCCTGAAACATTGCAGTTGGGTTGCAGAGCTGGGTTGATGTCGCAACAGTGTAATACCACAGGGACATCCTATGTCCGCGGAAGACCTCTGACTAGGGATACTTGCATAGTTGGTGGGCGCTGGCAGGTGGGGAAGACTGGTTTGCAGCTCTTTAGCAGGGCCTGGGAAACAGGCGCGGGATAAAATCATGGGCACCTCCCAAAAGCATGGGGAACCAAGAGAAATTGTGTTTTTTGTGAGCATTTTTGAGCAAAAGGGGGTTTGGAAGATGAGTTTCTGCACTTGGAAATTGCATTTTTTAGGATTAAAGGTGAGTTTTCCGGGATGTAGTGGCTGATGAGAAATATACAAAGTTGGGTTAAACTTTCCATTTGGAACTAACCAGTCTCCCCTATTTTGTTTCTGACTGGAACCCAAACAAAGCCAGATACACCAGAAAAACATCCCACCCTTATTTCATGGAGGTCGATTTGACCATATTTGACCAAATCCAGTGGGAGGGACATGGCAAGCGAACATGTGAAGTTGATTTCCGCGTCCGAAGTCTAGAAATATGGGGACAAACCTTCGAAACTTGGGGATTCTTACTGGGTTTCCCACAGTCGAACAATGGGTGCTGTACTTTTGAGTGCATCGGATTCTTGGGAGGAAAGCACATCTCTGGCGTGTCAAAGCTGTTCTTTGCCTTCCCGCAATGATACTCACAGAAATCAGCTATGGCAGTTGCTGTTTCAAGACAGTTAGTTTGTTCATGTTTATTCTTACATAGATGTATAGCTATTCTTATTAGATATCTTTGTACGTATGTGTATATATATATAATAGTTTTTTTTTTAAAAACAATTCCTACATTTCACTAGTGAATTTTTCAAATTGTTCTCAGCGTTACTCCAGGAATGACGCAGAAGCTATGCAACATGAAAACCTTGGTGGAGACCTTGCGCCCGGTCTTGGAGGACCCGCGGACCGCAGGCGGAGGGGGATACTGGGTATATCGTAAGCCCCAAAAAAGGAGGGAAACCATGGAATCTATCGTAATTTGATGTAATTTGTCAATATTCTAGCATTGGGTTTGACTTTATGTTTTTTTTCTCTGGGGATGGTTAAGTACCTACTCGTAGGTTAACAAGGTTTCGAATGCTTTTGTGGGCACCATGGCCACTTAGCAGAACAAATGACGACGAACCACTTGATTTTGTGGAATATCCTATTTCCACACAAACCTATTTGGATATGAATCAACATTATTCAAAACTAGATTGCCGATGGACCCGCAAAATCCTGTTCTTTAATGATTAATATTGAACAATATATGTTTTTGAAGATGGGTCAAGCAAATAGGCTATCCCATTCAATCCGATGTTTTATTCCCCAAACAGTGTGGCCACACTGAGGGGTTCTTACGATAAGAGTTAAGGGCCGGTGTTCAATCGAGGTGGTATCCGGGGCGTCCGACATTTTCCCTGTAAATTTCCAAACGAAATGCTCCTTGTGACATGTCCATGTGCATTTCGACTGCGCAGGCTCGCACAAAATGCTGGCCGCATCCGCATCAGCATCATCATCATCATCATCATCATCATCACCACCATCATCATCATCATCATCATCATCTTCATCATCAACATGAACATCATCATCATCATCATCACCATCATCATCATCATCATCAACGCCATCATCATCATCATCATCATCATCATCAACACCATCAACACCATCACCATCTTCATCATCAACGCTGCCATCACCAACACCATCATCATCATCACCATCATCATCATCATCATCATCATCATCATCGTTAACATCATCATCATCATCACCATCACCATCACCATCATCATCATCCCCATCATCATCATCATCATCATCATCATCCCCATCATCATCATCATCATCATCGTGATCATCAAGCTTATAATGCATGACCTTTTTACTTCCCCCACACTGTTTGGGGTCTCTTGCCGGGATAATGAATGTTTTTTGTTTGGCATTTTTTTGATGTTATTTGATTGCCATGATACATGGTGTATCCACCATTTTTTCGACATACCCCTTGGAAAAAAGGGATTGTTAACTGACCAGTCCATCTGCCGTGGGCGTTCACATTTTTTGATTTTAGAGAGTTGTTCCCCTATGTTTTGTCATCATTTTCCCATGGTTTTACCATGGTTTTAGAGAGTTGCTCCCTTTTGTTTTCCCGTCATTTTCCCATGGTTTTACCATGATTTTAGAGAGTTGTTCCCTTATGTTTTCTCGTCATTTTCCCATTTTCCATGATTTTAGAGAGTTGTTCTCTTATGTTTTCTCGTCATTTTCCCATGGTTTTACCATGATTTTAGAGAGTTGTTCCCTTATGTTTTCTCGTCATTTTCCCATTTTTTTCCATGATTTTCCCCAAATCTCATCAAATTTCTTGTCCCAGTGTTGGCAGTGCCCAGGACGAGGGTCTGGGATGTTTGCACGTTGCCTTGGGCGATTTCCAGGCGAAAAACCAGGAGCTGCGGCAGCTCGGTGAGCTTTAAGCACCTGCCCTCGCGCACGTGGAAGGTGCAGATCTACCCGGCCTGGGTGGTTGGTGGAAAACAGGGGAAAAAACTGGACCGGTAGACCTCGGAAGATAACTTGGCTGGTGAATTCCTTTGAGATTTTTGGGAGATTCGCACAGGTTTTTTCTTTGGATTAAAACACATGGGATTTCAAGCAGGGAAACGCAACGGGTGAGTCCGGTGTTTCATGTTTTTTTTTGCCATTTTGATGGGCTAGAAACCTAACCAGCTCGAACAAAAATGTTTGATATCTGTGATTGGCCATATAAGAGTTGAAAGTGTTGGAAGTGCCACCCAATCTGACACACATTGTGGTTAACCACTATAGCACGCGTCATAATAGTCATCTAGCCATGGTAATAAATTCCTAGTAGTATTGCGATAGTCAACTAAGTATTCCTGTCCCTGAGAGAACCATCCAAAGCCTAACTAGATATGACGGAGTTCTCCTGATGTTTTGGCAGCGAGTACTGCTGTGCCACAAGCTGTGCAGGTGACAAGTCCAAAGGGTTGCCAAGTGCAAACGCCCTAAGCACATTTCAGCTTCAGTTTCCCTCATTTTAGAATGGGTCAGATTTTTGCTTGACACTTGACTCCAAACCCAGAAGCCCCATGGGGTTCTATTCAATGTGTATGCTGCAAAAAGGGTTTGTCTGAAAAATCGGGTGCCAGGGAGCCCCGTCAAAATTTCATTTTTTTTGGGTCCCAGCAGCATACACCATTGGGCCATTTTCAGACTGACCCATATGCCACAGTCTTTTTCTTGTGCATCCCTCTGATCCCTCTTTTTGCCAGGAATTATGAAGGAAGTGGAACAAGGCACGGAACATACCATGTGCAAGTGAACGCAGTAGTAGCTCCATCCTGTATTTTCCACAACAAAAGCTTGGATCAAGATGGATTAAGGGTATATGATGGCTGTACGTGCCCTTGTATAGACAATGTATGATAATGATTGATAATGTGGTAAAGCCACCTATTAACCATCCCCAAGATGGCCATAAATGGTTGGTAAAAAAAATTCCCCATATGGTAGGTTTATGGCATTGGGTTTACATAATTGGCAGCCAATCCTTGGGGCCAAACCTCAGGAAACCTCCGACATGAATCTTAGATGCGTTTTTCGCATCTGCGTGACTTTCAGTTGGTGTTTCGCTGATGAAACCCCAACTTTGGTTGGGAAAACTGGGAAAACCCCAACGTTTTTGCTTGCAAAAAACCAATCCTTCCTGGTAAATTTCTGGTAAAAACACGATCAAAATCCACCTTTCTGGTGAAATCCCAAATGCTGCAGCCGCAGGTCTGCTGGAAGTCCTGGAGGGTGGGAAGTTGTTGCTGTCCGCTTTCGGAGTGAAATGTTCTGAGGGCTGCCCTGCAAGGGCGCTGGCGATTGACGTTGATTTGCACCTCGAGAGTTTGAGGAGATGACATCAGATGGGTATGATGGGTCTGGAGAAAATGGGAGCAGAAAACCACCGAGGAGATTGGACTTTTTGAGAATCACATTGGAGATGTTCCCATTAAGCATCACACATAGGGGTCTTACCGCTAACAGGGACCCTCACACAGAGATAGAGAAAGCAAATGGATGCAAATGGTGAGTTGGCAGTTGGTAAATTCCATACTTTAAACATCTTTAAACTTTGCGCAATTTTGATTGGGATAGTGCTACTAATCTTAAGATTTCTGTTACCCATGGTTTTCAAAGGTTTGCAACACATGTTCAGAGCAATAGGATTTAATTTACCCTTTGCTTATTTAACATAGCCATGGACAAATCACCACTTCAAAAAAGCTACATATAAGGTACATTATCTATAAATATGGCTCATTTTCCGCATAGCCTGTGAGTCATAACCGGCTTTAACCGGTGTAATTTGGGTACCCTGCAACGGTGTGGATCTTGGATGGCCCGTTGCTTAACTCGCCGCCAGGGTGTTATTGGATGGCCTACAGAAAGCCGACCCAACTCCAGTGGCTCCGGTTGCCCCAAGGCACTGGGCGGTGATGGTAACCAGTTGATATAACCGTGCTGAAAAAGCTGATACCATGGGGAAAAAAACTTGATCTATTTGTTGATCTATATAATGTTTATATAATATTTATATATATATATAATCACGATGACCAGCAATATTGGCAATATATCGATAAATTTTAGCAACCGAAGCCTGGAACGTCACTGGACATGATGCTTCGGATTAGGGAATCATCCCTGGATTGGAACATTTCCATCGCCAGATTAGTACCATATGGATCCTCGTGAGCGACTCATCTAGACGTTGCTAGGCACAGCTGGCTTGTGATTTTACATCATTTTACATCTTCATTGCTTTTACTATGCCTACCTGAAATGCATGGGTGCCCGCATGAATTGCCGATTCACGAGCATGTCCTGAAGTGTGTATGTTTTGCCATCACTGGCTTGCGCCAACGAACTGGGGTGTTTTTTTTTCCAACCAACAGGGTGAAACTGACAGAAACGTCAAGGAAGCACTCTATTTGAGCACTATTGAAACCCCCTTTTCATTGATGATTATTGGGAATTATACCAACAATCCAATAGGGAAATCTCTATTGACCATCAAGTATTGATGCCCAATTTGGTAGTTTATCTGTGTAGGCTCAGCCGCCAGGGTTGGATTCAAGATGGCCATGATCCTGTAGGTAACCTGATGCTTTTGCAGCCCCTTGTAAAACACCTCATGTTTTTCCCCACCTGCCAGGTGAGGGTTGTTAGATTTTATCAGAGCTGTTCTCCTCCTCCTCCTCCGCCTCCTCCTCGCGGTCCAGATCCCAGTGGGCACAGCCGGACCTCCACCGCGAGCTCCAGATCCCAGTGGGCACTGCCGGACCTCCACCGCGAGCTCCAGATCCCAGTGGGCTCTGCCGGACCTCAACCGCGAGTTGCAGATCGCAGTGGGCACTGCCGGACCTCAACCGCGACTTCCAGGTCGCAGTGGGCACTGCCGCCGCGAGCTCCAGATCCCAGTGGGCACTGCCGGACCTCAACCGCGAGTTGCAGATCGCAGTGGGCACTGCCGGACCTCAACCGCGACTTCCAGATCGCAGTGGGCACTGCCGGACCTCAACGGGAAGAAAAGATGTCAGATAGAATGTCAGAAGATATGCCAGAAAGAATGTCAGAAAGAGTGTCAGAAGATATGTCAGATAGAATGCCAGAAGATATGCCAGATAGAATGCCAGAAAAAATGTCAGAAGATATGCCAGATAAAATGTCAGATAGAATGCCAGAAGATATGCCAGATAGAATGCCTGAAGATTTGCCAGTAAGAAAATGTATAAATGTCGTGGTGGGGATCATTCGAAGTGAAGTAATTTTTCTCGAAACCGGGAAACGCCCTGATCCCTTGGCACCGCTTTTTAGATCAGGAGGGCCAAAGTGGAAAGAAGCTGCGGTCAAAATCCTGTCCCTCGAAGTGGGAAGGGAAAGCCAACGAGATGGAGGATGCAGACTGGGGGGCTGGGGTTGGCTTCAAAATAGCCCTTGTTTGGCTAACCTAACCTGGCAATGGAAATTCCATTTGTAGAACTGAAAAATCCGAGTGAATCGCCATTGGGAGGCGATTTTCCTCGATTTTCAATTGACATGTCTGGTTACAGAATATTACGACCACCTCGCTGGTCTGGTAGGCCTGGAACAAGTCGTTTGGTGAAAGAGATGTCCAACCAAAATGGTACCGCAACTCTGCACACTTTTGACCACTTGATGATCTTGATGCGGGATTGCACGTACCCACTTGACTTGAGGATCCAAGCCTTTTTTAGAGCCTCCACTTCCGAATATTGCAGGTTTTTGTTTTTGTTTGAAGAAGTAGGGCATAGTAGGTCGGTGTTAGTACTATTTCCCTTTCGCATAGCCAAGCATGCCAAGCAGCCAACCTATTATTCTTCGGCCTCTGAGATTCAATTCTCATGATGAATTGTGTCCTAGGAGACCGCCCAAAAGCAAGCAGGCAAACGCCCCTCCTCAGGCTTGCTGGGTACCCCTGATGAACATGATTCCTCAAGAATAGGGTATGAATCGGTATGAGTATAATATGAGTATATACCGTATATATATATAATTATATAAATATATTATAACTAAAATATCTTTTCCCCCAACACGGCAGCGATGTCGTCATGACGGGTGCGATTGCCACATGCAGCGTTTTTCCATGCCGAGGCACCATCCGGGGAAAACCACGATGAGTCGGATGAGACCCACGACGAGGCACGGGGAACCGCTGGGATAGTCTCCATTTGCTATTTTGGAAAAGAATGGGATGCAAATGGAGATAATTATATAGTAATTATATATAATATACAATTAACCATAGTATAGTAATGATATACCTCCTGGTTTTCCATATAGTTGTGGAAAGTCAACATGTTTGATACGTAAATCAACTGTTTCAATGGTCATGCTCAATAACTATATGGCGGGCCAATGGGAAACTCCTTTTGCGCAGAAAAATGGCCATGTTCCGTGGCAAACGCTTAGATGACCAAAGGGTAAATCCTCATCACCCCATCTTCCTATTGATTGCTGTAGTATAGAAATGTACATATACATATAATTACCGTATACATATATATATATATATTATAACATATTATGTATATATATATATACAAGTGTATACAACGTATATTCATATACAATATATATATATAATATGTGATATCCTATTAAATATCATGAAACACCATGAAACAAGTTATTGAAGCGCTCATAAAACTCCCGTATTTTGTTCATCCGCAAACGGCCCTTGGCGCCAGCTGAGGCAGAGGTGACCCAGGTGGACAGCCACGAGGCACAGTGGTATTCGAATTTATCCCTGGGAAAGATGATGGAGATATGGAGATATGATATGATTGATATGGAGATATGGTTAGGATAATAATTATGGTAAAATGACGGTTAATTGATTATAAATGGAGATTAATGACATTTAACATGATGAAATGATGGTTAATTATGTTAACTTTAAGTGTTAATTAATGTTAGGACTGTTAGGATATGTTGGGATCCAGATTTGCTGATAGTGCTGTTAATTGACGTTAATCCTTAGGACTATCCTGAATGTTATCCTAATTTCTTTAACTGAAAGAGATTGGATGAATCCTGGAAAAGATGGTGGACGGACTCTAATATAACCCAGAAAATGAGATTGTGTTGTGGTGGTGCTAGAAGATGTAGACACATATAATCATACAGTCCCGACTTTGTTGATGAGTTCTGGCCAACTTACCATGGGTGCTGAGATTCTCTTCTGAAAGGTTTGTGGAAAACACCATACCCTCTGGTAATGACTAACATAGCTATTGAAAATTGCACTTTATAGTGGATTTTCCCATTAAAAATGGTGATTTTCCATAGTGATGTTAGTTTACCAGAGGGTATTTGCCATGAATCTCCATTTTCATTGCGGGCACATCTTTTCAGGACGATTTTTTCGTCAATTCCCATGGCAGGCCCAAAAAAAAACACCGCAGCCACCAGCGCCTGCCACTGGCGCCGAGCTACCTGACACCCACAAGGCAAAGGTGGCCTTGGGGATAGGTCAGGATTTTGTTCAGGGAGTGATGGGCTGAAAATTAAGGAAAACCCGATGAAAATGGCAACTTTAACACATTTTCATCCGGAAAATGCTGATCAACCAGTAACTTTCGGGGGTTCTAAAATTTCCTGGGTGTCGAAAGGTGTTTTATCACGGAGCAGGTGGATGTGGCTGCCCAGAACTGAGCGCGGTGAGGGTGTAGCAACCGTAGAAACACCAAGCGAAATGACGGCTGACATGAGATGAGAATGTCATCCGGGTAAATCCTGAAACCTTGGCTGGGTAAACCCAAGAATACAGCTACCATTTACCCATATTTAACCAATCTTTTTCTGTAAGTTGAGGAGTGTACTAACCAGCTAAAGATCATGCATGCATGTTTTTTTGGGTATCCAAGTCGATGATACGAATCCCTGGTGATGAAAAAATGTCTAGGCATCTTCAAGGAGATCTCCAGCAAAGATGATAGGTGGCAGTCGCAAGCAAAATTGGATACATATATATATATGATATATATACACATACACACTGTCTATATGATGTATATACACATATGCATCTAATTACATCTACTGATGTATGTATGTATGTGATATGTATATATATATATGCGTAATTACATATGTATTTCTATACACGTGCATATCTACATATAAGGTACTGCCAGGAATAGCAAAAAAAGACTACACATGACCAGCAGGAAGAATGTGTATGCCGCTGTATGCCTATTTTGCAAGTTCCCAACAGCAGCCACTGTTGGGTTTGGAACCCTGGAAGCTGAGTAGAAAACTGGATTATCTTTGGATGCCCAAATCATCAGGAAATCGAAAGAACAGATCCTTCGACAAACTTCGGTGACATTGGTCCAATATCGCAATTTAAATCATCCTTTCAAATGAGAACATATATCAAGAGCACCATCTAAATGGATCCGAATGGCTGGGTCTCGCCATGCTTCTTTGAGCAGAGGGTACTACACAACTGTTTGAAGGTGCGCGTGGCCGTGATTGCGTTGCCCGGACGGCCTGAAATGTACAGTGGCGCGTCCCTGGCCACCATGGTGAGCATTGGGGGAATCATCCCCTGCTAGTTGTAAGATTATTATGAACTCAGACAGATGGTTGTTATGTTGCCGGTAATCAAATATCGCAATTGAACATCCACCATTTGTAGATGTGTTTTTCCATCTTAACCTCCATTTAGTTCGCCGCTGCACCGCCACGTTAGCGGCAAAACGAGAGCGACACGCCAGCCACAGAATCGGTGTGTGGTTCTTCATTTTCTTTCCACCAAGGTGAGTTCAAACCGCCCAAGCGAGCTTCACCGGTAAACTCTTTAAACTTGAGATTGGATGAGGTCCTGGTTTTCAGTGCATCAGCCTGGAGGTTTCGTTGAATCTGGACGGTGGTTTAGAGTTCGAATTACAGTAGAGTTATGTCATATGTTCCAAAGCATCTTTTGGATTTTTTGGTGATCCCGAATTGAACTCATTGTGGTTCTTCCCAACATACACTCTCTGGTAATTTAACTATAGCTACAGAAAATGGTTGATCATTTTTCCCTATATGAAACATGTTAATTACCCTCTGGTAAACTAACAGTTTGCTATTGAAAATTGCCATAGAAATAGTGAATTTTCCCATTGAAAATGGTGGATCTTTCCATAGCTATGTTAGTTTACCAGAGGGTAAACATGATGATTCTCCAGTTCGCTACGTGGAAAAATCCCAGGTCTCACGTTGTTTTTTAACCGTGCCACGGTTGCCTTTTCGGTAGCCAGGTCAAAGGGACGAAAGGATGAAGAGAAAGAGGTGAAGCGCACCTTAGGTCCGGGCCCATTTTATGGTGGAGAATTGGGTTCTGGTTTGTTTCCACATAAAAAATCACATGTATATACTGTATATATATATGTACATATACATATATACATACCATATTATTATAATATATATATATAATATGGAGGTTTCCTAAGTCATAGGGGTACCCATATTGGGTACTCCCAAATCATCCTAAGTTGGAGCAGCTCCTGAGTATTGAAATCCATGGTGACTTTATATGGGTCCTGCATTTTCAGACAGCCCCATCACCTGGAATGCTGGTGAAATACTTGTTGGTTGAACGTCCTCCCTGCTGGTTCTCGGGACGAAAGCCTCGAGAGGGACCCGAGATGGGAAAAAAACAAAAAAGGAAATGACTTAAGCCACCTTTAAGCCACCTTTTCAAGCCACCTTTAAGCCATCTTTTCCCCAGTTCCCCAGTTCTAGTCATTCTTCTCTGGCTAAAGCATGCTACAGCGCTTGATTGCCTCCAGCCGGTTGGTCTCTTTCAAAATCGCCGCAGGTTTTATCGTCTTGCGAGGCGATGCTGCTTTTTCGTTGGATTACAGTAGGTAGTAGACCACCCAAGGACCAAAGCAGTTGGATATTGGATGGTTTCATGCAGAAGCAAGGCACACTCGATGGTGCCTTTGACACCCTACTTTCTGGGAACTACATAATGTAGATTCCAATTGTAGAATGCCGCATACATACATACATACATACATACATACGTACGTACGTACATACATACAGTGTATGTATGTATATATATATATGCGTGTTTTATAGACCGGATGCAGCGTTTCCAGGCGAGACTATCGTGTCCCTGATGGCCGAGGCCGCGGCGTGGTTGGTTGAAGCAATAGCTGGATGGTTTATAGTAGAAAATCCCAGCTATAAATGGATGAAAACTAGGCTAAAACCACCATGACTTAGGAAATGCCCATATTATGTTGTTTTCATATTTTCTTCACATGTTATAATATCTTACTTAAGGTGATAATCCCAGTCCCATCGTCAAGTTGACGCTATTTTGTTGATTTTACTACCAGTCAACAGATGTTTTTTTACCCCAACTACCAGGCATCTTATCTTCAAGGAATCATGGCAGAGAGCCGGGAATGAAATATGGTCGTTTCTTTGCTTATGAAGGTCAGCCAATTGCTGCAGGATTCCAAGGGTTCTTTCATTTCATCATATTTCATCCTATTTCATTATCTTTCATTATGTTTCATCATATTTCATTATGTTTCATGATATTTCGTCATATTTCATCATATTTCATCATATTTTATCATTCTTCATCCATATGAGAATTCATTCCAGATTGGAAGATATGGTATCCTAAAATGGGGTACCCCCAAATCATCCAGTGATTAGACCATGACTTAGTATTGAAACCCATGGTGACTTGGGGATCCCCCATGACTTAAGAAACCCCATTTTTTCCGCAGCGATATGCAGTTCATGACGAACTACACGCCAGCAGCAGCATACCAACAGCAAGGTGCAGAAACAAAAGAGAAACAATGTATGACACAAGGATCAATTTGAGCTACTGGATAAGCTGCTAACGTGCACCTACAACACGGGACCCAATGAAATTGGGAAGGTGGACCCCAAAAACACGAAAACAAGGAGAAACTGTATAACAAAGGAGAAAATAGCTTGAAGGAGTAAGTCCCGTGACGCACAGCAGGTTTCGTGACCACTTGTCTCTCACAGGCAGGAGGGACCGTGGTCTCCCGGCATGCCACCGGAGATGGTGAGAACCAGTCCTTGGCCCTCTGCAGGAAGGAGAGTATGTCGTACCAGCCGAAGAAAGGAGAAGAAAATGGATGAGTATGCAAGACTGCCCCCATAGTCTTGAACGTGGAGTCAAAGAGAACGGAAACTTGAAGAAGGAGAAGATGTGGATGTGGTAGAAAATAGCCGGCACTGCAGGAGGAGCAACTTGTGAAAAGACATGGTAAATCTGGCCGAAGGGCAGATTCGAAGTTCCTGCTCGAGAATGAAGGACATAACAGTGAGAATGTTTGTTGAAGCCAAGGAGTGTAAAACTCCCGGCATCCAAAATCTGTATTTGGAGAAAGTTCCTGAATAGGTGGCACTGGTCTGCACCGGTTTTCGCAGAATAGTCAGAATAGTCTGGTAGTTCATGAGATCCAAAACCGCGGTCACTGAGGTGACCATGGCTGCCATGGCTCCCTTTTTCGTGTCTGATATAATGGCAAAATGGGGGTGGGTCAAAACCTATTACCTATCAATTTTAGTGGGATGAACATCTGTTTACCAGCTATTTTGAGGTTCACTAGGTCACTAGGTACCAGGTTTTTAGACCCATAGCCAAATCATTCCGCATTGGATTCACATGGGAGTGGGATGTCAAAACGGTCAAAACCTGGTGCCTACCCTAGAATTGCTGGTTAATCTATGTTTATTCCCCCAGTCTTATGGGGGTTTCCATAAATGGGGGTACCCCCAATAGCTGGATGGTTTATTTCATGGAAAAACCCAATCTAAAATGGATGATTTAGGGGTACACCCCCATTTATGGAAACCTCCATATGGTAATTTCATAGGTAACTGGTTGGTGGTTTGGAATATTTATTATTTTTCCATATATTGGGAATGGTAAGCCCAACTGACTTTCATATTTTTCAAGATGCTTAAAACATGTTAAAACCACCAACCAGGTAACTTGACCCACCCCATCCTGAACATGATCTCCTGTTGCCAGGCACCACCCCCCACCGGGCCCAAGAAGCCGGACATTCAACCGGGTCCTGGCCGTGGACAGGTGGGCGCCTTCCGAAACAATGGGGAGGTTCGCAGCAAAAATTGGGATTTTAAGAGTTCAAAACATGGTAAAACAATGGGATTTCAACGGTAAAACATGATAAAGATGTGGTTTTTGAACAGTAACACGTGATCAACACGGACAATTTCAAGGGTCAGGGGATCAGGACTTAGATTTGTGGAGACAATTTAGGGAAAATGCATCCAAATCCACGGATTTTACACATGATTTGCCCTATACAGCCATTTGGGGGGTATACCCAATTTTCAGACAAACTCACTTGAGGATTTCACAAATTGGGATTTGACTCGTGCTACTAAAGATGCGCACTCGTTGTCTTGGGTGCTTGGGGTATATGAGGTTAGTGATGCTCGGTTCCAGTGGAAAATGACACCTTCAACAGCTTTCAACCAATCAAAATGGTGGAAATTGAAGTGGAGATTTGAACAAGAAACGCAGTAAGATGGCCCCCAGGAATCTACAACTGAAACGGCGGTTGCAACAAGCCAGCGTGTGGAGTTCAGCCAAGAAGTATGGAGATACGACGACCAAACATGTCGATGTAATCTTAGATTTTTTTGGGGTTATCCAACTAAAATGGGTCGGAGAACCAAGCGTCATGAAGAAAACTGCTTAGAAATAATGACGAGAAGACCATAGAATCTATAGAACACCATGAAAAATGTGACCAGCCTAGATTTTGACTAGACATTAGACCAGATTTACCAAGGCAGATGCATCTTGCTGATCTTGCAGGATCACCAGTTCTCTCCAGTGGGATGGGATGAAAAATTCCCCCTGTTCTTGCCATGATTTTTATCAGCACCTCCCGAGCGCCTGTTGGATGTTACAACATGTTACCATGAAAGTTTTACAGCACAGGTCCTTGATACGCTCCAGAAATCTCCATAACATATTGAAGTCTGAAACAGTTGGACAATCATGAAGTATCGCCGACCTTGAATCGACCTCGTCAAAAAATCGATGTGACATCAACCCATGATTCTGAAGTCACTGTAACCTGCAGGTGGCGGGTCGTGGTATGCCGGCTGCGTACCCTGGCGTAAATCCATGGTGAAGACAATCCACAGGTTGAGATTTAAAGTGACTGGTTTATGGTTGGTTTATGATTGGTTGATGGGTTGTAGACAGATAGGTGATTTGACGTAGAGTTGTTTTTCTCCCAGAGATGATATTTGTCGCGAATCAGATTGGCCATGGAAATTAACAGTCTTCAATCAGTCTTCACATTGCTGATCTGCGGTGTATCCTACCATATCCTACCCAAATCCTACCCAAATCCCAAGAAATCCCAAGAAGATCAAGAATGCTTGGCATTTCTTGCTGAATAGGAATCCCATGACGGATCCTAACGGTGCTGCTTTTTCGATGGTGTGCCATGGATCCCATCAATATACCCCAGTCATGTTAGCACTACCAGCACCAGCCGGATCCGTCATGGGAATGTTTTGGTGGCACCGGTGGACCTCCCAAGGCCCTTGAGTTCGGCCCCAGCCGGACTTTCTGGTCCTGTGCGTGGAGTGGGTGGCCGGTTCCGCCCAGATTTGGTGACAAAGCGTTAGCCACGGGGAATGATAATCATAGATAATCATAGGATATAATGACAGGATATAATAGGTATACGGTAGATGCTTTGTAATGCCATGTAATGCCCAACCTGAAACTTGCTGTTTTGCTACATAGCATATCTAATAAGATAATATAAGATATAGGATTCGCCATCGAACGTTGCAGCGTTTAAAAATCGGGCATCCCTTGAAGTGCTTTGAAGTTGGCAGGTGAACCTGGCGGAATCTGTCCACATCTCTGAACCAGTTATGAAACAAATCAAGACAGCCCCGGGATTCACATCTTTTTGGTTGTAGCAAATATATATATAATTATATATATAATTATATATATATACTATATGTATATATACATATAGTATATATATAGACTATATACGATAATTATAGACTATATACGATAATTATATATAAAACTGTACGTATACATATATCATATATGTATATATAGTTTTTAGACCCCGATTTGTTTCCCCTGCTTTCTAGCCCTTCCCTGGCCCAGGTCCGGCTGCCATCCAGATGCAGCCCAAAGCGCCTGCGGCTCTGGGCGGTGCTCCGTTGGGACACCTGGGACACCTGGGACACCTGCAGATTTTCTCTCAGGGGATGCCGAGAGAAGGGAGATGTTCCCATGTTTTCCCATGGGATAAAAAATGGGTTATTAACCAGTGATACCATGTTCTACCATGTTCTACCGGGTCAAAAAAAGCATGTGGAGATGTGGTGTTTCACTGTGGATGATAAGCTGGTTTCTAACCTCCATATGTATACCATAAACCCTAGTGAAATAGGAGCAATAGGAGTTATAAAAGAAGTTATAAACCACGTAAATATCCAAGTCATTAGACCATGACGTAGTAAAGCTATGGTGACGACTGGGGATCCCCATTTTAGGAAACACTGGGTTTCGAAACGCGGGATTTTCCCGCATCTATGTTAACGTTTTTTGCGCAGGGCCCACTCGGATCATAAAAAATTCAAGAATATTCCAGAGATGCGCCAAATAAACCAGCATCTCATGAAATACAGTCAGGGTTTTGTATTTGGTATACTAGAACAGATGTTTGAAGCATGAAAAATCTGGAAACAATTCAGGTGCTTGATGATTTATAGGTGTTTTAACATATTTTAACCATCAAACACGTGGAGATTCAATTAAGGAGGGTTGGTTGACGACTATTGCAATTTTAAGGGGTTGAACGGGCATGGAATAAGGATATAGTCTAGTCCGATATATTTCACCAAAACTATGATGTTAGTTTATTGAATAAAGTTGTCCTTTTTTTCTGCCCTTCATATGCGAAGTATCAGAATCAATGCATTCAATGAACTGGGACGTCGCATCAAACAACAGTATGTAGGGGATTTTCCAAAAAGTATTGACATGTTTCGACACTGCTCACGGAACGAAAAGAGTCTCGAGACAGTCTATGATTGTCTCGATTGCAGGAGAGAAAACCATACTTTTGGATACTACCATAGATCTCATTTATACAGTACTTTTCATTGCGGTTGGATGGATGATCGGTGGATGTTCGTTGATTTTACCGTACTGTCTTCCAAGCCTGGGTTAAGCGTGGGTCGCTAAGACCTAGGACCACACGACCAAGTGATCAAGCTGCTACTGATCTGTGGAAAAAAAGGAATGTATACGTAGATAAATCATGATAAATCTACATTATAATTAAGTATAACATTGAGTTATAGATTCTATACGTAAAGTATAATCAACATTGATATGGAAAGCCAATGGTTTCCCAAGGATATTATCTATACTTGGTGTTTTTTTTATTTAATGTCCGTATCTATGCTAATTAGCTGGATTGTCACCCCCAACTTTGTTGGCTTCAAATCTAAAATTTTTGAGAGTAAAATCACCATTTTTGATGGCTACGTTGAATCACCATGTTGGATAGCTATTCCCCAATTTTTGATAGGTAAATCTATATTTTTGATGGTTCAATCCCTATGTTTGATAGTGTTTAATCCCTATTTTTGATGGTTAATTCATCATTATTGATGGCTAAATCATGTTAAATCCCTATGTGTGATAGGTAAATTTGCTGGAAACCCAACCAGGCCTGGAATGCCACCGGGCTTCCCAGCACGACCCCCTGGCATGCCGCCCGGGGAGCCTAGGGGAGCCGACATTGGGCCGACATGTTCAGCAGAAAACTTTGGGATTTCACCCAAAACAAGCACCAAGCAGGATAGATAGATGGATAGATAGCTAGATAGATATGCTGGAACCCTGAAAGGAGGCTTGGTTTGAAGCTGTTGACCCACAAAATGGAGGGCAAACATGGGCAAACCATCCATTTTGGAGGGTTCATTTGGGTTCCAGCTATACATGATTATATGTATGAATGAATATCAACAGTTTCCTGCTTGGGCATCTATCAGAAGTGGTGACAGCAATCCCCACAGTAGAAGAGTTCCTTTCTTCATGCATTTTTTTTTAAAGTGGGCTTCCGAGGAGGAGTACTAGCAGCTGATCCCGATCCCCATTTTTTTGTTGACTTGAAGAAATCGGATTCTGATGCTTAGCTTTCATTTTCCACCCAATCTTGACCCATGTCAAGACATTTACATAAATCCTAAAAGAACAAGGTGGGCCAGAGAACCCAAAAGCAAGACGGCACGCAGCACGCCTTTTTTTAAGAATATCGTGGTGTGGGCAGCTGTGCTCTGCACGAAATCGACGTAAGATCTTTACTGAAACATCGTGCGCACTGATGGTATCAGGGCCACAATTCACCACAGCATGCTGTGTCAGCTACGTCTACATTCTTCTAGTCGCTATTTCTGCTGATGTAATTAACTCTATCCCATCTTTCTAGTCGCTTCCTGGGTTCTCGTTTAGTTTGCTTCGCCGCAGAGGGAGCGAGGACGAAGCGTGGATGGATAGAACACCGTGCGAAATGAAAACTAAACGACGCAGGGAGTTGACCAAAAGAGCATGAAAACGAAGATATGAAGATATGACAGATGGTGAACGATCATGGAAAATGAGACATGATGAAAGATGGGTCAAGACTTCTCTGTACAAAAGCTTCTATGCGTAAAAGCTACTGTGTGTAAACGCGTCTGTGCGTACAAGTTTCTTTGTGTAAAAGTTCCTCTGTGCAAAGGTTTTTTCGTGAAAAAACTTCTGTGTGTAAAAGCTTCTGTGTGTAAAAGTATCTGTGTGTAAAAGTTTCTTTGCGTAAAAGCTTCTGTGTGTAAAAGCTTCTGTGTGTAAAAGTTTCTGTGTGTAAAAGCTTCTGTGTATAAAAATGCTTTGTGTAAAAGCTTCTGTATATAAAAGCTCCCCTGTGTGTACAAGCTTCGCTGCGTAAAAGCTGCTCTATGTAAAAGTTCTGTGCGCCGTAAAGTTGTCTGTTTGTAATACCTTCTGTGTGTGAACGCGTCTGTGTGTACAAGATTCTGTGTGCAAAAGCTCTTCTGTGCAAAGACTTCTCTGTGTAAACGCGTCTGTGTGTAAAAGCTCCTCTGTGTAAAGACTTCTCTGTGTAAACGCGTCTGTGCGTAAAAGCTTCTCTGTGTAAGACTTCTCTGTGTAAAAGCTACTCTGTGCAAAAGGTTCTGTGCGTAAAGGGCTTCTGTGTGCAAAAGCTCCTCTGTGTAAAGGCTTCTGTGTGTAAACGCGTTTGTGCGTAAAAGCTCCTCTGTGTAAGACTTCTCGGTGTAAAAAGCTTCTGTGCGTGAAAGCTTCTGTGTGTAAAATCTTTCTTCTGTAAAAGTTTCCTTGTGCAAAAGCTCCTGTCTGTGAAAACTTCTCTGTGTAAAGGCTTTTTGTGTAAAAGCTTCTGTGTGTAAAAGCTGCTCTGTGTAAAAGTTTCTGCGCGCCGTAAAAGCCTCTATTTGTAAAACCTTCTGTGTGTAAACGTGTTTGTGTGTAAAAGCTTCTGTGTGTAAATCTCCTTGGTGTAAGGACTTCTCTGTGTAAAAGCTTGTGTGTGTGTGTGTCAAGACTTCTCTGTATAACAGGCTTCTCTCTGTAAAAGCCTCCGTGTGTACAGGCTTCTCTGTGTCAAGACTTCTCTGTGTAAAGACTTCTCTGTGTAAAAGCTACTCTGTGCAAAAAAGCTTCTGTGCGTAAAGGCTTCTGTGTGCAAGCGCGTCCTTGTGTCAAGACTCCTCTGTGTAAACGCGCCGTGTGTCAAAGTTTCTGTGTAAAGGTTTTTTGTGAAAAAACTTCTGTGTGTAAATGCTTCTGTGTGTAAGAGCTTCTCTGTGCAAAGGCTTTCCCATGCAGAAGCTTCTAATTGTAAAATCTTCTGTGTAAAGCTCCTCTGTGCCTAAACGTTTTTTGTGTGTAAACACTTTGTGTGCAAAAACTCCTCTGTGTAAAGACTTATCTGTGCAAACCCGTCTGTGCGTAAAAGCTCCTCTGTGTAAGACTTCTCGGTGAAAAAAGTTTCTCTGTGTACAAGCTTCTGTGTGTAAAAGCTTTCCTGTGTAAAAGCTTCCTTGTGCAAAAGCCTCTGCGTGTAAAGACTTCTCTGTGTCAAAGCCTCTGCGTGTACAAGCTTTTCCGTGTAAAAGGTGCTCTGTGTAAGAGCTGCTCTGCGTAAAAGGCTTCTCTGTCTAAAAGCCTCTGTGCGTGCAAGCTTCTCTGTGTCAAGACTACTCCGTATAAAGACTTCTCTGTGTAAAAGCTTCTTTGTGTAAAACCATTCCTGTGTACAACCTTCTCTGTGTAAAAGATCCTCCATGTAAAGCTCCTCTGTGTAAAGCTCCTCTGTGTAAAAGCTGCTCTGTGTAAACCCCGTGCCAACAGCTCCGCATTTTCAGCGCCACTCCCTCCCAGCAGAGCTTTTCCCAAGCTATTTCCCCACCTGTCCGTTCACGCTGATGCATATCCTATGCTTGGGTTCTCGTTTAGTTTGCTTCGCTGCGAAGGGAGCGAAAACCAAGCATCGACGGACAGAACGCCGTGCAAAATGAAAACCCCTCCAGCAAAGAACTTTTTCCCATGCATGTCCGGCATGTCCCTTTGCCCAGCGTTTAGACACCGTTTGAATCCGTTTGAGAAGTCTTTGGCGCGTTGATGGAATTTGTCCTGAAAAATACGTGCTAACAGCGCTGCTCTTTTAGTCTCCCTCCCTGCCAACGCAGCTATGCACGTCCCATGGCCCAGGGTTTGGAAACTTTGGCGGTGAGGGCGCAGTTTTTCGGAACAATCGTGTTGATGAAACAGCTCTGCTCTTTTAGCCCCCTGCCAACGAAGCTATGCATGTCCCATCGCCCTGTGTTTACACACCGCTTGACAAGTCTTGGGCGCACACTTTTTCGGCGCAATCCAATTGATGAAATTTGTCTTGAAAACCCACTCCAACAGCTCTAGATTCTCACTATATCGCTATGCAGCTATATGCAGCTCTCCCCAAGCTATTTCCCACGGTTTCCCGTCCGTCCACCATGTCCACGCTTCCGTGTCGCTCCCTCCCAACGGATGTCCACGCTTCTGTGTCGCTCCCCCCGCGGCAAAGCAAACTAAACGAGAACCTAAGCATCGGAGATGCTTTTGGAAAAAAGAGCATCATTGACCAAAAAACAAATCAACAGATCTACCCCCAAAAAATAGTCCGTGGTTTGCTCAACCCCTCAGTAGTTTTTTTTTGCCTTGCTGAGATCGGAAAATGCGAATCTAAGGGGCATGGTGCCTCCCGGAATGCCTGGCATGCCACCTGGCATGCCGCCTCCCGGAATGCCAGGCGGATCGGCTGGGAAGTAACTGATAGATAGATTAGTGTTTGAAACATATCTTCATGATATAAAGATATATAAATATAATTGAATATATAATATTGTTACTCTTCTTGTTAGGGTTACTATTACTATGTTTATCATCATTGGTGTTATCGTCACGGTTCTTATTGTTGTTAATATATATGTATATATATACACGCATAATGTTATAATATACATACATCCATCCATCCATCCATCCATCCGTCCGTCCATGCATCCATGCGTCCATGCATCCATGCATCCATGCATCCATGCATCCATGCATACATCCATACATCCATACATCCATGCATACATACATTGCATTACATTACATAACATCACATCACATAACATAACACAACATACTATTCGTATGGTATAGTATGGTTATGAATCAGCATTCGAGAAATCCATGAAAAAGGACAGTGAGATGGGCGTAGATCTTTGGAGTTGATGTACTGAGATAGGTGCAACAAAAGCCTGGATTTGACTCTTGTAGATACATGTGGCTGCACAATGGTCATTGCAAAAAAACACTCCAATAAATCAACGCACCTTAGTCCACCCCCTGCTGTGGTGTTTCTGTGCTCACAATAGTTTCACTTCCTCATGGCCCCTGCCGAAAACTTCCAAAATCCGCGATGGACGTCCATTTAGATCAAGTTGAATCCCAATGCAAATGAATCCCATATTTTGCTTGCCCGAATCCTCGTCACCTGGGAGATTTGTGCCCTCCGAAACGAACTTGGTGAGGCATGGGCAGAGGCATGCCCCCTATGGGACGTGGCGCCTGAGTGGTGTTTCATCAGATCAAGAGATATCGAGAGGCTCAAGAATGGATTTAGCAACAGCAACAACAACAGCAACAACAACAACAACAACAACAAAAAGATCAACTGGCTCAGTCAATGCCTGTCTGGCAAGCTTGGAAGTTCATATGTTTCGCCAAAAATGCAGAGTGAAAAAATGCTGATCCCAGATGTTGATCCCCTGGCAACAACACGTTGGCTCCCGACTCGTGTGACATATGTGGAAAAGGGCTCGAACCCGTCGTCTGGTGAAGAAAGTCCTTGTTTGGGAAAATGATGGTTCATAGATGCCTTGTTTGGGCGCAGCAATTTGGGGCAATCCCAAGTTTTTCGTGGTTTTGCTGGGTATCTAAGTCTAGCCATCTACTGAATGGTATTGAATGTAGTGTGTATATGTGTTTATTGGTGAATGTTTTTTTGGTTAGTTTCAAATATTTGTCCATTCTCAATGCCCTACTTGGATGGGTTTCTCAATCATCATCCGCCATCCCCAAATATCGAGTCGCCCATTTCAATATTTCCTCACTAGGCTGGGGGTGATGTTTGGGGTGGTTGCCCGGGGTCTCACATTTTGTTGCTTATACATTTACATGTACATACAGATGCGTATAAATGTGTAAAAGATTGAAAAAGTAATTAAACACACACATACATACATAAATACATACATACATACATACATACGTACATACATACATACGTACGTACATACATACATACATGCATACATACATACATACATACATACATACATAGATACATACATAGATACATACATAGATACATACATAGATACATACATAGATACATACATAGATACATAGATACATAGATACATAGATACATAGATACATAGATACATAGATACATAGATACATAGACAGACAGACAGACAGACAGACAGACAGATAGATAGATAGATAGATAGATACATACATACATACATACATGCATATATATATATATCGATCTTGCTGATTTGTGGTTTCAAAGATTATTTCTTTCCCTTCAAATGATGATTCCCAGCTGACTTGTACTTTTCAATTGTTCCTACTGTTTCTTTGTTCCGCGGCCTGGCGGCGTCTAGGCCCAAGGGGAAATCCCGTGGCACTGGGGCAAGGTGTCGAGTGAAAAAAATATCCAGTGCCCCCAAAAAGGCACCAACAAAACAGCCAAAATCAGCCAAAATGACAGAGATTTAACAAAAGTCGCAGCCCTTTCCAAAGAAATGACTCGACTATTCAAGCTAAACACTCGACTCGACCAAGCACTTGGCCAAGAAACCTAGACACGAAGCATCGCAAAGCTCTCCAAAGTGCGGACATCAGGCGAATCACATTTCAACTATCCCAGCTTCAGTCTGGTTGGTGGTTTCAAGTCTATCCTTGATTTATTTAAACAACATTTGATGATCCCTTAAGTGACCTTCATGTTTTCTGGCCTTGAAACCAACCAGAAAGGAGAGCGAAGGACAATCCGAGTGACAGTGCAACGTGGGGTTCGACCCCTTGATCAAGCTTTCCAACCATGGATATGAGGCCTGGGTGCACGCAGGAAGGCAAATGAGGAGTCTTCAAAACTGATAATTGTAGTGGCCTATATGGGTTATACATAGTTATACAATGTTTTACAGTTATACTATCCAATTTTGGGATTCTCATCCATGAACTGGGAGTCCGGTTCCTAAGCAGCCAGGATTGAATGGTTGGGCTGGGCCAAAAAAAGGCCAGTCTCGCCAGAGCTTAGCATCCAGAGACGCTATGAGACGGTATGAGGAACCAACAACCACTCAAGTACCCTGGGGGAAACGAACGTAGGTGTGGAAAACCTACGGTTTCCCGTTCTCAAAATGATTTCCACAAAAATGTTCGTTTTCAGGAGATGACTTGGAATTTCCCTGGAATTTGGAGCCCATTCATTGCCTTCAGCTTTTCTGATGGAGCGCACCCACACTGTGTTTTTCTGTGATCAAATGTCCTTTCGAGTTGGAGATATATGTAATCACAGAAATGTAATATAATTATGATCACACACATACATATATATATATCACTTGGTGATCAAATGTATATAATTATATTGACATGTATTCACCAAGTGATATATATATACAGTATATATGGCAGCAGTTTTGTAACAAAGATCCAGATATTGGGTTTCCCAATCAATAACCTCGGTATATACCCACTTTTATTTACCTTAGTTTTATTATGTTTTATTGAGAATATTTACGTAATATTGAAATCTACATGCTCATGGGGATATTTCTATCGACATTGATTCAAAAAATCATAGTGGTGATGGGCATATTATGGTATATTAGTCAGACTTACAGTTGTATTCCATTACCCTCTGGTAATTCAACATAGCTATTGAAAATGGCCATTTATAGTGAGTTTTCCCATTACAAATGGTGATTTTCCATAGTTATGTAAACGTTTACCAGGCCGGGTACATTACTGTAAGGCAACGTTATGAATTTGCGACTTCTACTCAGGATGTCCCGAGTCGGATTTCCTGCACTCGAATTGATCATAGTCAAATAAGGAATTCGCGCGGATTTTTTGGGATTTTCCGGAGAAACAAATGGATTGCCCTAGCTTTTTTGAACTTGTTTTGTATGTTTAAGGGTAAATCATAGCTGGTTTCAGTCCAACATCTTCTATGAAGATTTAGAATATCGGTGCAGTAATTAATTTCGAAATTTCATAGGTGCCCATTTCTAGATTACCCGCATCTAGAATATCAGCATCTACCCTCCAGTAGTCAAAGGTGGCAATGGAAAATCCCGTAGGAACGACATTTTCTAGCTAGGAAAATCATCGATATATGTAACTGTATATATGGGGATTTGATGGCCCCATTATATCAATTTCCTATGCAATTCTAGATCCCCCTTATATTCATGTTCTTTCATCGCCATAAAACATGTCACCTATTCAAAACTTCGGAATTTGTCATGAAAACAGTGCAGGAATTATAGATGTATATAGTTAAGTTAAATATAGCCTATTTTTAGTTAAGATTTAGTTAAGATCTCCATTTTTTATAGGCAAAAATTCTATGATCATGTCCCATTTTTTTCGGTGAAATGTTTCATGGGATCAGTTCGATCGGCCAGGCCTCCACCGCCTCCACCCTTGAGTTTGGTGATGCTCCCGGATGGGATTCGCAGTGGGGATTTTCACTGCTCTGTGGAGAATCTATTTTTGGTTTATGTGGGTTTCTGGATGGTGGATCTAACGATCGAATCACTGGGTGTTTTTTTTTCCCGGAAAAATGTAAAAACGGGGCGGGGAAGTCAACTATGGAGGCGGGAAAATCATCGAAGTAAATGGTGGAGTTTCCAGCACGGCATGTTTGATTGCCGGAGGGAAAATTACATATGGTTACAATGTAACTATTTCTGTTTCTGGAATCTGGTTGCAACAAAAACATCGAATCCCAATTTTAGATGTCTGAAAATGGGAAAATGAGACCTCAGAACGTGGCTATTTTAGGAGGGAAATGATGTTCTAAATTTTGGTGGCATGAGGTACCCTGTCCTCCAAGTTTGGTGGTTTCCTGTGATGAACCACTCGGCATAGGTTGAAAACAATAAAACACAAGTCGTTTTACCACTGGGCATTATGTCTTTGCGGCTCAAATGAGTTTCAAACTAGTGTTAAATTTGATGGCCCCAATGGGATAAAAGGATTTATGATTTATGGTCAAGTGTCGGGAATTGGATGACATCAACTCCGGCAGATGGTGTATAATCTTCCTCTGATTCAGGGGTAAACCACGAACAAATTTAAAAAAATGGGAACCTAAGGTATGTATTATCCCAAGTTTGATTTCACGATCATCGCAAGCAACCTCAAAATTTGAACACCTGCAACATAGAGACCCCTGAATAGCCGGGTCATGATTCTGCGATATTCGGTAAACCAGCAGCGGATTATACCACTTGGGGAAGGTTTCTAGTCACTGAGGATGGTTCATGGCTTTGGGGTTTTCTACGTTGGTTATAATGTCTACTCCCATTTTCTTGGTGCATCCCACTTAGTAAGTGATTAATTATCCATATCATGTAAGGTTTTTGATCAAACACCAACAGGGTCCCGCACTCCTCTTTTTTTTTTTGAAACCACATTGTCCACCAAGAAGTGGGTGAAGATAGACATCCGGCAAAGCTGCAGCTGGGGATAGTTAAACCGTTTTGAGTTTTACCACATCCAAACTTCGCTCCAAAAATTCATGCGGCACCAGCACACCAGACCACCAGACTTCTGCTGAGGCGCAGCAAGCGCAACAGCTGCAAAGTGCCAAGTTCGGTGGATTTCCAGCACCGAAGTTGCCAATCAACATGGGTTCAGGTGGAGCGGAGCCACGGGATCTGGGGCTTTTATGGGCTTTTGGCACCACTGTGCGCATTCGTTCAGGTGTGAAACACAGTCTTTCACCGAAATTGGAGGTGTCCAAAAAATGCTGGTACCCATGAAAAATCATGAATTTTCATAGGATTGGCCATGATTTTCCATGAAATCAACCATCCATTTTATGGGTTCCATCATAAACCATCCAGCTATGTACCCCAGGCGCTGGTGGCAACTGGCAAGCTTCCATGCCAGGCTCGGTGGGTGGGTGAACTCCCAATGGATGTGTCGTACAAGTGTCGTAGTATAAGAGGCTTAGTAACTTATCTGGTTGGTGGTTTGGAACATTTGGTTTAATATGGGATAATGATGGTTAATGAATGGTTAATAATGGTTAATAATCACTGGTTGGTGGTGACTGGAACATGGATGGATTATGACTTTCCAGAAACAGTTGGGAATGGAACGTCATAATCCCAACTGACGAACTCACTCCATGATTTTTCAGAGGGCTAGGTCAACCACCAACCAGATGAAATCACCATTAAATTCCATTAAATCACCATTAAATCATGATATTCCCATGGTATCCCCATATAATCCATGGTATTTTTGTAGAAGTGGTGGCTCACTTCATTTGATCCATGATCCGTGGCCTGTCGGTTGTTCAATCCAGCGAAAGATCGACATTCAGGAAACCAGAAAAAGTAGCGGTCCAATCTTCACCAGGTCAAGAATTTGGCTTTGGCATGGTTTAGTACTGTAGCAAAAAGAATTACGGATAAATACGGTCTATCATCATTTTCTACATTAAATTGGGAAATTGACCGTAGATTTTAGGGGAACACAGCATTTTCAAACAAATCCATATGGTTCTACAGATATTCCTGATCGGTTTCTCATGTATTGTACACTAGTACATCACCATAGAACACCATAGATCGCGGGGCGATTTAGAGCCCAGTGAATCCCGAAAAAGACAATGATCAAGGGGGCATGCTTGTTGTTTTCACCCACAGTTTCATTGGTTAAATTCCGTGCCTGTTGCTTAAATGTGATTTTGTTTATTTTTGTTGATTCTAGCCCATTTCTGTTTTTTCACCTTCCATTTTCTTCGCTTCAACTTGCATTTGCGGTGGCTTTTTTGCTGCCATTTTTGCTCTAGCCTGGTTTAACATCCAGTTCATCCATATTTTCATCCATATTTTTCATCCATTTTCATCCATGTTCAGCCAGTTTCATCCATTTTCATTGGCAGTTTCCTCCACCGTTTGCGGGTGATCTCCCTAATCCCAGGCGGCATGACGCCGGGCATGTGGCTTGGATGGCGGATGTTGTCATTGGGATGTGTGTGAAACGCATCCAAAATTCCCAATGTTTGAGATTATGATGATATGATGATCATTCCATTGATTCATGAATTTCGGGTTCAAATTCATTGGGATCATGATGGTTAAAATGATGATTAAACTCCGTAATTCATGTAATGTGATGATCATCGGATACAAGGATCCTTAAAATTCATGGGGCTTACGATGATGACTGATTTCTAGGTTCCAATTCATTGGGATGTCATTGATTTGACATGGATTTAACCATCCAAAATTGATGGGGATTTGACTGATCTACAGTACATCTAGTCTTCCAAAATCGGGATAAAACGGCTTTAAACATCCAAAATGGGCATCCAAAATGGTGATAGCATGTGATAGCAACCTCACTCACTGGCCTTCCGATGGCCAAGTTGGGGATTGCGGATTGACCGTAGTTGGATGTACAAATCTATGATCTGATAATATATATATATACATACTGTTATATATAGCGTTTACTTGAGATGATACACTTCCTGTAAACACGCACATACATACCATATACAAATACATAATATATATATATGTTATGTGTATATATGAGCCCGGTCCCCGGACCCCCACACCCCCCCCCTCCCCCCCCAATGGTATCCCCCCCCACTCCTAACCCCCCCCACCCCCCCAAAACCTAGTATTTGCATGTTATTTGCACATATACATACACATATACACATATATACTCCCCTTTCCACCCCTCCAACCTCGCATCTCTACGTTATTTGCAGCACTTGAGAGCCACGACCTCGTCAACGGACCTTGTCTACCTGTATATTTCTATCATAACCTTTTTTTCGAACCGCCTATAGCGTGCCTCGCACATGGTTTACAACATATTTGCTACCTATGGATTACGCAAAGCTTACCTATGCAAACCTAGACATATGTACAGTAGAAAAACAATAAATAAATAAACAAATAAACAAATAAATAAATAAATAAATAAATATGTATATATATATGCACATTCTAGATACTACAGATTGATATCTTGATCTTGTATCTATCACATATTTCGTTTACATTGTACATACTGTACACGTATATATATATATGTATATATATATGCATATATATATATATACATATATATATACACATAAACTCTAGATATACAGCGTGTATTGCTGTCGATATTCAAAATACCACATATACTATGTAAAATTTATTCAACGCACATATTTACCTATATTGTATATATTACATCTACTGTGGATACAGTACATGTGGCATATACTATCTATATTCTATCAAAAACCACATATACGATGTATATATATATATGTTCAATATATATATATATATATCTGTCAAATATATATCTATATATAATATATATATATATAGATTGCATATATTCTATTTATATCTTACATATTATATATATGTTTATATATATATATACACTACACATACACTCTATATTACATATAGTATATCCATTCTAATTATCGATACATATGCATTATATGCACTATAAAGACTACATACACCATGGCTTGGCTGCTGAGAAAACCCCCCCTCCCCTGCCACAGGGGGGGAACCATCTGGCTGGGTGGGGGGGGGGTGTGGGGGTCCCTGCTCATATATATATATATACACACATACGCCATATGTAAATATATAACATGCACATAATAGTCATATTCTAATAGTATGCATCTATCTTGTACTCTCCAGTTGTGCGCCCAACCAAGGTCCAACGGCATGAATCCCGGGGCCATGAAAGGCCGTTGGGCGCCATGGGGATTTTGCCGGGAAGGCTCCGTGGAATATGATCTACAACTGGAAGGTTACCACGATATCGATTCGTGTTCCCTCGTGTTTTTTTCCAGATGGCTTCAAGATGACTTAAATTTGACTGCTTAAGGTGGTTTGGATGTTTGGAAGATTTTTTATTTTCCATTTCATGTATGGGATGTCATCCTTCCCATTGGCTTTCATATTTTTCAAGATGGTTATTGCACCACCAACCAGTTATATAATATGTATTAACCATTATTAACCATTATTAACCATGATTAACCATGATTAACCATGATTAACCATGATTAACCATGATTAACCATGATTAACCATCATTAAACATTACCCTTGTGGCTCTTGTTTTCGAAGGGGCGAATGCCAAGCAGTTGCAGCTTTCATCAGCGATGATCACCGTTTAGGTGGAGCCCTGCGGCCGAACTGGGGCGCCATGCCAGGGCTCCTTGGTGAACAGGGCCCCCAAATGATTTGATACTTATAACTAGGCTACGTTGTGTGTATAACGGATATACATGAAGATACATAATATATATATAAGTATATATACACATATATTGTAATATAATAATAATAGTATATAATTGATTAATAGTAATAATATACATGTATAGTATAAAATTAGATATATAGTGTGTATATATATAGAGTGTATATATATATAGATGCATATTGATACAACATGATATATATATATTTCCAGTGGATTGGTTTATATACACCAACTCATAACTTGGGGGCATCGGATTTTTCCAGTATCATGTCACTGGCGACGTCAAGGGAGTCCTGGGGCAAATTTCTGTGGCTCAAAGCCTGGTGGCTCATCCTGGGATCTACCCGGCCTGGTAAACGTTGAACCAGTTTGCGAACTTGAAAATAACCATAGAAATAGTTGATTGACCCAGCTAGAAGGTGATTTTCCATAGTTATGTAAACGTTTACCAGAGGGTAAATCCTATTAAATCCCATTAGATCCCATTAAACCACCATTAAAAACCCATTAAATCCCCATTTATAAGGGATTTTCCATGGCTATGTTAAATAACCAGATGGTAAGTAGGTCAAAAATATGTCTGTTTCTTTCAGGACAGGATTAATCCACGAAAAACCACTAGGGTGAACTGGTTCTGGTGAGCCCTTTGGGAAGATGTTTTGCATTCCTTGGGAAGGGAGTCATCCATGAGTTTCTGAGAAAAATTGCCCTTAAATATGGGTTGAACATGAATTATAAACGTTGGAACGATATTAGAAACGTTGAGACACAATCTACAAAAATATGGTTAAACATAAATTTAAATCGATATTTGTGGTTTCTAGATTCTTTTAAGTTGATCTAAATTGTCCAGAATGGAAGGAGAGTCCTTTAGATTTTGGCATCAGATGCATCAAGACCACACCATCCACTGAACAAGATGTGGGATATCATCTGCAAGTTTCATACTTACTACATCTTACTACATACTGTGATTCTTTTACGATCACGTGATCGTGTAGGGAACAAGGCGTAATAACAAATGATGACCATCTAGTGTGACGAGTGTGGACCAAACATCCAAAATAGAAAATAGGCAAGGCCGAAGACAGTATGGCGACGCACATTTTCCTCACTTACAGATGCTTGTCGTATGTTGATTTTCTGTTAACAGTGTTAACATGTTTGATTATTATTTGTTGATTCTAGTCTAAGATCAGTTTATGACTTTCTGACACTGCCAGCACATGGGACCTCACAGGGAAACTTGGGGTCCAAGTGATACTGTATATACGATGTTTTATTGAGTTTGCCAATGAGCAAAAAGTAAACTCAGAACCATCAGAACCTTGGACATCCCAAGAAAGGACATGTTTCAGAGGGAACGACTTGTTTTTGTGATACGACAAGCGGACCACGGGACGGTTTTTTCCACCAAAAAATGTCAGCAAAAGTTCCCAGGAGCTGAAAGCCACTATAGAATACTGGTTCGATTCCGCATGTTTGTGGGTGAATTTTTTGGTGAATTTCCCATTTTTCACCGGTTAGGTCATGTTAGGTCTCCCTCAAACCGCGCTGATTTCCCAGGCAGTTTGGCGGCGGGCCTGTCCCTGGAAGTTATACACCGTGGCTGGCACTGAAACGGGAGGAGTTTAGGGGATGGTGAACGATGGCCCTCCGGGAATCAAACATGGCTGGAACATCCACGAACTACTCGTAAATAGAGGTTTTACCCTCTGGTTATTTAACATAGCCATGGAAAATCACCATTTTTAATAGGTAAACCATCTATAAATGGGCCATTCTCCATGTTAAATAACCAGAGGGTAAATGGTTTTAATATGGAAACATCATCTATGGGGATTTGAAAAATTGCACGTCTGGGGCTTCAATCTTGACCCGGACCCAGTGATTTTTCAGGGAGCCAGTGTTGTTTCATATCGGGTTTAGAAGACTACTTTCCTCTAGATATCGATTAATTATTCATGATTATGCTCTGTCTTAATTTAGGGACTGATATATGGTGGATCCTGTTACGATTATTGGTGATCTGAGAATAAACTTGGCCTATCCCCAGTATGGGATTCCTCATCTAGGTGCCAACATATTCCAACATGAACATCAATGATCCCTGTCGATTTTTTATCCTACAGCTGTTCATGGATATGAATCTATGTCGTTAAAGATAAATGGGCGAATTATATCAAATCATAGCGACCTCACCGGCTGTTTTTTTCATAAATAATGATTGGCAAGGAACACAAGCTCCAAATGTGCTGATTTCAGGTTTTAGGGAAAGGTGTCATTCGCGCAAGCACAATATAACATAAATATACATAAATGAGATTGGCGACGCTGCAAGTTCGCAGACAAGTTGGATATTCAGCCTTATTCCATGAGGGTAGTGTGATCCACAAGCATTTTTGCATTTTTTTGAAGTGTATCGGCTATCTTCGATGGCTTTTCAACCCATGATTATCTCTGAAGTTAAGACATGGTTGTAACTGCTGATACAGTAGATATGGCCCCAGTGTTTCTCTGGGTTTTAGTAATTTCTGCGCGTCAGGTTGAATTTGCGGGGATAACGGCATAACTATTGTGTGTGTGTAACTGCTAGATGATGTTGGATCTGTTAGTGTAACTGCAGGTTGTTCCAATAATATGGGTTTGTTTGAAAACTGGGTAGCCCATTCCATTCACTGCTGCATGATAATTTTACCATCTAAAGTTCTAAAGCTTGACATATGGGTACTATATACATGTATATACGTCATGTTCAGATGTTGGTTATGTGTCCCATTACATCCTCCTAAATCCTATCAACTCCCTATTGTTCATGGTTAAGCCGCATCCATTTTCAGACACCAAACATCAGATTGTTGGTGACATTCTATGCCATAATACACCCATTTGTTAAATCATGTAACACATGTCCATGTTTGGTGGTTAAATCACAATATCTTATACTTATACATGCATATATATATATATATATATTCCAACCCAGCTATATCAAGTTGAAGACACATGATGTATATCCCATTAATACCCCCTCAACATTTCAGCAATATCCCATTGATAGTTTTCACCAAGGTCCCCGCCACAACAGTACCTTGGCAGATGCTGTAAATGCTGCATAAATTTACTGAGATGATCTATACAGAAACACCAAGAAAGATGGAATCTGGTAATTCTTCACTATTTTACTAGGATTTCACCAACTTCCATCCTTTTGCGGGTTGCTTGAATGTAGCTATTTGAATACATGTATCTATTTGGTGTATATATATATATAAATATGAATATACATATATAAATATGAATATATATATATATATATATGAATATATATATATATATATGTATATGAATATATAGCTGCATAGATTTATTGAAATTGCTTGCAGGCAATTCGGCAGATTTTTTCCCATGAACTCCCGGTGCTTCCGCAGGCACTTCGGCAACTCCCCTGGGCTCCAGAGATCGAGTCCCGACAGAAAAACCAGAGGGAAGCCGAAGGGTTTATGGTAAATGGGACGATATTGATCAATATATGGGATATTAACCATGGAAAATATTGATTTATCATGATTTATCTATGGAAAATAAATGAACATATATAATGATATATTGATCAATATACCATTTACCATGGAAAATATTGATGGAACATATGGATGGTTCATATTGATTGTTTTTTTTGAATTTTATGGTAAATCAATATTGATTCCATGTTATTAATATATGGGATATTGATGGAATATTGATTTATCAGCGGAAAATAATGATATATATTTTTTTCTTTCTATGGTATACCCTCTGGTAAACGTTTACAGTTTGTGAACTTGAACATGGCCCATTGAAATAGTTGATTTACTTACGTATGAAAATAGTGATTTTCCATAGCTTTGTAAACGTTTACCAGAGGGTAGATCTTGGGGTTTCTTAAATGTTGGGATCCCCAAGTCACCATGGGCTTCAGATGGCTTCAGTACATTAGTCATGGTCATCCATGACTAGATGATTTGGAGGTTCCTCCATTTTAGGAAGCCTCCAGATTTTTCGGATGATATAGGATGGTTTTTTTGGGGTCTCCAAAATTGGGGTTTAACCAACGAACGTGGTAGTATAATAGGGATATATGATATAATGAGTTTTTTTTAATGGAAAATGCAGATACTCTCTGAATCACACCCATTCTATGTTTCCAAATATGTGATTTCATCCCATACTAAAAACAACTTGGCTTGTTTTTCGGGTGTGAAACCCCCAAAATGGGGGATCTTTGACATCCGACCCAGCAGACGTGAAGGTGGGGATGGATCATTCTGAAGGATAGAAATGACGATCATCAGAAAAAGAACGATCCGATTTATCAAGTTTCAAGCCACCAATTTTTTTGGGGTCCTAAATCACGGTATCAGATTTGTCACATCACATGATTTGTCGCTTTGGTGGTTTCATATGTTGAAATCGTTGCAGGGACCTGACCTTGCCTGACTTTTTTTTTAGAACAGGACTGACACATGGGTCACATTGGCTAATGATGGATATAATGATGGTTAATGATGGTTAATGATGGATATAAGTTTGTTTGTCCCAGCAAACAAAAGCTGAACACGCGTGGGCTACTCCAAACGTGGTGGGGTTCGATGCCGAGGAACAGCTATGGCAATGGGAGCGGTGCCTACAAACCAGGCGGCCCTTTTGGGACGATGAAAGGTAGGTCGATGAGTTGCCGTTGTTTTTCTTAAAGTATGATGGCTTGCGGTACCCTCTGGTGAACTAACAAAAAACTATGGAAAATCACCATTTTTCATGGGAAAATCCACTATAAATGGCCATTTTCAATTGCTATGTTAGTTCACCAGAAGGTATTGTACATATGGGAAAATGATGGAAATGTCTTTTCCATGAGGCTTCAGGAAGATCTATGAATTGCTTGACGGGAACACTGGCAGGAAACCTCTGTAGAACGGTAAGAGGCCACTTGCTTTTTGTAGATTCTGAAATCAAGGCTGGGGATGCCTCCACACCACTGTCACATCTTGCATTCTCAGTCATTCTCAGTCAGCAGGCGGATATATAAAAAGGGAACGAAAGATAGCCAAATGAACATACCCTCTGGTAATTCAACGTAGCTATTGAAAATGACCATTAATAGTGGATTTTCCCATTAAAAATGGTGATTTTCAATAGCTATGTTAAATTACCAGAGGGTACATCAACTATATATCATATCTAAAAATGGCCACTTCCGTTGGGAAAAGTCACTCTCCTTCATAATTATAGCCTCTTTGAAGTTCTGTCTTTGTTTTTGCGGGGGTTGCATCATGACATTTGCGATAGCCCCTACTACTGATTGAATGACAGCGGAAATTTCAGGACCCTACTATGGAGGTACTGTACCATAATATAAGGCTGTATTTTGTGAGATATTCATGTACATAGCCCTTACATAGGCCTTATATATGGTAGGCACCTGCAACTTAGGTTCCTAAATGGCCTGTGGGGTCATAGCCCATCTTGATTCTAAGCTAAACCCAGTTTTGGGTAATTCATACTTGACGAACATATCTGGTGCTTTTTGTCGGTCTCGACACATTAAGACCGCATGTTGTAGGTTAGACATTCCCGAAATTGGCTTTGTTTCCCAGTAGTAGGGTAACCCCAAATCTAATGGTGTAGAAAAGAATTGCATATTTACATATATATATAATAATTATTATATATATATAATAATAATAATTATATATACAATAATTACACACATACACTAACTCATAGCCATACATAGAGTAAATCCATCATTTTTAGACAAACATATAACATTGTTGGGTTTGGAAATCCGAGTGTATCCAACTATATCCCAATAAGGATTGTATGATTCTTAGATACCTCAATATGTTCTATGCATCACCCGTGTTGTTTCCCATTCTCTATCCCTCCTCCAAAAAATCTCGCGCTCTCTCTCTCTCTCTCCCATTGTCACTGGGGTCATTGGGGGGGCCTGACTAGATAATATATATATATATGTATAAATATATTTTTAATCCCAGAAGAAGATCCCATAAAATCTCCCTATTGCATCCTATATATATATACATTGTTAATCATCATTTTCCCCATCAAAATACGTGTGTTTGTTGGTAATAATTTCCGCATTTTCACACGCACATATCATATCGGTGGACATATACCCCATGATATTCTCATGATACACCTCCATATTTTCCCTCTTGTTTAGATTAGTTTAAATCCATCATTGACCCAAGACAATCGCATATTTTGTCCACATTTTCTCATATTCTTCATTCTATCCATAAAAATGGATGGGTGGGAAAATTGAAACCGGAAACCCCTCATTTTTGATAGTGAAAACACATGGGTTTCCTGTAGGTTATCCCTTAAACCAATCCATTCGATCCCATATTCGCCAGGTCCTGGCGCACCGCAGGTGGGGAGACGAGACTGGGAGACGAGAGGGAGACGATGGTATCTCTATTAATCTTTAATGTATATCTATAATATATATATAATGTATATAATATATATATATAGATATATTTGATTATATATGAACATGTGATTCCACATATGAACGATGGTATATTTTCTTATCTATAATGTGTATATATATATATATATATATGCACATGTGATTCCTGCATATATATATATATACATTGTGCAAATGATATGTATATGTCTATAAAACGTATATATATACATATAGCGGTAGATACTTGGTACACAAAAATTGCAATTCAAAGGGAGAAAACTCTTCCTTTCCCAATTGACAAACATGACGCATATCCCCATCAGGTTGCCCTGGCATTATGTACGTGCTGCCGTATATGTATGATCGTATATATATATACATATGCATATGCATGTGCAGGCATCCTACTCAGCCATTACAGCAGGAAGCAGTTGACACTGTGCAGAGGTGGCTCCCACCCTTCCTGGTGATAACTTCGGCCCAAGATCGCATGCCGATCGCTCATATGATATCATGTTGGCTATATACATATATCATTATAGCATATGACCATATTGTCGTATTACCATTGACTGAAAATGTTGTCATATTGTAATACTATCATATTATCATTGTTATCATTTTATCATAATGGTTATATATATATACAGTATATATAATATATAAATCTCATCATATCCCCATCATAGTCTCCATGATATCCCCCATTTATGGTTTCGGTCATCGCGGCAACATTATTTGATCCTTGGCTTCACCAGCAGCTTTTGGACCACCAGAGGTTTCATCAATGACGAGGTTATGATTTTGGGGGTTCCCCTATGACTTTGGAAACCTCCATATGACCACATGAATTGTATATGGGAAGTTTCTAAGTTTCTGGGACGCCATCACTTTTATACTTATTCTAGAACACACCCAACAAACCCAAGACTCCAAGGTAAACCAAAGTGGTTGGACATTCGCTTTCAGAGCGCCGGTAGTTTGGCCAGTTTCGCCATGGAGACCGAAGAAAGGCATGTGGCTTCATTGGTCACTTGCACTTCTGCATGCGCATGCCTTTGACATGTCAATGTGTTGGCCAAAGAACTTAGAAGATTACTTCAGAAAGACCTGCTGTGACAATGTGAACATGCAGTGCTTCAACGGGATCTACACCTACGAGAGTTGCTGGTTCGCTGTTTTTCTTGTCTTCCCGTTTGTATCCATTTGTCAGGAAAAATGATTTATTTCTTGTTGGAGAGACAGATTTCAGCACATATCGCACATATCATTCTTGACCATAGTTCTACCATAGTTTTACTCATGATATCCCAAAAAATATCCCAAAATCTACCCAAAATATCCCATGATATCCCATAATCTTTCATGATATTTCCCTATGATACAAATTCTTAGCTCCAGACTCGACGGACGGATGTTGGATCTCCAGACTCTGTGCGTGAAAACTCCGAAACCCCACAGTGTCCAAGGGGAGGGTACGATGTAAATTGTTGCCGTTGGGTCATTTTTTTTGATTTGGGCAAGTCAAAGTTTGGTCAATCAACTAGCATCATGGCTGTGTTGTGGACTTTGCCATGGCAGTATGACTATGACCAGGGAGTCACACTGAAACAAGCATATTTTGGAAGTTTGAAACGTAGCAAAGTGTCACAAGCATCTCCAGTCCTGACTCGTAACAATCTAGGGTTGTCATATTTTGCTAGACCCCTATGTTTTCTCTTCTCCATATTGAAGAAAACATGCGTGTATATATATAATTATATACATACACATACATATATATATATGTATATATATATATACGTATATACATACACCATATTGTTGGTTTGTATACTCGGATGATTTCGATTGCGAATGTACTATCCTTATATATCCTTATCATGATTGATGTTTTTACCCTACCTCCCCTTCTTGTGAATGTCCCACATCACCACATCGGTGAATACCTCTGATTTGCTGTTATATGACATATTTGTGTGTATGTGTATGTATATGTGTATATATAGAGAGAGAGAGAGAGCGCATGATATCCCAGTATATCCCATAGAAAAACACATAAAATGGTTGTTATTCATACCTTAAATATCTTGCCAAACACAAGGATGTTCTTTCCTGGCTGTGTCAGAGTTTAGTTTTCACTCTTTGGAATTCCTGTATACAGACGCAAGGCACATCGCCTTTTCCCACTATGGTATAAGCATGCCGGTGTCGTTCTGAAGACATCTTAAAATAGTTGTCCACAATATTTTGCCTCCTATGATAGATTATATCACCATAATATCCCCATTAAATGGATGCTTTTGCAAGACCCATCTGTTTGTTTTTCAGCCTTTTCCCCTAAATTCTCAGACAAACCTTAATAAGTTATGGGTCAAAATTCATGATCTGGGGGGCGACAGATTTTAGTCTAGTGTACCCAATTTTGACCACCCAGTTGTCCTGCTATCCCAGGTTGCTGTTTGGGTGCTCCTACTGCGTTTGCCTCATGGCCCCTTCGCGCGGTGATGCTGGGCTACCCGGGCTGCGGAACCACGTCCATCTCGGCCCTGCTGTCTGGTCATCCAAACATCTCCCTGGTGGGGAGGGATCCGCAGGCAGAACTGGGGCGATTGAACATGGTTCAAACTGCTTTACGGATGTACATGGTATGTGTGTATTTATATATTAACATATATTAACATTACATATACTGTATAATATAATAGGGAGGATATCTGGGGGGTTAAGACGTGTGATCCCCCAAAATTGATGGCTAGTAGCAGAAACTGACAGTATTTTGTTGGTCTATTGGCACACCATGTTTGGCCTGCTTGCGCGCACACAGGGTTATAGTCCAGTGGCTGACCATTTTCCAACTTCAGGATAGCCTCAAGAAGGGTTTCCGGTTCAAGACGGGTTCGAATGGGGGGTGGGCCCTGTTGTTGGGTGGGAGCCACCCGCCGATTTCAGCAAACGCCATCTCCATTGTGGGCGGCTATGTCGGCTATGTATTCCCGTATGTTTGCAACTACTGGTAGATTATTGGCTGTTTCAATCCCAATGGCATCCCACCACTAACCATCAAAACAGCAACGTCCACAATGGACATATCGAACTAGTTAGCACCCCCCAACCAACGTAGACCTTGCCAGATAGGAGGTTGGAAGATGCTGGAAGACTACTTTCCTTCAAACGCATACTGATCAGGGTCAATTTCTGTTGATTTGGTGGGACCCCGAGGGTTGGGTAACACATATCAAATCATATCAACGAACATTATCCTTCGGCAATCAAACACGACCATGGAAAAGCCTAATTCATAGTTGATTTTCCATTGCCATGACTGATTTATGTCATGTAATCAATCATCATTAATTAATCCCTTCCCAACTCCAAGTTACATAAGTTACACTTCCCCTTTTCACCCCATTTCTGAAATGTCGAATCGGTGAACTTCGCGACTCCAAGCCGAAGCTGCAAGGGAAGACCCTGGAACAAGTACGAGATGCAAGCCGTGAACCAGTTGGTGAAGGCCAACTCCCACACCTTGATCCGACGCTTCGGGCGTTCGCTGGCGCGACACCTGAGATTTGCACGGAATCTCTATATGCGACTGGGCAGCTTAAAGCACCCATTTTTTCAGCCTCTGGAAAATCTGGGTGTGACAATTTGGGCGATATCTACCTATAGAATTTGACAGATGATTTTCCTCTGTCTTTTTCCATTGCCGCTGTTGTTTGATTACCAGAAGTTGGTCAGCTGTTTCTAGATATGCAGTACACCCATCCGACGAGGAGAGCGAGAATCACCATGGAATGACGATTAGGTTGATAATTCATAACTGTGTAATTTCATGTAATTTCACTAGGTTCTTAATTATTATTAGTTGATTATACAGGTGGTTTCCGAAAAATAAGTTTTATGATTTCTAATCATTTTTCTCCCCTTGAAGCTACTTTACCACGAAACAATGGCGTTTCCTTGGACGGTTCTGGGGACAGGTTTTTGCAAATGTTCCATAACTAGTAACTAGCCAATATTTACTGGTACGCGTCATCCAATTTGGCAAGGAGAAACCTCATTCTTGAAGGAACATTCAATTTGCAAATGGTCGATTTCCCCTTGCCATGTTCCCTTCTTACCAGCCGGTAGACATAATTCAGGTCAGATCCAACTTTGATCCTGACTCCAGAAAGAGCCTGGGCCATGTCACAGCCCCCCGGCTGCAACCTTTGGCCACTGGACGACATCCAGGAAGATTCATGGGTATATGGTATATATATATATGGTATATATATATAACTTATATATTCATACATATATGTTGTATTCCAGGAATTGTAATGAGAAAATCCCGAATTTAGTTCCTACATAGATCATATTTGTCAGTGGCATGGGAGTTTGCCTTGCGAAAATGATCTAGGGGTGCATTGCCTCCTCATGATTTGTGAAGAGAAAATGTGTCCTTTTCAAGGCTGACATACTGTACAGTACACTTCTGGAGTTATGGTCACACCCCTTCGTTAGGCGCATATGTTGATATAATATATATATATATATTATTGTAATTATGTATATATATATATAATTATATATACATAGAGAGAGTCTTTACGGACCACACCCTAGCTCATCCCCTTAACTGCAGGGGTGGGGTAGTGGCCCGCCTGTCCGCCTAGTGTTGCACCCGGGTATTGAACCCAGGTCTGACGCATGAGGGATGTGTCTTATCCACTAGACAATACCGGCCCTCTGTATATATATATATATACATATTTATAGTTAATTATTTTTATAACTATATACAAAGACACACACACACACACATATATATAATTATACACACATATATATAATTATACCCGCAAACCCTGTGTCTCGCCGTCGCTAAAACTGTCATATGTCACTTTCGAATTTTGCATTTCGTGTAGGCGAAATCTTCACCCCCAAAAAATGCATTTTAACCTGCGGACACCAATGAATTTGAGCATGTGCATTTTGTGTGGCAGGCGCAATGCTTTGCGATGGTCGTAAAAAACTCATTTTCATTTTCGCTGGCAGGGGCGCGGGATTCTTGCGTTTTTTGATGTGTTGAAAAGTGCGATTGTTTTATGTTTTTTTTTGATGTGTTGGGGGGGTTCGGGGGCGTGGGGTGGGTGGGGGGTGGGGTGGGGCGATAATAACGTTCTCACCGCGCCTATCATGTTGCGCCTTTAAACTTCCTGTGATCATTTTCACTATTCAAGTCTCTTGTGACCCGCTTCTAATGTTACGACCTTAACATTCTTGATGTTACGCTGTTGCTTTTCTTATGTTGACACGCTGTTGATCGTACGCTGTTGACTTTCTTATTTGTTGTTAACACGCTGTTGATGGTACGCTGTTGGCTTTCTCATGTTTATGTTAACACGCTGTTGATGGTACGCTGTTGACTTTCTCATGTTTATGTTAACACGCTGTTGATGGTACGCTGTTGACTTTCTTATTTTATGTTAACACTCTGTTGATGGTACGCTGTTGACTTTCTTATTTGTTGTCAACACGCTGTTGATGGTAAGCTGTTGACTTCCTTATGTCTATGTTAACACGCTGTTGATGGTACGCTGTTGACTTCCTTATGTCTATGTTAACACGCTGTTGATGGTACGCTGTTGACTTCCTTATGTCTATGTTAAACCGCTGTTGATGCTACGCTGTGGACTTTCTCATGTGTATGCTAATAGGTTCCTGGCTGCATTGATGCGTCGCCAGAACTCCCTTGGACGCAATACGTTGCAGCCGCGTTGCATCGAAAGCCAGGTCTCCAACAAATTTTGGCTTCCATTCGTCTGTGCAGAAAGGAATGTGCTGGCCTTATCAGAGTGTCAGCTAGTGACGCCTTCAAAGCTGCGCCTTCAGAGGCTCCAGAGAGATGATGAAAAAGTGTCCTACATGTGTTCCTGCGGGACAAGTTTTTGAAAAAATACAAAGGTGAAAATTTTAACATCAACAAACACCCACAGTTTTTAGCCGTTTCGGGCGACGGCGAGACATAAGGTTGCGCCTAATTATATATATAGTTATAGTATAATTTTACAATTATGTATCATTATATAATTGTATTTATTTAAAAAAACAGTACAATTAATTATATATACAATTATATTATATGTAATTTGAAATACATTTCATCACATCTGGTGTATATCTTCGATTGCATATTCAGGATTCCAAGAGCCAAGTTCTTGGTGATGCTACGAGACCCGGTGAAGTGGCTGGCATCAAGGTGCCAGTGGAAAATGCGGGTACCGGGTACCACAAAACAAAAATAGGAAAATATGGGGGTTCCATACATGCTACCCAAAAATGGATGGTTTATAATAGGAAATTCGATTTTTAAATGGATGACTGGGGGTATCCCCTATTTCAGGAACCCCCCATTTTTGGTGGTACCGTTCTACATTTAAAAAACATGATTTTTGTATTCACTATCCTAGAGGCACCCATTTTTGACCCATAGCTGTATGCTTGCACCAAAATCGCTACGTTGAATGGGAAAATGGTGATTCAACATCAAGATCTTCCAGGTACCATCTTTTTAGAGAAACCCATGTGATGGAGGAATCATGATATCCCATAAAAGATAACTCGATTGACATTTTTCTACGGTAACTCTTTAAGTTTGACCATGCTACGGAATGCTTACTCGTCTTTCTTTTCATACTTCATGGGGAACGTTTACCGCGGGGGATTGTTTGCGAAAGATGGGCCAGCTGCTGGAAACGGATGTTCCATTGCCAGGTTGATCGATTCATGGGGTGACCATCCGTTTTCTGACTCCCTAGGTATATGATGGCAATCGCATGGTGCAAATTTTTGAACTGGCCCCTATTTTCTCCAAGTTGGGACATACTGTCTGGAATTGGATGTGTTTGTGGTTTTGCATTCGTTTGTGGAAATGGGGGATATGTGACTTACATAGGAAAAACACTGAATTTTCATAATGTGAACTTACCAGAGGGTGCAGTACTTGGTGGTCTACCCCAGTAAGTGGCTTATAACTTATACAGCAAACTTATCGTCAGTTGTAGGTTATAACTGGATTAAGCCTACACTGCAGGCTTTGTCGCGCGCCTTGCTCACCTGAATGGATGCAGCTGGGGTTGTGCGATGCGGCCGGCCGACGTGCTCCCATGCAGAAGTGGCTGCAACATTGTCACAAGGGCTCCGAAAGGGGAAACACATGGGAAAAACGCTATAGATTGGTGGCATGATGCAAGTTGGTTACCAAAAAATGCAGTCATGATGGTCATGGTTCCATCGGTAGAACCCAGCTCCGAATTTGTGCGTTGTATGTTTTTTTTTGGATAATTACTGATGGATACTGTCTGGTTCCCATCAATGATAGACGGCTATTTCAGTTTATATCCCCGGCTTGGTTGAAGGAAATCAGGAGTAGCTCCCCTGTGTTCATGGGAAAAACACCATGGTTTCCAGTAGATTTTCCCTTCAACCAATCCATTGATAAACCATGGTTTTCCCTGATGTTTTCCTTCCAATCCAGCATTCAGTGGTGAATGTGCAGACAGGTGAGTTTGAGCAGAACTGGGAACCTTGTACCAGGTTTCCTCTGATGTCGCCATATATCTCCCTACACTTGCGATTCTTCTGGGACATGATCTTGAAAAAATCGCCAGATTCTTTTTCCACGCTTTCAGAGACGTTTTTTTTTAAATTAGGGTTTGTCTGCTCCCTAATTACTAAAATGACCAATGAAAGGGGCTAGCTATACCTCATTTTCACACAAACCCATTTGCTCTCCATCTTTGGGAAGCATGAAATTTCTTACGCGAATCTTGGGGTAATAAGTGAAGCTCCGAGCAAAATCTAAATGGGAAGCTCTTCCCTTCCTGGAATTTTTGATCTAACTCAGCATTTTTCTTCAGGTCATAATAAAGTTTACTTATAGTTATGCCACATTCTCCTCCATAGTTATTCATGGATATGCTGAAGATGATTGTTGGTTTTCCGAATGGGAAATCCACTTGGGGAATCTATCAAACCGCCAACCGAGGGTCGATTAGCTGCCTTCAGTCTGGAAGCTGTTGGAGAAGACCCAAAAGGGGCGATGGATGCCTTGGAGCAGTTCTTGAGATTACCCAAAAACCGCTGGCAGGCGCGTTTTGACCGGTCAAATGGACGGTCCAACATTAAGGGGATATCCTTTTGGGCAATGGATTTTGATGAAAATGAGAATGAAACTTAGGGTACCTTAGTCTGAAAAAAAAACACACATTTCAATACTGTTTTGGATGTTTTGGGGAATTTAAGCAACAACCAATGGTGATATTTTTTGGGGGGATTTAATGGGAATACACTAGCTAACAATAAAACATGATGTATAGCAAAGAACGGCTTAAATCAGTCAAACCATCGATCCCCAAAATGGTGGTTTCATGGGTATTTGGCCAACAAAAATGGTGGTGTAATGAATGGGACAGAATGGGATCTCATAGGAAAAACTATGGAAAAACTTGATCACGACTGAACCCTGCGACGTTTGGAATGATGGGAATTGGTAACTGGGGTAACTATCCCATGAAATGGACGCAAGTTCCAGGTTGGTGTGTGTTCATATTTTATAGGTCATATAGATTCATGGTTTTTGTGGAAAACAATTGAACAAAAATACACAATTAGCCTGGCCAGATTGTTTTTTTGTTGGGGGGCCTTCTTTGGAAACCATAGCAAGATTACAGTATGTCACAACAACTGATATCATAAGTTAAATGTCACCTCAACAATGTTTACATGATTTTATATACACATCATCACATATATATATAATATAAATAAATAAATAGATATACATACATATATATACAATATAAATAAATAAATATATATATATATATTTATATTTACATACATAATATTTGTATTATTAATAGTAATAATAGAAATAATAGTGATAATGATAAGAATAATAATACTAAAAATAATGATAATAATAATGTATATTATATATGATACTGTGTATAAGGTGTAATGTATGACATACAATATTATATAGTATACGATAGATAGAATGATGTACAGTACATGATATATATAGACAATATGATTCTACTTTCTTATGTTACACGATTATATTAAATTATATTATCATATTACATTACCATCGTTTATTGCTATATTACATTGTGTTACTGTATTATATTGTAATATATTATATTATACTGTATCATATCATATTATATTATACTATATTATACTTTAATATTAATATATTAATTATGATATATATATATATTATATATGAGTATTTTTTAAATCAATAAATTATTATGTTCTTACCGTATTGTAGTATTGCCATGTTTATAGTGCTATAGATGTCCTCCATTGAGACATGGCGGACTTCATCCGCAGGGCACATTGCCGAAGAGAAACGTGCACGGTTCCTTCCAGTGCCAAGACGAGATGGTGAAATACGGAGGCACATTGCCCCTGGGCTGGTGGTTGAACCAAGATGGGACATCCTTTCCTATGACGAATCCATGGTGCTGATATATATACTGAGGTATATTGATGGGATCCATGGCACACCATATATAGCAGCACCATGGATCCTATGGGTTTCCATTTGTTTTTTAGGGGCGAATCATGGAACTAAATAATTATAAATGCTAGATTTTCCAGCCATGTTTGATATATGTTTCGTTGCCGGATAGGGGGTTATGATTGAAGCGGCTCAAACTTGTTGACCCCGATCCCCCGTTCCGAGATGATTTTCGACCCAGATGTGCTGTATGACCATCCTGGTTGATACAAAATCAACTTGGACCATCCCCAATAGATATTTTATAGAGACACATACAGGTGTACATTGAAATTGCACCCATTGGTTTGCTTCAAATTTGATGTCAAGCTTTCAACTCTCTGCGATATATCATATATCTTTCACATTTCGTGATGTCCCCAAAACTCAAGACCCACCAAACTTCTGATTGGATGATCCATTGTAGTGATGAAGTTACATCTACCATTTAAGGGTCCCCCAGCAACAATTCAACAATGGCCATGGCCCTCTGGATGTCTGATTGGTCTCGATCGCACTTTTCATGAAATCATAGCCATGGTTTTTCGATGGCCCTAATCGAAATAGATGGTTTACCGTTCTTAATAGCATGGCGGATCTTTCCATGGCAAACTGGCAATGTCATAACCAGATGCTAGTATTTTTGGGGAATTCCTGCTCCAGCATTTTAAAGTCAGCTAGCATCCACATCCAAAATGCTTGTTGCGTAAGGTGTTTGATGCATCATAATTGGCAGTAGGCATGGCTGATGGAAAATCCTGTAGATGATTTGCTCATGATAAATCTTGATTTACATCCACTTCCCAGTTGTCGCTTGCCAGCCAGCTTAGGTAGCCCGGGCTACGATTTTCTTTATGAATGGGTCAGAACCTACGAAGCCAAATATTTGATGGGATGAGCGTCCATTGTGCCCACTATTTTGGGGGGTGAACGAAAATCATTTGGACTTTGACCCATACCCAGCGTATTTTTAACCCTCCCAAAATCGTCAAAAACATCCCAGATCGCAGGTCTTCAAGTTGACACCTTCTTCTATCCCGAGCGTCGGCGTTTGGCTGGGCTCCTGATGGAGTTGTGTCCCAGTCGACTTCGCATCCCCCGTAGCTGGCGTCGCAAGTTGCGACCCGCCAACCTGACCTGGGGGAATGTCACCCGGAAGCGACGACGCCAGCGTGGTTTTTAGCGGCCAATGGGTCAACTGCTCCAAAGAGATGTGGGTAACCCGAAATGTGAAAAGCCTTGGAATCAATGATTTTTATACATTCATGGTGAGTTTTCCACCGAGTAACTCAGACCCCAGGCAAAGAACCTGGGGATTCCCCGGATGACCGGCTGAAAAATTGCTGGGGCTGAGTCCTCCATCCCATTGCTCCCACAGCGGTGGTGGATTATACACCTATATTGGGGGAAGAATCACTCCTCCAGGGATTCATATACTGTGAATTCCAATTGTGAGATGGATGACCTTAACCCATATGGGTACCCATATAAATCCATGTTTGAACTAAGTTTGAACTTGTGAATCATTCTTCATCCCCATTATCCCTATATACTCCTATTCTAATCCTTGTCTTTGTGACCTTCTGAGCTGATTTGTTTCACCATCCTCATTTTCTAAGTTTTGTACAATACCGAAAGAGATGTGAAAGTGATGGTTGAATCCCATTCTCCCTCTTTTAATCCCTGTTGATGCTTAAATTATGTTAAATCATTTGACAAATCCCTATAAAGATGGGTCATAACATGTCATAACCTATACATACCTATACCATATTCATAACTAACTCATAGACCTATACCATTATCCCTATCATCCATATACAATCTATATCATCCACTGGTTGGTGGTTTGGAACATTTGCATTATTTTTCTATATCATCCATATACCCTCTGGTAAACCAACGTAACTATGGAAAATCACTATGATTTTTCTAGGTCAATCAACTATTTCGACTGGGCATGTTTCAGGTTCGCAAACTCTAAACGTTTACCAGGCCGGGTATCATCCCATTCAATTCCATTCAACCACCATAAAAACCATCATCAAAAATCACCATTTTCCTATGGTTTTCCTATGGTTTTCACCATTTTCCTATGGTAAAACCACCATTCACCATCCATTCACCAGCGTTTTTTGGGGGATTCCCCGATACCTGGCAGGTGGTGCCACCTCCCAGCGGCGGTCCACCGAGTCCCGTGACCGGCGTCACCGTGCCGGTGCCGCAAGTGCCCACCGTGCCGGTCGCCGTGCCGCTGCAGTATGGCCAGTTCGGGCTGCCGGGCCCGGGAGCCCGAACGGAGGGGGGGGAAAAGTTGGTGATTTCTATGGTGATTTCTATACAAGGTGGTGCCCCATAGTTAGCTAAGTTGGTTTATAACTCCCATAACTATGGTTTATGGTAGATATAACTATAGTTAATGGGGTTTATAAACCAACTTAATGAGATTTCTATTGGGATTTCTATTGGGATTTTATATAATGATTTATATAATGATTTATATAGTCTTAGTGATTTCTATAGTGATTTCTATAGTGGTTTTAGCCCTTGGGGAAAATGGTGATTTCTGGTGATTTCTATTCTATAGTGGTTTTATAGTGATTTTATATAGTGATTTTATATAGGGATTTTATATAGTGATTTGATATAGTGATTTCTAGTGATTCTCACCAGAAGTGGCGAGTTTCGTTTTGGGGAGGGGCGTGGTGGTGTCACTTGGGTGAAACTACCACGCGGAAATTGACCCGTTACAAATACCTCCTATAGGATGTGAACTTGTTGATTGGGCAAGTTCAAAAGGCTTTGCCTTTTGAGGACACCTGGGTAACTTCTACCTTACACGAAGTTGGTTGTGCGGATATGGTTGAGAGTCCCGCCTTTAGGGGCGCTTTTGAGAACCTTTGTGAGCTGTTGGTCAGTCCAACTTTTGGGTTCCTTTTTCGTAGATTTGGCTTTGTTGGGATGATTGAGAATTTGTGAGAGTTGCCTCACTTACCGAATTCCGCAAGTCGATGATGTGCTATGCGTTTCGAGGGGTCTCCTACGGGTGATTCCTTGTCCAAAAGTTCTAAGTGGCGAGTTTCACCTGCCAAATGGGTGGACTTCAGCAGAAAACACCGGGATTTGACATGATTTAATCAAGAAAAATGGATCAAGAATGCTGAACCACGTGGATTTCAGCAGAAAACATGTGGAATTATTTTACATGATCTAATCAAGAAACCATGCATCAAGATGGTGTATGTTCGGCCTTGCACTCTTTTTCAGCCAAGTGCCATGCCCGAGGCGGTCGCGGCAACCAGTCCGCTGCCAAGTTTCAGAAGTTGGATTGGGGTAGGACGGAGGACCTTCAAAAACTGAGAGGATTTGCTTGCAATCCCTTTCCCCGCAATATCAAATAGATTCAAATAGCCATATGGACTTATGATGACTTATATGATCTTATGGCAACCTTAAGTGGAAGCCCCAAAATCAATAGATCCGGCTTTGATTGGGGGTATTTCATATTGGAAGGGATTCATCTTAAACAACCCGTTTTTTTTTTTTGGCCGTTCTAATGGGAACCTTGGAATTGGATGGCAGGCATTTTGGGTCTCGCAATGAAAACAATTGATCAAAAAATTGAGTGTATAGTACTGAAAGTGACATTTGGTGGTCTAGTGGTGAAACATCTTTGCTACATGAGAAAGACCGCCATTTCTACAACTTCCCACATCTGTTGTTTGAACTCCCCGTTTATATCAGGTGACAGTCCATTTTTATAAAGGACTGCGGAAGTCATCGCGGATGTGCCAAAGGTGTTTTTGGAAACTTTCCCCGTTGGTCCTCAATGGTGTCACATATGTCGGTCCAGTCTATCCAAGCAAATGGCTATTTTCCTTGGCTAAATAGTATATTAATGAACCTATCCCCAAATTACTTCGCCAACATAATATGTTGGAGGATATTAGGCTACCAAAAAATCATATTGGATAGATTTCTCTGCCATTTCGCAAAAACATGTTGGCTTAACATTCTTTCAACATGTCATGTTTGCTCAGGCAGGATTTTGTTACACCTGGCAATTTAACATATGCATGGAACATGGCCATGGCAAGAATAGGTAAGAATCATCTGCAAATGGGTTGTTTTACCCAAGGGTAATAGTCCTCAAATAATCCCATAATGGTAATTCATTAACCATGTTCATAATCCGATGTTATATGCTAATACCGATACCAGGTTACCATTTACTTGAATTTATGATCATTTAACCCATGTGTAAATTATTTGCCTATTCTTTAGATTGCCATTCGCCAACACTCTGTTAAACTACTAGAGGGTATGTCCCCATCACGCCATTTTCATATTGTTGAGTATCGCATTAAACATTATTGAATTCCATCAAGACCCATTGAAAAAACGAAGCAAACCAACACTTTTGCATGTATATATATAATATATATACACATGATATTACATGTAACAGTCACGGTAAATGACAAGCAATTCTTGGCTCCAAATCGCCTAACATATGTCTATATCTATACCAGTCTATAATCTATATGTTTATAATATCTATCTATCTATATCTATATGTCTATACAGTAATCATCCTGGAGTAGATGGCATATGGAACTTTCAATCCAAATCCTCACAAAAATGGGACTAAATTTGAAAAATCCAGATTTTCTCGACTTCAGGATGATTCCTAAGCCAACTCTTCGGCGAAAACCACCGTTCTGAGGCGTGGTGCCCCACCCCCTCCACCACCGCATCCGAATTGGAAGCCTGGACAGCCGCCACCACCTCCAGGCGAAACGGTGGAAGTTCGGGATTTTTGATTGGTCAAATCAGACTGGTCTGGGTCTGGTGGAACCATGGAATTCTATGACTTTCCATATTAATTGGGAATGTCATCATCCCAACTGACGAACTCCATCATTTTTCAGAGGGATAGATATACCACCAACCTAATGGATTAGAGTGGTTCTTTTTTTAATGGATTTTAATGGTTTTTTCCATGGATTTTCCCATTCAGTTGGGAATAATCATCATCCCAACTGACGAACTCATATTTTTCGGAGGGATTGAAACCACCAACCAGTAGTGAACAAGTCTAAGCCTATTATGGGGACTAGTGGACTACAACCCTACAACATTTTTTAAGCCTCTTTAATATGATGTGGATTATAGCAAATTGTAAGCCTACAACATTTTTTGTTTTACCCTATGACAATAATATGATGATTGTTATGGACTCATACGGACTAGTGAATTATGGGTGTAACATTTATCCACTAGAAAAAAATTGGGGAAGAATCTAATCAATAATCACTCATGTTAGTAAACCCAATAATGGATAATAATAGATCATTCCGAAAATTACCATAATTGGGTGGGATTCCACCCATCCCCTTAAATGGTAGTTTCATAAAAATGGGTTTACTAACATTACTTCGCTGAGAAAGATCTAGTTTTATCAGAATGGTTCCTTCTGACAGTGGAATTTAAGTATAACACAACTAAGGTTTTTTATGCGGCACAACATAGGAAACTGCAGGGAATCAGAATTTGATCCATGCTATTTATGATGGGATATGCAAAAACAAATCAACAAAAAAATTACCCTCTGGTAATCAAACTTGGCACTGGAAGATTCCGTATCGATGCAGATTTTTTCATCGGACCATCTCCTATAAATGGAGGTTTCCATGGGAAAACACCATAAAACAACCCTATACCTGGAGCTTCTTTAATGAGAGTCAACTTGTTCAAGCTGAGCTGCGAGGTTGGACAACTGAACAAGCCATCGCCAAAATGAATAGATCCACCTTCTTAATGAGGCCTTGAAAAAAAAAAAACATATATATATATATCATAGGGTAGGGGAATATTATGGAGTCTTCGGCTCACATTACATAAATGATTCTGCAAAATTATCCATTGTTGTCAATTAGCCAGAGGTTCACCACATATTGAGCATAGATTGACCATAGATTGACCATGGATTATCCATTCAATTATTAACCATAGATTATCCATCAATCATTGACATTATCATTAATCTATGATCAACGACCATAGATTAACCATAGCTTAGCATCATAGCTGAATGATAATGACCCAGTTACACGTTGCCAGGTCCAGGCCCTCCGCAAAAGCCCGGAGGAACTCTGGAGGCGGTGCTTGAAGAGTTGTTGGAGAGACGTCGATGAGAACAAGCAGTGCTTTTCATCCGTGAAAATGGTGATTTTGCCTGTGTTTTACCAGTGACCATGATTGTGTTACATAGTATTACCATGTTTTACCAAGTGATTGTTTATGAAACCATTTTTCAGCCCCATGTTTTTTTTAAAACCATGTTTTACCCGTTTTCGAATGATGGGCTTACCAGCATTTACCAGTGGTGATGGACCAACCTTCAAGGCCATGAGACCCAGGCACGAAGGGTATGGGGATTCAGATAGATACTTGTATATGAGGGTTTCCATAAATGGGGGTACCCCCAAATCATCCAAGAGTGCTTATTATAAATGGGAAAACCAATGGTTTGGGCTACCCATATTCCCGGAAACCTCCATAATTATGAATATATGTGAGTAGAATTGCTAATCCTTGTTATGTTCTGTCTTTGGCATATGTTTGGAATTGAGTGATACTGTGGATGGATGCGAAATCCTGCACCAGTTGGTAGATGGGCAAAATTCCAATATCATCCCATTATTTAGAGTGCTTCTTATTTAGCAATAGTTACCAAGAGTTACCAACCAGTGCACGATTTCTTCTATCTGAGCAAATTATAGTGACCTCACTGTGACCTCACTGTGACCTCACTGTGACCTCACTGGTAGTAAGAGGGATCATCCCCATAGCTGGCCTTATTTCAGGTTGATGAAATACTATAATTAACCCTCTGGTACACTGTTACACTACTATGGAAAATCACAATGTTTAAATTCGGTAAATCAACAACTCAATGGCCATAATTCAATAGCCAACTGTGAGTCACCAGATGGTACTCAGTTCCAACAGCACATGTTCTACGGCAGGCTGCCATGCAGGCTGCTGCCATGCTTGGAGCGGTCACTTGGCGCCTGATTATATGAAGATAATGTTTTCACATATTATATATATACACATATTTGAATACATGATTATGCATATTTGTATGATTGTATGAATAATATATGTATAGTTATACATATATTTATATATATATATATCAACTTTGACGTATACAATACATTTTTTAGATAGACATAAAGCCATGTATTCCTATGACACTGCAGCGAGGCTGGAGCGCCTGGAATGATGGAGGTGTGGCCCGCTCCCATCGTTAGGATTTTTCATATTACTGCTCTCTTGTTGGAGAGTGATCAAAATTATATACCCTCTGGTTATTTAACATAGCTATGGAAAATGACCCATTTAAAGAAGATGTACCTATTAAAAGTGATGATTTTCGATGGCTATGTTAAATAACCAAAGGGTATCAATGTAATACAATGTATACTATTAATATAACCATAAGCTGAGGATAACATTGATGATGCAACATATATCTACCTAAACTACCTAAACTACCCTTGCCTTTGTGGTGAAATTTGTCAGGCGACCTCTGCCATTGACTTTTCCAGCAAGCTCGAGGACAGCGGTGACCATCAATGACAAAGCAGGGCCAAACGGGCGCCAGAATCAACGCTTGGGATAGCCTCTGGTAATGACTAACATAGCCAACATAGCTATGGAAGCCATGGCCCATTGAGTTATAGATGGTTTACCATGGTTTTTTCGAACCGAAAGAGATGGTGATTTTCCAGGAGATACAGTTTCCCAGGGGGTATTTGTGGATAGAACGGGAGATATACTAATATATACTAATATGATTTGGATCTGACTATCGCATTGAAATCAACTATACTTAGGATACATAGTGGGATAGGACATAGTAGGATATTCATACTGTACGCAACAATGTGGTTCGGGTCTGACAATGGGGGTATACACCCAAATGGTCATGCTCAGGTCCATTCAAGTTGTTTCTCGATTCCTTTGAATTTATTTACTATGACTATGCCCCAAAATTGTTGGTTGGCTCGTACCCTCTTGTAATTTAAGAATTCCGCAAATTTCAATAGGTAAATCATCTATAAATGGACCATTTTCCATAGCTATGTCAGATTCCCGGGGGGTAAATCTCATTTCATATCCAGATAATATAGCTCCGCATGTCTTAGATCATATTAAATCCCCATAAATCTGGCAATATATCCCATAGCTATGTTAGTATACCGGAGGATACGCCATTCATGGCGGTTGAAACACCCCAAACATGCACCCGGCGTCGCCATTCATAAACCTCTGGCAGGACCTGCGCCGGAAGCACCCCCAGGCATGAGGTTTTGATGGGACATTTCCCAGTAAACGATTGTAAATGGAGGATTTTCCATTGCCATGTTTGATTACCCGGAGGGCAATCATGGGATAGATTGATAGATGTTAGTTGTGATTGAATGATCAATGATATTTTTAATGAGTACCCCAAGAACTAACTACCCCAAAGAGAAGCGGTTTTAACAATGGGATATGATATATAGTGTTCCCATATATTTTAGTGAGGATTATTGTTGGCATCTCATGTCGCCAGGTGAAGGTGCCATCTGATGCAGGGATGCTCAGAAGTCAGGGTGAAATGATGAGTCGTTTTTGCAGCGTTTTTTCGAACCCAATCTTTCCAAAATATGGAAAAGATGCTGCAAGAGACATGTTTTGGTGCCCTAAGGAACCCTTCTTTATTTATCGAACCTTAATGATTATACAATGATTTTCCCGTTGGTTATCCAGCCTAAAGGATGCACCAGTGTCCAAGTTAAAGCCTTGGCTAATTGGCTCATCAACTTATATCTCAAACTCATCTCACTAGTCATTTCTTCCATTATCATCCATTATCTACCATCGTGTTCCAAGAGACTGATCCAAAGAAAGTGACAAAATTCTTGTTTGCCAGGATTAGCACCAAAGAAGACCACCCCCAAGAAGATACCATCATTTGCCACAGCAACAATGCGCCATTTAGCTAATAATTTCGTTTGACTTACTATCATTGAGCAGGCTGGTATTTTTTCTTGACTCTGACTAACATCTATAAATTATCATTTACTCATCATCTACTATATATATACATCTGTATATATATATATTTATGTATATATGTATATATATATATTTATACTGAAGCCATATGTATATATATATAATTATATATAATTAGTGTGTATCGAGGTGTGTACCTCATCTACTATATCATGTCCTATTCGATTTGGTGACCTCAAAAACGTTTCAACTCCCCAGCTTCGCCATGGCGAGGCCTGGACCTGGAAGCCCGAAGAGCTTGATGCCTGGTTCGCCAGTGGTGGCACCTCCAAGGCAAACAGATGTGAGGTTGATCATGATTTAACCATGGGTTTGAAACTCGAAAATGGTCAGAATTTGCTACTGAAATGGAAAAAGTACATGGATTTGGTACCGAAATCCATGGATTGGGTATGGTTTAAGGTTGTTTGGTATTGGGAAAATGTTGGGAAACTCCCGAATTGCAAGGGTTTAAAACATCACCTTCCCTCTTGAAGTCATTCCAGAAATTGGAGTATACCCCATAATTTTTTCTGCATGCCCACCAGTGCCTCACGAGCAACCTAATGGAGCGGTTGGTGCCCCGTTCACCGTTGTCCAACCGATTGCGGAATCAAAGCGAGATGATCCAACTCATCGCGAATCGAAAACAGAGAATGAGAACCGAAATCACGCTGAAGATTTTTGAGAGATAAAGTGGCCAGAAGAAACCAAGCTCTAGACGGAATGGAAAAGCAGAACGTCCCATAGAAACCTTTAAGTTGGCTAAACCCGAACTCCGAACAGATTTTGCTACGATCATCCAATTGGAACTCATGCTTCACATCTTTAAGAAAGGCTACAGCAGCGCGCCGAAACTTGCACACATTGTGATGCACTGACCAATGGTCAAACCATTCAACTGTTTCCGGAAACAAAGAACAAAAATCCACAAACACAAGCAACCAAGGAACCTTAATCCCATCCCGCGTTGGGGAAAAATGGACCTTGGCTCTCTGAAAATATTTCAACATGGTGCGACCAATGGACAGTTTCTGCAGTGATGGGCTCATGTCAATTACGATATTTCCGAAAGAAGATCGCGGCTGGGGATATCCTACAAACCGGTTTGTAAACACACAATAGTGAGTGGAAATCTTATCTACCAACTCCCAAGTCAAAGTTCCACTGCGACAAGCATGACAGTAGGCATCTTCGATTGACCCGGTCTGTAAGCTAGGCATGTCACAGCAAGTGCCTCTACAAATGGAGATCTTACCCTTACAGCGTGTACGAGGAGCACAGTTACATACAAAGGTCGTTGGCTGAGGAAAGGCATGAATTTCATCCTCCCCTTCGCCTACGTCAAAACCTCCATTCTCAGCAACTTGGGCCCGAATTGCCAAAGTGGAGACTATATGGGTCTGAAGGTCAACTGCGCGATACACACAATTATGAAATCTCTGGCTGTGACCGTCCGCCAACCGCTTAGCAGCTGACCGGGCCAATTCATCAACAGCGGCGTTGAATTGGACAAACCTTCTTGGATGTTTGAATTTTCGGAATGTGGGTGAAATGTGGTGAAGAAAAATAAAAAATGTATAAGTATATATGGGTATACTTAGACTTGACAATGTTAGTGGAAAGAAGTGAACTATATAGTGAACACATTGGCATAATATGGCCTTTGACCTCTGAATCAAATTTTTATTGGTACATTCTCTCTATTTCGCAACTCAATCGTACAAGTTTGGGTACCCTATCTGATTCGATTGTGCCGGCTAACTCCCCTAGATGTTTTTTTTTTCGTGCCTCGAAACCTCCAAATCCCAAGCCCCATGGCGAAATCTGTGTTTGGCCTTGCAGGTGGTGAATTCGGGCGCCACCAGTTCACGAAAGGCTCATCCATGCTCATCCTCATTGCCAGCCATTGTCGCCAGCCGTTAGCAACAACATCTAAGGACTAAGGACAGTCCTCATAAATGTTTGTGGATTAGATTAGATTACTGTAGATTTGATTTAAAAGGTTGGTTATATATTATATATATATATTATATATCAATATATTATGTGAAACGGGAACCTCCAAACATACCACATAGCTGTTTCCTTTCTGCACCAGCCACGACAGGTCACATCATGATCAACTCATTTCCAATTCATTGCCTCGCACAGGGCGCCCTTTTCGGATCAAAAGAGCTGCTGTCTCTCAGCTTCGCCGCAAGACTGAGTTTGATGGTAAGCGGAGCCGGTTGGTAACCGGTGTCTGCTTCCGTGCTGCGCCCTGTGGCGTGCACGGGCTCGCCGCGCCTCGACGCGTTGCGTCTCAGCTGGCAGGCAACGGTGCCTACTAGCCTTGCTGGTGCCCGCAGCCTCGCTGCCGGTGCCTCACGACCACAACGATGGCAACTAGCAGATTGGAGTCAGACCGCTACGGCGTTCCCCAATATGCCGGAGCCTCTGACCAGTTCGAAGAGTACAAGGAGAGAGCATGGGATCTTTGGTATGGCAGAGCTGGCCAAGATGCTTTGCAAAGTGCCACACCTGTTCACCTCCGAGCAGGACTGTCTAGTTCAGCTTGGGAAGCCGTTAGAAAGCTAGAACACACGAAGCTGATAACCAAAGATGCAGAAGGAAAACCAACCACTGAAGGCATGGACTTGCTTTTAGAAACGTTGAAATCAGCCATAGCTGATGAAGTGCCAGTGAAAATCAACGAGTTGTTTTTGCAAGCCTTTTACAGCCCCAGTGTTTGGAGGCGACCTTCCGAAAACATGCAAGCCTATATTGTTAGGCGTGAGCAGGACTTCCGCAAACTTGAGGAGTCAAGCCCTGGAACTAAGGTATCAGAAAATCTCCGAGCGATGATGCTGCTGATTTTTGGTGGACTTGACCCGAAAGAGCAAGTTTCTGTCCTGAGCTCCGTCAACAATGAGTATGACTTCGGCAAGATCAGCCATGCGATGCGGATTCAGTTTCCGAATGCAGCTGGTAAGGCAGTTCAGAGAAAGGACTACCTTGGTGCTTCAGCTCGAGGCCATGCTCCATCTTCCTCGAGTTCCTTGCTGTTCAGAAAGCCGAGATGGAAATCTGGTGGCAAGCAACACGCCTTTGCAGCTGAAGACTATGAGATGGAAGATGAAGAGACCGCTGAAGACACCTACTACCAGAATGATGATGATGAGCAGCCGGGCGATGACGCTGATGAAGCCTGGGCTGCAGCCTCTGACGATGAGCTGGTTGATGCCTTCATAGCCGAGTACCCTGATGACCCTGAAGGTGATCAGTCGCTTGCTGAGGCCTATGCGACTGTCCTCCAACACAAGCAGTTCAAGAAGAAGATGGGTGGAGGAAAAGGGAAAGGCGGTGGAGGTGGAAGATTCAACTTCAAGGGCTCTGGCGAGGTGACCTTCGACGCCAAGGCCAAGGAGAACAGGCGACAAGCCGTGCAGTTTCTCAAGTCAGTGACGCCTTGCACTTCCTGTGGACAACGTGGACATTGGAATGGAGATGACATCTGCCCCAATGCCAAGAAGTCGTCCAAGGGTAAATCCAAGAAGAAGCCTTCGACGCCGAGCTCACCGAAGAAGAAGCCTGCGACCAACCTTTTCGTTTTGCATGATTCTTTGGAGTCTGCGGATGAGAAGACCCAGTTCATGTGCCTTCCCAACAAGCTGCCCAACAACGACGTTGCAAAGAATGTCAAGATCTCCGAGTTTGACCTTGCTCTCAAGAATGACCTGTGCCTTGGGAATGACATGCCTCCCAAGTATGACCAGGTGCCTGCGAATGACATCGCTCCTGTGAATGACATGGCCCATGAGTATGACTTGGTCCCAAAGACCATTGCCGCCCATGTCACCAACGAGCCCAATGCGTATGCGGACGAAGCGTCCAAAGCCTCTGATGCCACTTTTGTCAATGACCGCACAGTCCTCTTTGAGTCAGAGGGTGGCAACAATTCAGATGGCAGTTTCACTACTCCCTTTTCGTTTTCATCAGTGCATGAGGTGCTGATGGTGCTGAAAGATACAACCCTGTGCGAGCATAGTAGTTTTCATGGTGGAGATGAGCGCCAATTCCACCGTGGCGCAAATGGATACTCACGCTTTGTGACGTGCAAGGAAGACTCTTGCGACAAGACCGTCATCAAGGCCAAGCGCAAAACACCTCACGAGCTCTGGAGCTACTTGGTCCAGATCGCCTTGTGCACCAAGTGGGGACAAGCTGCCAGGTCCCGAGCTTTGTTCAACACCGTCTGCAAAGTTCGAGGTGAAGCTGATGAAGAACGACGTGGTCTTCGCCGTCCTCTTTCAGATGATGGCCGATCAGTTTCTTTGCCTGGTATGCCAAGGTCTTCGGCCGCAATGACTTCAAGAAAGACGCCTTCTGAAGCTCAAGTACCTGGATGGGATGTCGTCAGTGAAGCTCCCTCGAGCGCTTCTGGCTATGGTGCTCCACGGGTGGCCAAGATTGTCCGTGAGCAAGAACCAGTTTGCTGGATCTACGGCATCAAGCTCTCCATGAACCAGGACTTGCCTGCGTTTCCAACGCTGGATGACTCAGACCTTGATGTGCTGCAGCCTCTGCCTTCAGATGCCTCCTTGCTTGGCTCTGGAACACCCTATGAAGGACTGCAGTATGACCAAGTTGCGTCCTCAGCAGAGTCTGCATGGTACTGTGCCCAAGTGTTGGACTATGTTTTGGATGGCCGAAATGCTCTCCATCCAGAAATCTACCGTTTTGCCTTTTACCTGTTTGGCCGGGTGAAGTTGGTCCACAGCGCTGGCATGAGATGTATCAAGTCAGGTGCTGCACGTCCTGACAAGCGACCTGCAAACCCTGATGACATGGTGGCAAACCGCCACATCCGAGTTCCACTTCAGCATGATCCCAACCACCCTGAGATCATGCAACTTCATGACTGTGAAGTGATGATGGTTGAAATGCCCGATGACAATGATGCAATTGCCCAAGCCTATGTGGCTTCCGATGCTGATTCTCCTGGACTTGCAATCCTCGACAGTGGGTGCACTCGCACCATGCACGGCAAGCAATGGGCCGAGAACTTTGAAGCTGCACTTGCCTCCTTTGGACTTTCGCCCAAAAGCAGAGTCAAGAACCAACTCTTTGCTGGGGTTGGAGGTCAAGTTGCCAGCACCACTGTCAAGGTCTTTCCCATCGGCATCCAAGGAACCCATGGCGAGATCCACTCAGCCGAAACACCTGGAGCAACACCACTCCTTCTCTCACGCCCTTTCATGGAAGAATTGGGTACGGTTTTGGATTTGGGCAAGGGCACGGTTTCCTTCACCAAGATCGGCGTTTTGGACTTGCCGCTGATCAAAACCTCACGTGGACATCTAGCAATCAGTTTTCTGGACTTCAATTTGGAGAAGTTAGATGATTTCACCACTGAGGATGCTCATGAAGGATACCTCCAAGATGAAGTTCCCGAAGATTACGTTCATGATCCCATGTTGGATCGACCTCCTGATGTCAATCCTGACGATTGGCTTGACCAGCAGTATGAACTGGAGTTCTTGCGTGCCGAGGCAGCCAACTGTGATCAAGTTTTAACTGAGATCGCTGCCGACCGAGAAGCACGTGCTGCTGCTCAAGGGCTTCATGCTGCCCAAGATGATGGCCCAACTTGCGAGGATGCGTTGCTGTTTGAGTCCCTCATGCAAGAGCAGCCCAACACCATCCGGAAGGCCACTCACAAGAAGGCCAAGAAACTCCATGCAATGTCCAATGCCGTTGACGGCGATGATTGGCGTTTCTTCCGGGTGTTGGCCGGCAAGACTCCAGCTCCGAAGTCACCTCCCTATGGAAAGTGCTGGATGAAACAGCTCTTTGCAGGACAAATGGGTTTGACTCTCCTGCTTGTGGCATATGGACTTTCGGTTGGAGTGCCTTTGGACTTTAGCACTTCCAGCTGGGATGCCACTACCAAGGATGGACTTCGGCGCCTCAACCATGACTTCCAAGTTGAGGATCCCTACTGCACTGTCCTGACACAACCTTGTGGTCCTTGGGGCAATTGGGCACGATTCAACGTAGCCCGCGGTGGTCCTGCCGCATTGACAGTTCTTCAACTGCAAGAACGTGGCCGACCAATTCTGAAGTTGGTGAACGACACGATTTGCAAGCGTGTCAAGGCCAAACGACATGTCTTTGTCGAACAGCCCTCTGGATCCTCATGGCTTGATGAGCCTGAACTTGAAGGTGTCAGAGCGTTGATTCAGTCCGGTGACTTGATCGTCATCAAGGCTCATGGATGTCAACTTGGCTATGAAGATGCTGATTCTGGACTTCCTCACTTCAAGCCTTCCACTTACGTGACATCCATGATAGCAGCAGAAAGCCTTTTCCAAGATTCCTCTTGCGATGGTTCTCATCAACACCAACACCTTGAAGGAGCCAACTCTCAAGGTCAACGCACTGCCCAAGCCTCAGTTTGGCCTGACAAGCTCAACAAGCGTGTGTTGGAAACCATCGTGCAACAAGCTGCGATTGAGCAAGCAGCCCATGAACAAGCTCAAGATGCTTTTCCTGCAGAAGTTCGCCGACTTCCTCAAGTTGGAAAGAGTCCCAAAAGAAGGAGGAAAGGACGGGTCACCACTTTGACCAGCCAATATGGTGGAGCCCCTCCGGTCTACTTGAGACCATCTGAACCACTTCAGCCCGCGATCCAAGATGGCGATCCCTTTGCTGAAGTTCCTCCTGACGAAGACGATGCTGATGTGAGGGCACGACAAGCCTCTCAACTTGAGCCTTTGCTCCATCGAGCTGAAACCCAACGACGTGAAGAATGGCTCAAGATTGACCCTGACATCCGCAAGATTCTCAGAACTTTGCATGTCAACTTCGGCCACCCCACCAACATCACCTTGCAGAGGATTCTCCGCCGACAAGGTGCAAAACCAGAAGCAGTTGCTGGTGCCGAGCTGTTGTCATGCGATGCTTGCGGTGAAAGTATCAGAAGGCGACGTCCCAAACCAGTTCGTCTTCCCAACAAGTATGTCTTCAACAACCACTTGCTTGTAGATGTTTTCTATGGAAAGGACATTGAGAACGAGTCTTTTTGCTTTCTCAATGTGATTGATGATGCGACTGGATTCCAAGTTGTCAGCTGTCTTGGAACTGTTCGTGGCCCACCTGCGTCCAAAGCTGTTCTCAGGCATTTTCTGACGTCATGGACTTCATGGGCAGGCCTCCCTCAGTCGATCCAAGCTGACTTGGGGAAAGAATTCATGGCTGATTTCACTGCCTACATGAAACAGTTTGGCGTTGAAACAGAGAACATGCCGCTCGAAGCCCCATGGAAGAGCGGAAAAGTTGAACGAGCCGGTGGCCTATGGAAGGACATCCTCCTGCGGACTGTCCATGAGATGCAGCTGCGTGGTCTGGACGACATGATCCTCGCCACGTCCATCATCACTCAATGCCGCAACTCCTTTCCCAGAAGCAACGGCTACTCGCCGAACCAATGGGTTTTAGGCCAACCAGAAATCAGACTGCCTGGCTCACTTTTGAGCGACGAAGAATCCCAGCGTTTGGAGATTCTTGAGGCCGCTGAAGACCCAAAGTCAGCAATGGCCAAAACTTTGAGTATCAGAGAAGCCGCAAAAGTTGCCCAGGTCAGACTTGACACTGACTCTCGTGTGCGACGCGCTTTGCTTCACCAGTCCACACCTACGAGAGGGCCTTTCCCTGTGGGAAGCTATGTTTACTTCCTCCGGCTTCAGATGCCCAAAGGCAGTCGACGAAACTACAAATGGTTTGGTCCAGCCCGGGTCATTGGCTGCGAGCTCAGATCTCCCACTCGACTTCAAGATGATGAAGAGCTTCTCACCGATGGTGGACAACCCAGAAGCTATTGGCTCAGGTATGGTTCATCAGTTGTTTTGGTGACAGGTGAACAATTGCGTTTTGCCAGTGAAGATGAGCTGATTGCGGCTCACACAATCCCACAAGAAGTTTTGGAGCCTGAATATGCACGAGGAGCAAGAAACTTTGCTGACTTGCGAGGTCCACTTGCTGTCCCTGCTCAACCTGAAGATCAAGGACCTCTTGCACTACCAGCTCCAACAACGGGACCACCTGTCCTACCTTTTCCTGCGACTGCCGATGAACCACAGTCTCCTGGATACTCTCCCAGCGAGTTTGTACCTGATGCTGAAGGAGATCAACTCATGCAGCCGACTCCAACAGTGAATGATGAAGTTCCTCAAGCTCCTGCTGATCCTCCTGATCAGACAATGGGTCACGATGACCAACCGCAACAACCTGCCCATGGCCGGCAGATGAGCACGATTTCCGGAGCTCCTGAACCAGAACCACAGCCAGTGAACACACCAACAGGTCAGGCACAACTTGGACTTGGACTTCAGCCTGTACCTGTCCCTTTTCTTGCACCTCAGACTGGCAACCTCCAAACAGCACTTCGAGATCCAGATCGTCTTGATGGCTATCGAGCTGTCCAAAGACAACATGGTCAACAGCCACAGCGATCTTACTTTGTCGAAGACGATGATTTTGAATGTGAAACAATGCCTTCCGTTTTGAAGGGCAAGCGTTTGGAGAAGATGCTCAACTTCGAGGATGAGGCGTTTTCCCCATCCCAGTCAGAAGAAGAGCAAGAACAATGTTTTGTGGAAGTTTCTCAAGGGCCAGGTGATGTTTTTCTCACTGGAAAAGCTGTGCGATCTGAGATTTCTTTGAAAGATCTTTCACCAGAAGATCGTGCCAAGTATGATGTCAGTATGGCGAAAGAGTGGTCATCCTGGCAAAAGTTCAATGCTGTGGAAGTCCTTTCACCTCAGCAGATTGAGGACCTGCCCGAAGATGCCAAGATCATCGGGACCAGATGGGTCCACACTGACAAGAACCGGAAAAAGCGCCTCATGTCTGCCGCTCTTCAAGGCAGAACTGGAAAGTCACAAACTCAAATTCAGAAAGAGTTTCCACTGGAAGCGAAGAGCCGTTTAGTTGTCCAAGGTCACCAAGAGACCGACACAGGTATCAGAAGCGATTCACCAACGGCCAGTCTTCTTGCTTTCAATTTGGTTTGTGCAGTTGCTGTTATTCAGAAGTGGATTGTCATGGCTTGTGACGCATCCACTGCCTATCTCCAATCAAATGGCATCAGCCGCTTGCTGCTGCTCAGGCCACCGAGACCACCTCCTCCTGGAATTTTGCCTCATGATCTTCTTCGAGCTCTTGGCTCAATTTATGGTACCAAAGATGCTGGCAGAGCTTGGTGGAAGAAGCTCTACAAAACCCTGAGGTACTACAACTGGATCATGTCGCGCCTTGAACATGCGCTCTTTTTCCTGGTGGTCGATGGAAAACTTTGTGGCATTCTCATCACACATGTCGATGATTTGTTTTGTGCTGGAGAAGGTAAACAGTTTCATGATTCCATTGAGGCCATGCAAAAGGACATCTATTTAAAGATCAACAAGGGCAAGTTTCGTTTTTGTGGGAAGAACGTTTTCCAGCGTGATGATTTTTCCATTGAGGTTGACCAGTACGATGCCATCGAGGCGATCGACTACATGGTGCTTGCCGCTGACCGGCGCAAAATGGTGAACAGCCCCTTGACGGAGGCAGAGCAGTCTTTGTTCAGAGGCCTCATAGGCCAGATGGGTTGGGTCACTCGCCAGTCTAGGCCAGACCTCATGGTGAATGTTAGCGTTGCAGCCCAAAGCATGAGTTCCCCAAAAGTGAAGGATGTGATTAACTTGAACAAAGCAGTGAAAGCCCTCAAAGAGAGCTATGAAGCCAAATGGAATTTCATCTACAGCGACGAAATGACTCTGGAGAATTGCTGCGTTTTCGTTTTTGCTGACAGCAGTTTTGCGAATGGCGAAAATTTGAAGTCCCAGTGCGGCTTCATCACTGGTCTTTCTGTTTCTGCACTGAAGGATGGATCCTCCTGCCCCATCATGATCCTCGAAACGTATTCAGGTAGCATCAAAAGAGTTTGCCGCAGTACTCTGGCTGCTGAATCAAATGGATTTTTGAATGGAGTTGAAGCTGGAGACTATTTGAGGACCCTGCTGATGGAGATCACGCATCCAGGTGAGAGACTTTTAGATTTAGATCTTCAGTTCGTCAAAAGCAAACTGATGTGCTTCACGGACGCCAAAAGTCTGGAACAGACGCTCAACCGTGATGCAGGTCAGCCAACTGACAAACGTGTCCGCATTCTCGTGTCACAAGTGAAAGAACTGATAGGTGAAAACACATATGAAGATGACTCTGATGCTTTTGCAATCTGGACGGACACGTCCCAAATGCTAGCTGATGTTCTCACCAAGCTTGGTTGCGAAAGGGAATCCCTTTTGCATGCGTTAGAATGTGGCCGATGGCAGTTGGAGCCCACAGAGCAGGCCAAGCTGCGCAAGGTAGAAATCAGAGCTGGCAGACATGCCAGAAAAGCTGCCAAGAGGGCAGCCAGCATTTCCAACCCTGTTGTGGCTGAGGACGGGTGTGAAACGGGAACCTCCAAACATACCACATAGCTGTTTCCTTTCTGCACCAGCCACGACAGGTCACATCATGATCAACTCATTTCCAATTCATTGCCTCGCACAGGGCGCCCTTTTCGGATCAAAAGAGCTGCTGTCTCTCAGCTTCGCCGCAAGACTGAGTTTGATATTATAATTATATGTACATACATATAATTATATGTATATATGTATATATACATATAATATATAATTATATGTATATAAATGTGTATATATATATTATATATATGATTATATATAATTATACATGTATAAATGTGTATATATACAGTATATCCATGGAATCCTCGCAGGCGAACTCGGACGCCAAGGAGGCTCCCAACAAGGAGACATCGGCGAAGGAGCCAGCCACACCACGGAAACGCTCGCATGGAGAGGTGGCTTGTTTCGGGCGAACGCCGCCCCCGCAGGTTTCGTCGGTTACCCTCTGGTTTCATGAAACAAGGTTTTTTGTATAGGATCTATGGTGATGATTTTTAGATGGTGGGTAAGAAAAACCAACAAACATCATCAAACATTCAAAAGGGTGATTTTCCTCATGTTAAACTACCAGATAGTAAACCAAAATTTTGGCTGGTTGAAGTGTCCATTTGGGACAAAAACATGGTTGGCAAATTGGCAAAATGTTTTTTTTGCTTGGGCAGGGGTTTAGTGGGGTTGGGTGTTTTGAAACCTGGGGGAAACCAGTCTTCCAACGTTCCTTTTGCAAAATTGTGCGGAGTGTTGGTTTGGCAAATCTCCGGGCAAGGTGAATATATGAGTCTTCGGGAGGTTTCACGGGGTCTTAGGTGTCTTTGGTTGAAGGCAACATGTTCACCTGGTTGGTGGTTTCAAATGTTTTCTAGGTACATGTTCCACCGAATGGGATGGTTCCCGATGACTTTCTCAGCTGTGCCAGGCTTTTGGTTTCGAGATCCAGGAAACCTTACAGTTGCAGTTTGGGAGCCTAGAACATTCATGAGTTGTCTGCAAATATCTGAAAATGGGCTACTCCAAAAGCTGATGTATGGTTTCCCGAAAAAATTGGGCACACCTACAGTAAATCCACGGTTTCAGGATCACGTTCCCTATTCAAACTGCAATTCTTGGGTGATTTTTTCTCCTTTCAAAAAAAACCCAATGGGGATGGTGAACAAGAGGTTGGTGCCATGGTCCATGGTCAAAGCTGGATCATTTTCGCACAAAAGCTGATGGCCATCCACCTATTCATGGGGATCGATATAGTATAAGGAATCCATGATGATGGTTACTGTTGTGTACCGAGACAAATTGGGCATGGATGGAAGGGACTTTAAAACTTGGATTATACCGATTATACCTCAAACCGAGAACGTGGATGTACAGATCATTCCACACTATCCTCCAAGATATTGGTAGATTTCTCAAGATTTTTTAGCCAGAGTCCCTAGGGGACATTTTTTGCGCGTGTTCATGATACTTCACTTTTCCCTCACCTGAAATCTTATGTATCCTGTACTTGTGAGCCCAAGTGGATTATACATATAATATATATATATACATATGATATATCAACTTAGACCTGGTTGGTGTTTTATCATATCTTTCCAAAAACGATGAACTGTAGAAATGATAAAACACATGATCTACAAGGACTTTGTGACTTTGGACTGGTTGAAAGTTGAAACCATCAATGTAAGTGAGTCAGTCCCAGATGGAAACGTGTTTCCAAGATTGTATAGATGACATGTTTACCTACTTTCATATGGCTATGGATCAATACCTATACATACCATTTTTAGGGGATGAACATCCATTTACCAGCTATTTTGGGGTTCACTAGGTACCAGGGTTTTGACCCATCCCCATATATTTTTTGTTCAACTGTTCTATTTGGAGGTTACAGGATATTCCAACACCTGGAATCCCGGAATGCGTCAGGCAACAGCTTCTGGCAGGCTTTACGGAGCCTGAGTTTCAGGACTTAAGTTGCAGCTTTCGAGAAACATAGCAACCCCCAAAACAGACAGAACAGGAAAATCCTATTACACATAGTGGTAAGTTATGGTATCTAAAACTGTCTAAATTACTTTTCTATCTTTTTTAAGGGGTTGCGGTATTTTTGGAGTTTTTTTAAGGCAGGTAGCTGGCCATTCCTGCCAGCATCGGCTACTCTTTCTGCTGACATGTGGATCATGTGGATGTGTCGTTCTCAGGATGATGTTAACCTCGGGCCCTGGCACAGCTGATGAAGAATCAGAATCACCATGTCCTTTCAGAGTCTCTGAGAGTCGGAAGTTACCCTCTGGTAATTTAACATAGCTATTGAAAATCACCATTTTTAATGGGAAAATCCACTATTAATGGTCATTTTCAATAGCTACGTTAAATTACCAGAGGGTATCCATGAATGGATGAACATTTATTTCTTTGGAAAGCACTGGGACCCCCATTTGTCTTGAGACTCCCCTTTGTATATGACCCAAAGTCCAGGAGAATTTGAAACAACTTCAAGTGCAATACCCGGAGCGCAAGACCAAGGGTCATTACGATAGCATGGCCTACTTTGAGGCCGGGAACGTGGGGGGGCACGGTGGGGCTTTGCAAAACCGCGCGAGGATTGGTGAGGCACGAGGGGTTCTCCACCGGGGGGGGGGGGCCGGGCCGCCCCGTGACGTGAGGTTGGCCTGCCAGATGGCCAGCAGGAGATGGCCAGCAGCGTGAGTATTGATGCTGGTCACTTTTAAAGTGACCAATATTCTGAAGCACTGCACATAATAGATACTGTATACTATATTATATCATATTATACATCTTTGGCAGACATGTGCAGTTTTCTTCCTTTTTTGGTCAAGTGAGTGGGGTTGAATTGAGGTCTTTAAAAAACTGGTTTCCCCAAGTTCCCCAAAACATCGGATTCAACTTCTTTGGCAAACGGTGCCGTGGATGCTGTGATGGGCCGCGGCGCGCACACCTTCATGGAATAAACCGCCCATGGTGGCCATGATTTTGAGGTTGGGCTTCGGCCCAGCTGTTCACCAAGATCTTCGAGGTTGGTGGCAAGGTTGGATAAAGTTCCAATCACAAAAAAGCCAGCCTGTTGGAAGCACTTAAGACCGATATATACATATACATACATACATACAATTATATACACATGAGATATAATTTGAAAACATAGATTGATTTATCTATATATATACATATATTATGTAGATATATATATATATATACATACACACATACTGTCTAAAGTTTCAGGTACTGCCATTTGTAGTGCGCCTGAGGTCTAGATGAAAGTCAGCAAACCAAAGTCTTTCAGCTGACTCTGTCTTGTAACTAAGAAGCATGTATCGTAGTGAATTCGGCTTCTGCTCTCACACTATTTGTCAAAATTGTTGGGAAGATTCGACTCACGGTTGTGGCCCCTGAGCTTTGCCGCTCGGCGGCCTTCATTGGGCCGAAATCGTGTCCTTTAAAGGGTCGGCTGAACAGTTGACGTCTCAAATTTTGCAGGCCCAAAACAGTGGCAGCAATTGGCAATACGCCGGAGCCACTGACACTGGGCGGGTTGGTGTGACCAGCCACTTTTGATGGTCCCAAATCTGTTGAACATCATATCTCTATATATCTCTGGAGAAATTATAATGACCTCTCTGCGACCTCACTGGAATGATGCTTAGTGTAAGTCACCCTTCCAAAATCAGGCTTTTTCGGGTCTGTGAATTCTTCTGACTTATTCAGATATGTGATATTTGGGAGAGTAAGCACTTGACACCTTCTGTCTTCGACTTTAAATGAATCAGGAAATCAGGCAATACAAGTCAGGATGTGTCACTGTTACTGTTGGCTGGATTTGAGGGGTATCTTCAACTTTCAAACTTTTCAGCCTACGAGAAAGACTGCACTGCAAGCCAAGAATTGGTCAGCTGAAACAATGAAGCATCATGATTTACTTGTTTTACTTGTTTTTTCTTCACTAGCAGTCACTAGTGTAGCGGATGGACACTCTCTTTCTCCAGCAGCAACGGCAGGGAAGAAAACTTCATTTTTTTTTTTTATGATGCCTCCGGTAAGAAAGTCAGTCTAGCATGGAATCATATAGTGCTTGTTTGATGGGTAACCAGGCATGAGGTGATAGGTTTGTAGCATTTTGTTGCCATGCTGAATCAATTGTTCCTACGCACACATTTTTTCTGCTATAATGTTTGATGATTTTCTTCCCCGCGCAGCGTAAATCAACATGGACGTATCCCACGCCCACCATCCAGAAATTGGGGAAAATGCCATGGTTAGTGACACTTCCCTTAAACATAGAGGGCCTGTTTTTCCAGGGTCACCGGCCTCGGCGGTCGTTTCGCCACACATGGTCGAAATTTCAGGGCAAACAGTTTACGCTTGCAGGTTGCAAAATGGGCAACTTTTCAGCGTGGCCCCCTCTGACGGGACAAGCGCCATGGTGCTCGTTCGGATCCTTTTAGTGGATCTTCATGGATTCCTTAGTGCGATTTTGGTTGATTTCGATGTGTTGCGTAGAATAGCAGATGGGCTTACAAGGGCTTAGTGGGTGTGTAAGCAGCACTTATAGGCATTTCTGTGTCCTTAGTCTTTAGTCATTCCCGCAAAGAATTTCATGGCCATTCATTGTGAAGACAGGCCAACTACACAACCTCGCGACCAATACAATACCAGGGTCTTCATTCTCTCAGATATCACTGTTGAAACAGCGTCTCTGAAGTTTTCGCTCGAAATGGCAGCCGTTCAATTGGATTTTTCAACAACCCCATTAGCATTTAACAAATCAGGTTTCCCCAAGCGGTTGGAACCTCTGCCAAAGAATCTGACCATGTACTGTAAATCCAATGCAATAGCTGTTGCGTGTTTCGGGAGTTAACCGGTGGTAATGAGTAGAACTCCTCCTTTTTCACACAGTAAAAGGGGTCCTTCCCAAGATCCCATAGTGAGTCCAGATTCCTCTACCGTGGTCCTTGTTTTCTTGATAGCCACCGAGGTTTTGATTGGTTTTGAAGACTAGACTGCCACCATCTGCCACCAAAAAGCTACACAGAGATTCTCAGATAAAGATTCCCCGGGATTTAGTGGTTTATATAAATTGGTTTACATGGTTTAATATGCTTTAATATGGTTTAGTATGGCTCAGTGAACCTTTAGTCCCAAGTTCCCCAAGTTCTCTGTCCAACGTTTTTCCCGAACCCCAAAACCGATGAAATCGGTTGGCTGCCGGGCAGGCTTTCAACGCCTTAGCGCACACCGTCTACGCCAAGGTGTGCCTAAAAATATCCGACAGATGGAGCCCAAAAAGCGGATTTGTTTGAACATAGCTTGCCCCAAAATCTATGGCGGTTCCTAGCCATTCCCTTGACTTTTGGATTTGTTGGGGATCTGGGATACTATATATTTTTAATATAATTATATATATATATACACACAGTTGATAGACAGTATTACATACAACCACTAGAACTAAAACTCTTAGATTGTGTTCCATAATTGTTGATTATGTTCCATTGTTGTTGATCATGTTCCGCATTGAAATGTACTCGAATTACAATCTTGTTTTGGACACGCCCAAATGGTGTGTGTATATTATTACATAATGTATTCGATATGTGTGCGAGTCGAAACCAAAGAAGCCAGATTAAGTGGGCCAACATCTCAGCATTCTTTGTTCTGATTGTGATGCGGGACAGGGTACAGCGCGGCTTTGATGCACGGGTGCTTTTGTTTCCAAACGTGCTCTCCGACCACTCAAAAGCATGATCATTTCACCATCACCACCTTCCAGCGATAGATGCAAGCCTTAAGAAACTGGGGATTCATCAAAATTTGTCCCCATGTGAACATGAACATCTGCAATACATATTCTATATATATATATATGGGTATGGGTCAAAATTAGGTACCCCAAAATTATGGATGGTTAATACTAAACTAGACTAACATCTGTGGTCCCCTAGGTCTTCCATTTTGACCCACATCTATATATCACCAGATTTTCTTCCTCTTGCATCCTTTTCTACCCAGATGGCCGGCGGCAGGTGCTGCCGGATTGGAAGCTGGCGCCGAACTGGGATGGCGTGCGAGAAATGCTGAGCAAAATGCAGGAGGCCATGGCACATCCCAAGGCGGGGTCAAACCACAACTGTTGAGGTTTATATAGGTTTACCCTCTGGTAAACTAACATAGCTATGGAAAATCACAGTTTTTAATGGGTAAATCAACTATTTCTATGGCCATTTTCAATAGCTATGTTAGTCATTACCAGAGGGTATGGCGTTTGGGTTTGCCACATGGCATGTTTTTAGTGGATTGGTGCTGATTCTCTGATATAAAAGTGGATTTTCCATTGCCAGATATTTGATCATCGGTTAGGCAATGGCCCTATGGCCTATGGCTTTTTTCATATGGTGAAAAGTGGTTGAAGCATCAGTAGGAAACCTGGATGAAAGGTGAACTTCAAACTGCAGCGTTTCGAAAAACGACTGGTGACTGGTATGTTGGCACAACAACTTATAGTTATAGTTTGATATAAACAGGAATATATTATACAATCTAAGCATACCTAAGCAGCTAAGAATGTGCGTTTTTTGGCAATATACCACATCTTCCCAAGAGCAACTGGTGAATCATCAGTTGTTATATTCAAACAACAATTTTTTGGGGCATACATAGCCCATTTTCATACAAACCCTAAAGGAAAAAACATCATTTTTCACATATTTAAATTATTATTTTTGTTTTTTCCCACCTGCCAGGTGAGGTTCTCTAGATTTTAACAAAGGTGCAACTCCTTCCTCCTCCTCCTTCTTCTCCTCCTCCTCCTTGCCTCCTCTGCCAGCTCTGGATTCGAACACCATATGCCCAGCTCCGGATGCTGTGGGGCACGCCTGGACCAGAACACATGTCAGATAGAATGCCAGATAGAATGGCAGAATAGAATGTCAGGAAAAAAAATCAGAATATATACTAGATAGAATGCCACAAAGAACGCCAGATAGAATGTCAGAACATATCTCAGATAGAATGCAAGATAGAATGTCAGAACATATGTTAGATAGAATGCCATATAGATTGTCAGAACATATGTCAGAGAGAATTCCAGATAGAATGTCATAATAGATACCAGATAGAATGTCAGAATATATGTCAGATAGAATGTCAGGTAGAATGTCAGAATATATGTCAGATAGAATGTCAGATAGAGTGTGAGATAATGCCAGATAGAATGTCAGAGTATACGCCAGAAAGAATGCTAGAATAATATGTCAGGTTGGGGATCACTTGAAGTAAAGCGTATTTGTTTTAAATATCTCTATATATATACACAATATATATACAATATATATATACAATATATATATACAATATATATATACAATATATATATACATATCAATATATAATGATTTATATGCATATGTATATGTATACAGTAAGTCTATATACATACATAATGCATATATATATGTATATACACATTGTTTGCTCCTCTTTTTCGGCTTGGCCCCCGGGGCCAAGCGCAGGTCAAGAAAACGCAGGAAGAGATCAATGTGGCAATGGGCTTGTGGGGGATGCCCAGGTTGGAGATGCTGGGGATTCACTTCAGTCCACACACCAAGTGTTTTTTGTTGAGAGAACCATTGAGAAATGTGGGGGTATACTCTATTTTCACACGCACCCAAGTCACATAGTTTCTATCAGGTTCTGCAAATATTCAAAACCTGGCCTGTTTCGCTTTCAAGAATATATCAGTGTAAATATCTAGAAAGAATTATGGAACATCCCCATGCTTAATGCGGGTAAATCAACTATTTCACTATTTCCACTGGGCCATTTTCAATAGCAAACTGTAAACGTTTACCAGGCCGGGTAACCATTGCAGATGACCCGTTCAGATCCTCGGTGAGTTTTTCCGCTGCACCGAGGCCTCGGAATGTGAATTTCACCCCGCGCCTTGGATTTTTTCGTCAGGGGAAAGACTTCTGCCGCAGAAGTGATCCTTGTAACCAGCCAAAAGAGATGCAGAAAAGTATTACTTACTGTATCACTATTTTAAAGGATTGGATTTTACATAGTTTTTTTTTTTCCGGGGAATGCTAAGATTCAGTGATAGATGATCGTCCAGTGAACCCCCATCATTGACCCATGGTCCTCAAATTCCAGCAAATTTTCATTAAAAAAATGGTTGTTAAGTTGTTTTGGCCGTATATCTGGATAATTAAAAGGCCCGAACCCTGCAACGTCACTGCAATATTAGTAAGGGCAACTATGCCAAGATAACCACACATTTCAGGTCAGTGAATTGTTAGAAGTTATCCAAATATACTGGGGATGTATATCATACCGAACCAAAGATTAAAGGCCAAGATGAGCCCTGCACTTGGCTGATGTAGCGCCCCAGATCAATGAAAAATCTGCTGTGGGATCCGAAATAGTAAAAAGGTCACCTAGGGATGTGCACAAAATGCTCAGCACCTGGGTCTGATGTACCACTTAATTGTGGCAATAGTATCATACTGGATATAATAATATATATATATAATGCTGATTTATGTTAAATACATGTAACTACCAGTTGGATATGGTATTTCAAGTGGTAAATAAACCACAAATTGCGGACGGAACCCACTTCTGAAATCCTTGGCTCCATTTCCCAGGCAGGTGAACACTTCCTTCGGCTCAAAATCCCCACATATATTGGGGATGATTACTATCCATCAATGAACTGGGAATCGCGACAGTGGATTTTGAACATAAAGTACGGCTTGGTTGATATTTCCGCCTGAAATTTCATGACATGTCCATATTTTCCTGGTTCCATATTGTATCCTGCTTGAATTTCCATATGATTTGCTCCGAGAACCAACCGAGGCCCTCGAAGGGCTCGGAACTCTTTCTCTTCAGGTTCTTTCCAGGGGCACCTGGCGATTACCAAAATAAATACAGTCAATTACGGAGATTTTTAATTTATCTATCGTGTGTTCAAATATTTTTTTGATTCATCCATTTTGTTGATTGTTTTTCTTCATCCAGATCATGACGCGACCAAGTGGTCGGAAATCTGTTACGTTGGGTCCAAGTGGATGATCGTATGACCAGCCATTTCACTGGATATCTAAGTTTGACCATGGAAAAAGGAAACAGAAATAAACAAAACACCTCCAAGAATGGACCGTTTGGAAGGTTCCTGAAATGTGGGTACCCCCAGTTATCATCCATTTTATATAATAGGATTTTCCTTGAAATAAACCATCCAGCTATTGGGGTATCCCATTTAATGGAAACCCCCATTTCTTCAACAAATGGAATTGCTGAGAAATTGCAAGTCGTGATGCTCTGACCGGGTCAGACTGGATGTTTAGTTTGGTACATTTAATCAGACCTCACTGCGACATCACTGGAATTTCGGAATAATGAATAATAATGGTTTATAAGGGGAATCATCCCCCAAATCACCTTAGTTCAGTGTACTGTACTATGATTTATCCAGTAATATGTAGTATATATATGAATTATATATATATAAATGGGGATATGTTTTTCTATCCGGCTATTTCTTGTTTACAGGATATCTAAGATTGGCGATGATGGTTCCCAATGAATCATCATACCCCATGGACAACTTCCATCCCCATGGAGAAAGGTAGTGAATCTGTTGCTGTCAGTTTCAGTTGCCTCTCCTCCTTCGTTCACTTTTTTTCTCATATTTTTCTTGAAGAGTCAATAAATAACCATCAATTCACCATGTTTCATCGACCTAGAATACCATGCAGGTAGCATTGGATTTGATCCTAGCAAAATCCTCCATAAACGCTACAGCTCCACACAGCGAGACTGTACTTTGGGGCATCCAGGGGGTTCAAATATGTACAAATACTTCCAAGGTATTTGGAGCACTGAAATGAACCAATCAAGCAAAGCAATAATCATCAATAATCTGGTTGGTGGTTTGGAACATGAATTTTATTTTTCCATATATTGGGAATGTCATAATCCCAACTGACTAATATTTTTCAGAGGGGTTGAAACCACCAACCAGATAATCTATTGGAACTAATCATCAATAATCATCAGCAATAATCATCAAAAGTCATCACCAATCAGCAATCATCAACAATAATCATCAGCAATAATCAATAATCATCAATCAAGATTGGAAGCATCTTATTTCAATACTCAATAGATCCCGCTGTCAGGCCTGATGGGGACGGCCCTGTCCCTGGCTATGCCTTGCCGATGTTCAAGGCGCGACTGATGAGACGAGACGATGGTTGGCGCATTGCAATTGAGCAATGACTTGCGGTATATGTAGATATATAATATTATATAATATGTAATGTATTATATACGTATATATATATATATTAACAATTATGAAGTGTCCAAACGACTTGACATTGGTTCCCCAATGCCGGAAAAGAATGTGTTGAATTTGGATGTTGAAGAGATTGGATACTGCAAAGTCATCCAAAGTCAACATTCAACGAATGGTCAAACTTTTGGTTGTCCCAAACGAGGTTGGCTTCAATGGTCAGCTGGCACCAGCAAACCATCGCATTGACACGACCCATTACGTTTTAAAGACACGAATAAAGCAAAGAGCACATATGTTGAGCCTTAGAACTAGACTATACTCCGCAACATCTTGGAAACCATTTGAGCCATTAAACAATACCCTGTTTGATTTGTTTTTTTACTGCCTATTACTGTATATAATTGACTGGGGATCAAATTATAACCAATAGTAAGTAGGAATCCATCTATCAACCAACATCAACCAACTAATATTTCATGAGATGGGATAGGGGTATTTCTAATGGCTGATTTGTTACCACAGGATGAGGATGGCGACGAAGCTCATGAGTTTCTGATGGAAGATGAGGACAGCAGCGACGCGACTTGAGGGAAATGCCGTGTGGCTTCTTCTAGCAGAAGGAACGCGAGGTGCAAGCACAAGTGTGCTGATTATACAGTTATACATACACATTAAAATGATTTCATTCAGACTATTAACTTCCTGGAATGTGAATTTAATCTGCATACAAGTGGGATTCAATCCAGAAATGCTGGCGTTTGGGGATGACTTTGGATACCACAGGAGACAGGTGAGCTGAAGATGCGGGCGGCTTCCAGTCTGGAGCAGGTGGAACAGGTCAGGTCTCGAAGGGTCCAGATGGGTCCGATCTCGGGGGTTGGGTGGCGGTCAAACATTGATGCCAACATAAATTGAGGATGGGTTACCCTCTGGTAAACTAACATAGCTATGGAAAATCAATGAAAATCACCATTTTTCATGGGAAAATCCGCTATAAATGACCATTTTCAATAGCTATGTTAGTCATTACCAGAGGGTAAAACCTCTTGAATGATATGATCTTTTGGGGACGAACATCCATGAAACTACTTTTTGGGGTGAACAGCACGGTGGAGAGAGGAATGATGCCGGTATCTGTTCAAGAAGCCTCGTTCGTATGTCACATGTCCGGTTTTTCCCATGTAAGTTGCTCAAAATCCCAATTACTAAACAGCTCGGAGTTGGATATCTATTGATATCCAATCGGATATCTAATCTGTTTGGTGGTTTGGAACATTTTTTATTTTTCCATATATTGGGAATAGTAACCCCAACTGACTAATATTTTTCAGAGGGGTTGAAACCACCAACCAGAATTGGTGATGCCAAACTATTTCATCCTCAGAGGTTTATGGCATTGAAACTGCCACATCACCAAGGCCACTTTGGCGCTTCCAACGGCACCGCTGGCGGCTACTGCGGAGGCGGGTAGCCATTTTTTCGAGCGACGAAATGGAGTTTCCCAACCAGATCATAGGTTGAATTATGTTGAATTTGTCGTTGTTTGCTGCTAGTTTTGATGTTTTTTTAAAGCAGGATGGATTTTGGAACCATTTTTTATTCCGAAGTCGTGTTTGATCTTGTTTTTCGTGGCTTTGAGGCTCCGCAAGAGTTGGGGCTCTCCGTGGGGGGAGCATAGTGTGGAAAAGTTGTTGTTTTGCAAGAAACATGAAGCAAAGGCGGAGCACAATCGATCCGTATGATGAAGCTGACAATGACAGCCCTTACCAGCTGTGAGCCACCAATGCCTGGCCATTCCAAAATAATTGGAAATGCCACTTCTCTCAATATCAAGTTCCTGCCAGATTGTCTATCTGGCGAACTCACCCAAAGTCAATCAAGCTAACTTGAAGTATCTTGAAGTGCTTTTTGTTGTTCCAATGAGTCAGTATAAATCTATAGCTCTATAGAATATATATATATATATATGCATATACAGAATGGACACCACGATAGATGCCAACCCAATGATACAGACAAATTCCATGGCATCGTCGATTCTTAAGTTTAAATCACCGATTCCACCAAGGCTGTACGGTACGGGTTTTTGTGACTTGGGTACCTGGGTACCTTGCAGGCTGCACGTCTATTCATGAATCCAAAAAATCATTGGTGAATTCCCATTCAAGTGGTTACATCAACATTTTTCCACCAAATCCCGATGAAAGTAGTACATACATCAATGTTTGTTTGCTGTGTATATATATATATAATACATATATTATAATTATATATATACACGTAATTATATGTTATTATATACATATATACATATGTAATTATATACACATATCATATACCCACAATCCCCAAGATCTCCCCTATATCCCCATGAAAATTGGTGAATCCTTCCATGGTAACACCAGGCAGCTTCTCCATGCAGCTGAACGCCAGGAGATGTGGTACCAAGTGGTGCATAAACCTGCCGTGATGATCCGCGAACAGCCTGACGAGAAGGCCATGGCTGGAGGTTGCACCCCGGTCTAATGGGGGTTGCCATGGAAATCATGAAATTAACCAACCAGTAAATTATGGAATGACTAAGGCTTTTGAATGGATTCTGAATGGAAACCAGCCTGTGTATTTAAGGGATTGGGGTTTACACCACCTAAATTTATGTATATAATCGAATATAATTGATATAATGCTGGATTTTAGTATTTGGGGATCCCCTTTTTTTAAGGTTTCATCGTTGGGTTTCATTCAGACTTTTGGGGATGTTCCATGGGAAAGTTGGGGGATCCCGGAGAGTTATGTAACCAAGTGAGGCACCAGATGGGAATACTGTAAATGGGCCAGTTGGGAGAGATCAGGCGGCAGCAATCCCCTGAGAAGCCGGGCAAAAAGTTGGGTGCCGATACGTAAGGACTCGTAAGGACTCAGGGTATGGTTCCAAGCGAAATCTGAATCCAGTCTGAAGATTGGAGGGCTGATCGCCAAAAAGGGCGAGAGGGGATCCATGTCCAATCGACTGCCAGTCATACACACTTCAATTGCATTGCAAAATTTATAGCTAGGGTCAACTATTAGACATAATTAGACTATGGTTATCTACCCACTTTGATACCTTTGATGCCGTTGGGGGCCCCATGCCGCCAGTTGTGGCTGGCCAGAATTTCTCAGCCTCGGCAGGCAAAGATGGTGGGCCGCAAGAAGGCTCCAAGCTGCGATGAAGGGCTGGTTTCATCATGTGGAAACAGCTGGTTTCATCGCCATGAGAAAAAAAGGTTCAGTGGTCATTTCAGGATCCTAAAATGGAGGTACGTTAGTACCATATTTCTGGCCATATTTTCTGGTGATATTCACATGGAAATTCCCATTGAACGGTATGTCCATCCTATTTTGGTGTGAGCTGAAAGTCTTTGCCAGCCATGTGCATTCTGCGCAACTGTTGTGGTTGCTACCCCCAGTTTTTCACCCTGCTTTTTTCCACAGGTCGGCAAGAGGCTAAGAATACAAAGTGTGAAGGCCGCCGAATGTTCTGCTGATCTGCTGGTCGGGTTGGAGTTGAGTGCCAAAAGTGCAATCTTGATGAGGTCTTGATCATGGTGAGTCGGAGATTCACAAACCTTCACAAACAACTCATGACCTGGAACCGGAAAGTCAAATGCAGCTCTAAAGCAGAGTAGATAGATGGTCTCATTGTTTTTTTCCGCGGCTACAACTTGGGAGTTGGTTCGTGTTGGTTAGTGATTTGGATCAAACTTGTGTCCAGTAATCCCCAGCATCTTTTCACCACCAGCTTTCCATAGTTTCCTATCACCGGGCGAGGATGGCAAGTGGCTGAAGTTACATCAATCGGAACTGGTCAAGCTTGGTGTTCAGGAGGCTTCCAGCTGTGACTGCGAGCTGAGTTCTTTTGAATTATGGGATGCGTAAGTGAAAATCCGTTGGATTGTTTTATATAATGTTTTTTTTCCTCAGATATCAAACACCAGATGTAGAAATTCGATGGAAGATGTTTAATTCCAAAATGATGCGATGGAAAGCCAAAGTGGCCATATTCAATAGGAAACCCGTCTTTCGGAACCCATGCAACTGGCCTTCTCTGTCAAGTTTAGGGTGTGTAAAGGATGTCCACTGACAAACCAACTAGATGAACACCCCAACCTTAGATATCCACTACCTGCTGTCACTAGCAGCTCTCCGGGTCACTGGATGATGCAAAAATCGATAAACTGGAGACAATACACTAAGAATCTTAACAGAACTTCTAGATCCTTCTAGACCATTGAAATATTCTGGTTGATGTGGTACTATAATAGATTCACACCATCTTCTACCACCTACTTCTACCATCTTCTACCAGAAAATTATGGGTAGTTTGTAAACCTCAAAACATTGAGGGTTGTATTACTGGGTTGACCCTCTGGTAGCTTAATCTGGCCATGGCAAACCACCCATTTATATATATATATGTATCTACAGATTATTTTTCATAGCAGATACGTCTTAAATACGAACACGTTGGGGTATTCTGTTGCAGCATTCGATTATCCGAGATACCACATTATTTTTTTCCCCAAAATGAGAGGCACATCCTGCAGGATTGGCAGCTCCGAAGTGCTTTCTTTCGATCTCATCCTCGAATTGCCCACATTTTTTAGGGGAGCTTGAAAGAGTAAAGATTTCCGGCAAGATTCCCTGGCTGAAACAAGAAATCATGAGAAATCATTGCTCCCAAAAATATGTGGCTTATAATTACCCTCTGGTAATCAAACGTGGCAACGGAACATCACCGATTTTGAGAAGAGTTTCCGATTGAACCTCCATATTATATAGTCATTTATAGATTTTTATAGGGGACTATCATGGATTCTCCATATTTTCCTATGATTTTCCCATATCGTCCTATCGTCCTACGTATGTTTCTCCCATGGATTTCGTCGGGAATTTTCCGACAGCGGCGAAATCTGCTTGCCGCACGCGCAGGCCTGGGTTGTCATGGACCCCAATGAAGCCGGTCTACCAGCCGGTGCACCGCCCTTGTGCCTGAGCTCTTGTGGGTGGGAAATCCCATAAAAAAATCATCTGGTGGTTGTAAGTTGCTCAAATTTCCAGTTACTAAACAGCGAGTTGGATATTTGGTTGGTGGTGACTGGAACATAGTGATATTAATAGTGGTCAATAGGGTATAAACCAAGAACAATGGGAATATGATGATGATCTATGTTGGTAGTTTGGAACATGGCTTTCATTGACTTTCCATATGAAAATTGGGAATGTCATGTCATCCCAACTGACTCTTGGATTTTTCAGAGGGGTTGGTGGCTCAACCACCAAGCACTGACCAGGAAGTCTGGCTGGAATTTCTGGAAATGAGCCTCTGGTAAACGTTGAACCAGTTTGCGAACTTGAACATGGACCAGTCGAAATAGTTGAATTAGCCAGCTAGAAAATGATGATTTTCCATAGTTATGTAAACGTTTACCAGAGGGTATCTGAATTGATATGAATTGCAACTTGGAATGATAAAAGTTGTGTATAAATCAATACAAAACCCCAAGTTTACTGGGGCAGATCATTTGCAAATTGGGGGGAGTCTTCCTTGCGCTGCTAGAGGGTATGGCCGAGGTACAAGGTGAGAAGCAGCCTTCACCCGGACAAATTGAGATATGATAACTATGATCAACAGGTTCTTACAAAAAAAATGAGTATAGAAGGTACCGTCCAACTTCGGCATTTTGGTTGAGGTGAAGGGCTCAACGGGCTCAACCACTAAGAGGTGGAAACGTGGCCTTAATTTTTTGCTTAGATTTTAATAACACACCACCAAATTCCTCATCTAGTTCAGTCTATCTAGAAAATGTATGAACAAGTCATTTGAGTACCGACTTGGGGTGAACTGTTCCACATTCACTGACCATCTTCCGAAGCTTCTCGCCAGCTCCAAGGCTCGAGAAGGTGTCGTCGCCATGAGCGGGTCAAGCGGCCTCGAAACCGCTGCGTCAAGAAATTGGATGTCAAAGCTACAGCTGGTTGGGATTGCAGCCATGATCTGACCGGAAATCTCAAAACCTTAACGATGAGCACTTTGATGGTCGAAATGGGGAACATCATCATTTCGCTAACCAGCCAAAGAGTTAGTCTAGCTCAGTGGATTTCCCAGATTGGTCATGAATTAATATGAATTATCCCAAATTTCACTGGCTGAATTTTTAATTTTTCAAGTTCAGTGAGTTCTGCAGTCCCAATACACTGTTCACTCCGAAGCTGACGTACGTCATACTCAAGGTGCAGCAGTGACGTGATGTTTAACGGGTTTGACCAATTGTTCAAATGGGTCAATAAGATTGTATGAAATCGGTACATTGGGCGAGTAAGTGAAGATATTTCAACATATTTCAATCTATGTCGATTATGTACAGCATTTAAATTTAAATATGTTGGGGGGTGGTTCAATGTGTAACTAAATTGGACCCATACCCATAGGCGTCTGATTCTCAAGCCTTGGGATGCTTTTCTCGCCCACATCCTGCTGGGGGATCAATGAATTTACAGTTGGACTTGGCTCGTTTGAAAATCAAATATCAGTTGGGAATGGGTCGTGGTAGATGTTTTTTTTTACTTTAAACGTTTAGTGTGAACCATCCAATTTTGGGGGTATCTAATTTTGACCATAGCCACTATTCTCTGCAGACATTGCTGCACCAACATAGCGCTGGAGGATGAAGGTGGCGGTCTGAGTCAATAAAAAACGAAAATCCCTGGCATGCCTGGAGCGCTGAGGACATGAAAGCCAAAGATTCGCGCTACATAGATCTATATAGGGTTGTCTCAAACATTTGGATCCCCAAAAATTCCCATGACTTTTTATCATCATTTTCCGTGTTAACTTGGCATACACATTGATTTTGCGCCAGGTAAGATTCACAGGAAAGGTGCGGTTTCCAACAAGAAAATCATGTTCTCTAGCTATTTGTGAGGTGTCAGTAGTTTACTACTTTTTGCCAGTCAAAATCATGATCGTGGCTGTGCTTAACGAGGAAACGCGTTTTCCTTGTTCAGAGGCTCACCATCAAAATGGGGATGTCCAAAAATGGGGGATCTACCCCCAAATATTCTTTAATGCGGAAAGTGATGATTGCGTACTTCAACGTTGAAGTCCAACTGGCGATGTCCTACGGTCTATTAAACATGGGCCTATGATTGCAGAAAGCAGTCCCCTTAAACGGCAGAAAGCGATTCATGATGTGATACCCTCTGGTAAACTGTCACATAACTATGGAAAATCACCATTTTTTATGGAAAAATCCACTGTAAAAAATGGCCATTTTCAATAGCAAACTGTTAGTTTACCAGAGGGTAGATTTTATATGGACCTTCCAATATCCAGAGTGTTTAATCTACGTTGGGGTTGCTATGCATGGGTTTGTCTTACTTTTTTGGAAACGAACACACATTGCATTCCATGGTTTATCATCAGACCCCGTGGGTATTCTTGGTGACATGGGTACTCCAAGTTTGGAGAAACAGTATTTCATATTTATATTTTGGATATCATTCCATGCCATGGTCAAGAGATTGCTTATTTTGCCCTAGAAGTGGATGGTCATCCTGCATGAACAGGGGTTTTTATATACCCAATCCCTAATGGCCCTGATGATATTGGATGACCATTCATACCTCATCAATCAAAATTTTAAGAATCTTTGGACCATGGCACATGTGTTGGCCATTCTTGGCGAACGTTTGGGCACCAGGTAGCTGTCACGTGAGTTGTGATTCCTTGCTTCGACTGCCATGGCGCTTCGCTTGTCCAGACAAGGCCGGGCCGCGCTTGGCTGCCTGCTGTTACTTGGATTTCGGCGGATGGAAAGGATGGTATAGCATGGTATAGCGAAGACAACTATGACAATACCATACCATGCACGATGTGTCTGCATATCGTGTGAGGATTGACATAAACATCATATATAAGCATGTATAAACCATATGCAATTTGGGTTTCTTGTTGGCAAGTTGTTGGGTTTAATAAAGTTTAATATGTTTGATTATCCAGATGAGATTATTTGATAGTGCTGGCGACTGGCAAAGGAATCGTTCACACAAATTCAAATATTCAAGTGTGTGTGTATATATAATCATTCATGATCTGATAGTTCAAGATTATCGATCCCATGATAATTGTATGACCATACCCCCAAAGATAGTAGGACCAGGATTGTAGCCTTAGTTTTAGTGGGCTCAATCTGATGGAAAAGCACCATCCAACTAAGAGTTGTCAACCTCTAGTAGAAGATTAAGAAACCAAGCAGTGGCATTGCAGTCAGCGGGTTCCCCTCAAAGAAGCGACAAAAGGTTGATGTGAAGTCCATTGAATTTCCAGTCCCTCCAAGCCTTACAAAATGCTGGTTTGGCGATAGTATTCAATGATAGTCATTGAAAATTCCTTGTCTATAGTTCGAGTGATTGAAGGGAATATCTACAGTACCGGAAACCATCGTACTTGGGGCTCAATCAATTGTAATTTCCCCTTCCACCCAAGCATTGAGTCGCGCTTACCTTTTTTTTTCGCTCGTCATTCGCCATCCTTTTTTCACGTATGTCCATGGCGATGGGAAATCCACAGCTTTTGGATTTGTAGGTTATATACCCAATACCATTATATGTGGGTTATATACCCAATATCATTGGATTTGGGGGTTATGGCCCTATTACCATTATATCCCAGAAAAACACGATAAATATGACAAAAACCCCTTCTGGTTGGTCAAGCCTAGTCAACTCCACCCAATTTTACCGTCGGGTTGCTCCAGACGGGGGAAAGGGGGAAACGTCGTCGCCATTTGAGCTCTAGAATTCCACTTGTCCCCCCAAATGTAACGAATGTAATTGGGGGTAGAACCCTGACTTTAACCAATATGAAAATGCCTTAATCAATATGTTTACTAATATGGATATGGATCAATACCTATAGATACATTTTTAGTGGGATGAACATCCATAAATCCCAGCTATTTTGGGGTTCACTAGGGGTACCAGGGTTTTGACCCATCCCCATATGTTTACTAATATCACCAATTAACCGGTTCTCCAAACCACCGCTGGCTGATGATGATTTTTTGTGGATTTTACTACTAAATGATGATTGAATTCCCTGGATTGATTGGCTGGAAATTTCAACACAGTTGGATAGATTCTACTTGGTAATATGGGTAGATTATCACAACAATATCACAACCTCTGGTAAACGTTTACATAGCGAACTGGAAAATCAGCAGAAATTAAGAGGTAAATCCACTTAATTTCAATGGTCAAAAATTCAATAGCTATAGCAGCTATGTGAAAACTACTGGGATCCATGAAATGGGAAGTCCCTTTCAAACCAGCCAGCTTTTGAAGGGACAACTTGTGAAGACTGAGGCTGTTGCAGCTGAAGTGGCTCTGGAGCTTCAGCGGAAGTCGCAGGTCACAAAAAGGGGCTCGTTTGACCGGGGGGGTTGACCGGTTTGAGCTGGCAAAAGAAAAAACAAACGGGATTGAACCAGAAGATATGGTGAAGATGAGTGAAGTCGGCATGGAAAATTGGGGTGAACTAACTGGTGTTGGGTAGTTTAGTACTTTCCATCCCTTTGGGGAAGTGCTTTGGGGCAACACAGATGCAGGGTATCCCTACCAGTCTCAAATAGCAAATGATCTTCTGGAGACGAGTTGAACAGTACCTGATTTCTTGGATAGTTTCTTGGGTTCAACATGAACTGTCCTTTCTATGGGTTTGTTGAGGGTTGTCTCAAAAGCACGAAGCATATCTAGGCGATTCTTGGAGCCTCTCGAGTCCCAGCTCTGTATATCACATTGTATCTCCATTTTTCTTAGATTCTTGGTCATATCCGATAGTAGATTCCACAGTTACTTCCCAGCTATCTTGTTGATATCCGCCATGTTAAACCTATGTTTGCCTCTTTTCGTCCCAATTTTCTTGGTGAATAATGTATTCTTACGAACATGGGGTAGTGAATCATCATTTTCCCTATGCAAATGGCTATTTGGATCTATTTGGGTGGCATACACCATTTTTAGACACCCCTATATATATATATTTCTTCATATTTGTCCTATTTTCACCCATTTTCACAGCTCCAAGTTGGGAAGTCTCATGTGCCAAGATCGTCTAGGCGCTTCGCCACTATCTTGGCCACAGCAGCAGGGTCAGGACCCGCTGGCGTTCACGCGCAGAGTGTCCAGTACAACGCGCAGTTGGGAGGCGCCTTTGGAATGGGTGAAAACTTGGAAGTGGCACCAAGAACCAAATGGGCTTGTTTGAACATATGGTACCTCTAAATTCATTGGTTATATAATCATAATGTTTGATATAAATAGTACCGTTTAGGGCTTATGCACCTTTCTCAGAGAGACCCAAATATTGGGGGGAATATCACTAACTACCAGTTAGTTATTATATATATCTAGATAACTATTACCCTCAGGTAATCAAACATGACAATCGAACATCTCCATCTACAGTATAAGGGGTTTTCCAATTGCCTCGTTCGATTGCTGGAGGGTAAGTTTTACCCAATTTTGGATGGATAGATAATATTGCGAGTATGAAGTGGAATTCCCCAACAACCATCGGATATTATGAAAATAAATGGCAACATGTTTGGATCATTGGACCACTGGTTCATATTCAGTTGGTAATAGTCGATATTTTATATCAATGATATTGGAGGGATAACTGGGAAGTATGAACCAATTGCGATTTTTCATGGGTATGTCAAGTACATAGATATATGTAAACGGATATGAATTTTAAGCAGGGTTGCTCCAACCCACATTCTTTTTGTGATGATAGCCACAAGGGAAAATGGGTCATTTTACCTCTCTACATCCATTTTAGATAACTTTATCATCTATTTGGGATGTTGGGAGCAACCCTGTAAAGGGGAGCAGCTCCCCCAAAAAAAGTTTAGGTCTGGAGAACCAAATGGTTTCCCTGGGAAATGATCAAAAGTGAATTTCCATATCGCTTACTAAGCCCCTCTTACTGGGGGTGTGACCTAAATGGAAACCCTTCAAGTTCCATGAAGTTGTAAAGTGGAAGAGTTGGGACATGGTGAAGACATTCCTGATGAATCACCACTGCGGAATGGATTCGATTCGATCGCCAACATGTCTAGATGTTCGTTGCCTTTTTTGGGGGTAGGGGATCGGGAAAACACTAAAACTGGAACCGCAAGAGATTGCAAGTACCCAGCGGAAAATCGATTGGGATGGGCTGAAATGACCAGTCAGCGTGTATGCAGAATGCATGTATCCACAGGCTTAAGCTGTCCATATGTGCTGACATATATATATATATGTATATATATATATATATTGTGTCTACCCACTGGTCATGCTGGGTAGGATTGTTATTTGTTACATGTTTTGACCTTTTTTGACCTTTCAAAACTTCAATGTCTTGAGCCTTTTTTGGGTCTTGACCTCCATCCTCTGACCGACCCGGGAAATCCCAGGTCACATGACCCGTATCCCCAGGCGACCTCAATGAAGCCCAGAAGACGAAGATCAAGGACAGCGGTGCTTCGAAGCGTCAAAACAGAGCGACGACACTGCGTCAGAACTGGTGCATGGAATGCGTGACGACGTGTTTTCGTCGTTTTTGTTGACCTGTATCCTGCGAACACCAGAGACTCCACCCTTCCGGTGATTCTAGTGATGTGGAGGGGTTTGGAGACTGCAACATTGCTGTCTATACCTACAATGCAAGCATCACAGGCTCTCACGAGCACTGGCTGCCAAAAGTTTGGGAGGGGCTAAAGCACCAAGAACGGGAGTATAAACTGAACTTGCAATATACTTGCCATCAGTATCAAGTGATATCAAATTGGTGGTTTCATACACACTTTCTTCTTTACATCCCTGGTGAAGAGAATCCCAGTTGACCAAAATTGGTTGGCCATTAAATATTCGAATTAAAACTCATTCTATCTCCCTCACTAGAAATATGACGGGTAGAACATGTTTGCTTGCTAGATTGATGAGATTATATGATTTGCAATTAGTTTTAAATGGAGAAATCTCCTCACCAGCTGAGGTGTGACATTTTTGTATAAGGGGGCTCGTATCCAAACTCGCCTTGGCCGTGATGACACCTTTTGAGCAGATCTGAAAATAAATGGAGGGGATGGTGCCTGGTGCCAATGACAAACTCAAAAATGTTCAGAGATTTGGACGGTTCAGATGCCACTAGCTTCGTTTATTTTGGACACATCCACAGAGACGTAGAGCAATCAGAATATATCACAGCCTCGTCCACTAGTTTCATATGTTTTTGACCATATATCACTAACATGTTTGTTTTAGATGGTGCCTCAATATCATCACTTATATTAAGCATATTCAATTATAAAAGAGTTAAGCATAAAATACTGAGACATAGTATATATATATGTTTACATAATGCAGACACTACCATTGGTTGATGGTTTATTCAGCAAAACATCGCCCCAGCACCAGAGGGTTCCGGGATGGTTCCGACTGCCCCAATGTCCGGAGGAATACCTTGCGAAGCAGCAAGCTTCCACCGAACCAGTCTCAATAGGCGCGGGGTCCCGGCTTGATATTTGGGTATACCATGGTATACCGATTATTGAAGGGTTGTTTACCCTCTGCCAATTTAACATAGCTATGGAAAAACACCATTCTCAAGGTACAAGACATCTATAAATTGGCAAAGCTCATATTTTCCATGCATGGCTAATAGCATAGATTACTGGAGGGTAATATGGCTTAGTCGTTTGCCATCATTGTGGAGTTATATCAACCAGGCCCAAAAAACACGTCTCTTGCATATCTCAGACTAGCCATTTATGTGTGTGGTCAGGAAGACACGGGCCCTTTCACGTTATCTGCGTTTGTTTGGAAGTAGTCATGTCCCAAGCTGGTTGGTGGTTTCAAACACTTTTTATTTTCCATAATATATGGGGTACTGTAATCCTTCCCATTGACTTTCATATTTTTCAGAGGGGTGGCTCAACCACCAACCAGATAGTACTACTGGGCAGCTGTGGAGGCTACAAGTGAAGCTGGCGAATTATCCCAACGATAGCCCTATTGCTTACAAACTCAATACTCTCTGGTTATTTAACAGCTTGCTATGGTATAGATGGCCCATTTATAGATGATGTTCCCAGCTAGAAACCTCCATTTATAAGAGATTTTCCATGGCTATGTTAAATAACCGGATGGTATATCCCATAATCTATTAGTATATTCCATTCAACTCCTACCTTGCCCATTGTTCCTGCTGATAATCCCATCAAAATATCTGGTGGAAACAAAAGCGGCCCACAAATCTGAGGGCAGAACACATTGAATCTTCTTGCAACATTTGCACAAGATTTGGCTGCCAAACATGAACCCAGCTACAGCCCCATAAAGATACATCTGGAGGAACGAGACTCCTGCCCGTACCTCCCGCCAGCGCCAAACATTTGGGCAAAACCGGCAAAACCGGCAAAACCTGCATAATGTTAATTACACATGTCCAGCAAGAAAGTCATCTCTGGAGCCAAGGCAAATTCGGTGATAAAACCATTGTTGCCTCAAAATTGTTCCCATTTGATTCCCTACTCCAAGTCCGTAAGTGGGTAGGAATCCACATCCATACATGCATATACATGCATGCATACATACACCCATCCATCCATCCATCCATCCATCCATCCATCCAACTGGCTTGTTTTTTCGTGTTCCAACCCTAAGGCGTCCTGGCGCCAAGCATCCCCGAGCTGTTTCCCAGGCGACCACACCATGAAGGTCTACGAGCCCCCCACGGCCGAAGAGCTCACCCCGGGCAGCAGCCCCTTCCGGGCACGGGTGGCTCTGCTGAAGCAACGCCTGGGAGAACGGCTGGTGGCGGTGCCGGAAGGACTGGAGATGATCAAGAGCCTGGGATGACACATTCTTGGCCAGCCCGGGGGGTATGAATGGGTCAGATATGTATACGTATGTATATATATATGTATATATATATGTATGTATGTATGTATAATATATATATATATAATGTAGGCTGCCTAATAGTAAATCCCACCCTCCCTAAATAAAATATGTTTAAACAAAATTAGGGGGGGTCAGCATTCCAATAGTAATTTTTTGGAACCTTATAGCTGGGATCATGATATGTATCTGATAGATTCTCCATGGTTTTGTTGGGTTTCTGATAGATTCTGAATGGATTTGGTTGGGTTTCTGAGAGATTGGCGAAGAGTTGGGAAAGGAGAAGGAGGAGAAGGAGAAGGAGAAGGAGGACAACAAAATTGGAGTTGCGGAAAAAAGTTTCCACTATTGCCATGCCTGGTGCAGGTTTGTTATTGCTATTCTGGGGCTTGCAAAGGGGGTACCCTTTGTGGACCTGTTTTCTTGCTTTTTTTAATAAGGGTTTTATAAGGAAATCAGCTGTTTGGTAATTGGATCGGATTTACTATGAGGCAGCCTACATTACAATACAATCTTGGATTTGCTGATGATTTTTGATTTTTTCCATGGGAAATCCACTACTGGGGGAATCTATAGGGAGTATTCTTTTTTGTGGGTGACAAATCCACGTAATAATATATATATATATATAATTATATATATATAATTATAATTATATATATAATTATATATATATATATATGTATGAGTGTATGGTATGGGGTACCGTAAGTCCATATCCACCATGAGTTTTCCTCTGAAGCTTCTCAGGAAGGGTGCTCTTCTGGTGGATGTTCGAACGCGTGAACAAATCCAGAGCCAGACCAATGGACGCATTCCACAGGGTGCCATGGTTCTTCCCTTGGATGACTGGGTGGGCCGGGTGCCACCTGTGATGGCTGGAAAGAAAATTCTGCTGACTTGTTGGAAGGGGAACAAGAGTACCCTGGCCTGGGAAGCTTTACGAGCTCAATTCGCAGACGCCTATGTGCTGGATGGTGGATACAATGCGTGGGAGGCCGCTGGACTTGCTACACAAAGCATTTAAGAAGCTGTACAGGGGCACAAAGACCCAAGCTGTTGCTTCTTTTGGATCACTATGATCACTCCTGTTGAAATGGTCAAAATGACTTATTGACTTCTGGTGTATTTCCAATTTCTCATAAACGTTATAGATCTAGGGGATCTACAATAATAGTAGTGGTTTGTGGCATATTTAGTATGCCCTTACTTTGGAACATTTATACAGCGCCAGACAATCAATGAATGGGGATCGTTTCTTTCCCAACCAATTTGAGATACACCATGATACACCAAAGGCCAAGGCCCGGGCAATTTGCCACAGGAATCAATGTCTTGACATGGCAAAACACTGCCCTTTTCCAGCGTGTCTGGAGTAAAGGACGTGGCCCGGATAAAATATGAAAAAAACATCAAATTAAGTAAATTATATACTCTACTTCGTGTGATCCCCACCAGGACGTATATTTGGACATATATTTAGTATATTCTGACATCCTATCTGACATATATTCTGGCATATATTCTGGCATTCTATCTGGCATATATCCTGACATTCCACCTGGCATTCTATCTGGCAGTCTATCTGGCATTCTATCTGACATATTTTCTGACATTTCATCTGACATATATTCTGGCATTCTACCTGTCATTTATTCTGACATATATTCTGGCATTCTATCTGACATATATTCTGGCATATATTCTGGCATTCTATCTGGCATTATATCTGACATATATTTTGGCATTCTATCTGACATATATTCTGGCATATATGTTGGCATTCTATCTGGCATTATATCTGACATATCTGGCATTCTATCTGACATATATTCTGGCATATATTCTGGCATTCTATCTGGCATTCTATCTGGCATCCTATCTGACATATATCTGGCATCTATCTGGCATTCTATCTGGCATTCTTTCTGGCATTCTTTCTGGCATTCTATCTGGCATTCTATCTGGCATCCTATCTGACATTCTATCTGGCATTCTATCTGGCATTCTTTCTGGCATTCTTTCTGGCATTCTATCTGGCATTCTATCTGGCATTCTTTCTGGCATTCTTTCTGGCATTCTATCTGGCATTCTATCTGGCATCCTATCTGATCTGGCATTCTATCTGGCAGTCTATCTGACATTCCTACATGAGGTCCGGCAGGGAACACTTGGCATGGATACTCGCGGTTGAGGTCCGGCAGGGAACACTGGGCCGTGGTTGAGGTCCGGCAGGGAACACTGGGCGTGTATGGCCGTGGTTGAGGTCCGGCAGGGAACACTGGGCGTGGATGGTCGTGGTTGAGGTCCGGCAGGGAACACTGGGCGTGGATGGTCGTGGTTGAGGTCCGGCAGGGAACACTGGGCGTGGATGGTCGTGGTTGAGGTCCGGCAGGGAACACTGGGCGTGGATGGTCGTGGTTGAGGTCCGGCAGGGAACACTGGGCGTGGATGGTCGTGGTTGAGGTCCGGCAGGGAACACTGGGCGTGGATGGTCGTGGATGAGGTCCGGGAACACTGGGCGTGGATGGTCGTGGTTGAGGTCCGACAGCGAACACTGTGGATCGCGAGTCGCAGTTGAGCAGGAGGACGAGGAGGACAACGAAAGGAGGAGGAGGAGAGGAGGACGAGCCAGGAGGAGGCGGAGGAGGAGGAGAAGGAGGAGGAGGAGGAGAAGGAGGAGAAGGAGGAGGAGGCAACTGACATAAAATCTAACAACCCTCACCTGGCAGGTGGGGAACTAATTATAATTTTATAATATGTATATATATATATAAATTATATATGGTCATATCTGTCAGTAGATTGTGCAAATTCAATTTTGATCAGTGAATAATGCATTGACTACGGCCTAGACGAAGGATGTTGACATCGGTCTGTATGGAATTTCCCCGAAAACTTAGGAATGAGGTTACGAAACAGGCATTTTTTTCTACAGAATTTGAGGTGGTTCATAATTATGTTATGTGCCGAAAGGGAGGATCCATTGATTTTCTGGAGACTTTGCGTACTTGGATTTTTATTAATTTTTGATATTGGTATTTAATTGTTTAATTAGTGGTATATTTATATATTCTGATTATATATTTTTAATTTTTTTGAATTTTAATTTTATTTGATATTAATATATATATATATACTAGGGTCGGCCCGCTGTTTCCAACAGCGGGAGGTTTACGTTAAGTATGTTGAACAAATCCCAAAAAATTATTCCCTTTCGAGTTAGGGGGGTGGGGTTGGAGTTACCCATTTAGTAGTAGTCTCGGTATTTTTCTCTACAAAATGATTTGACTCAATCTACAAAATGGGCTGCCTGGAAATTTCTTTACAAAGTACCTGGCCTTGGATAGGCCTTTTCACTAGAAAATAAGTACTGAAAATTAGTTAAAACAGGATTGATTTTGTTTTTTTCATCAAAATGGTTTTCAAAGGTTTTTTTTAACCATTTTTTAAGACCCAATTTGTAGACTAAAAACAGGCTCCGAGGGGCCCTGAGCAGTTTGAAAAATCAAAAACCACTTTGCGTAATTAATTTCGAGATATCCATTTTGTAGTAAACCCAAAACACACCAAGAACCCAATTTGAGGATGCCGTCTGGCACAAAAATATTCGCTCATTTTTCTTGCAGCTGCACCGATTGTCTCGCTGTGCCATGGCCTCTCACCCGCTTGCGCAGGCAACCAGAGATTGGAATGCAGCACATTGATACACATGTTCAATACTCAGACGTGTCTCAATAGTCAGCCCGTGGCAATCGGAACATATTTTGGCTTGAAATTTTGGCGTTAAGATGGCACCGCCAGGGTTATCATCACTTCTGCGCGGTTCGCTTGTGTGACGGGGGCGTTGAAGCACCAGCATGGGATATTGCGCGGGGATGTTGGTGTATCTTAACCCAAGGTTAGGGATGGTTAGGGAATATAACGAAGATCCATGAAGATCCAAGGCAACAGAATAGGTCCAACCTGGCCGGGCCAATGTACCAAGACACTTGCACCAGTAAGAGTGATGATAGCTTTCTTCACCTTGAGGCCGGTCATGATCTTGTTGCACCGTATGACTCAGACCAGCGCCGCAGGAATGAGTGGTACCTCTATTGGGTGTACAAAATAATTTTATTCCATAATAACACTACAAAATGAGTTACCATTGGGTATACAAAACGATTTTAACTTATAAAAGCACTACAAAATGGGGTGCCTAAATCTGCCAGTCCATTCCTCCCAATTTTCTCGAGCACATGGCAAAAAATAAAAAATATGTAGACATATATGGATGAATAACATCTAAAATAAATTAAAATATAATAATATTCCGAAATTAAATGGGGAAGGGTTAGAGCTATCCGTTTAGTAGGGGGTGGGGTTGGAGCCACCCATTTAGTAGTGGCCCCGGTATTTTTCAAAAATATCAAAACATAGTTTTTCCTCATATTTTCTATTCTATCATATTCCCTAACCATCCCTAACCTTGGGTCAAAATGCGCCAACATCCCCGCGCAGTATCCCACACTGGTGCTTCAACGCCCCTGTCACACAAGCGAACCGCGCAGAAGTAATGATATCCCTGGCGGTGCCATCTTAACACCAAAATTTCAAGCAAAAATGCTCCGGATACCACGGGCTACCTATTGAGATACGTCTAACTATTAAATATTATTAAGACACAACATACGTTCTTACTTTTCTATATATTTGTCTGGCATTGTTTTTAATAAATATTTTTTCTCCATTTCAATTTTAATAAAAAACACAATAGATTCACTACAAAATACAGGGGTTCCAATCTTGAAAAATCCGCAATGGGATTTGGTAATTTCACTACAAATTACCTGGCCTTAGAAAGTCCCTTTTTCGATCAAATTTCTATCTTTATCCATAGGCCCCGGTATTTTTTTCTACAACATAATTTACTATCCAAAGTTAAAGTAGGCCTTAGACCTTTTCACAAGGTAGCCTCACTACAAAATAACCCATAAACACTCATTTTGTAGGGGCCTTAAGGCCACCCATTTTAAATAAGAAATTCGAATAACAAAAAAACAAATAATTAATAACCAAAATCAAAAAAACAATAACAATACCACCACCAAAAACCACAACCAACAACAACAACCAACAACAACAACAAACAACAACGACAACAACAACAACCACAACAACAACAACAACAACAGAAACAACAGCAACAACAACAACAACAACAAAACAACAACAAAACAACAACAAAACAACAACAAAACAATAACAAAACAACAACCAGAACAACAACCAGAACAACAACCAGAACAACAACCAGAACAACAACCAGAACAACAACCAGAACAACAACCCCAACAACAACAACACCACCACCACCACCACCAACAACAACAACACCAACACCAACGTCAACGCCAACGCCAACGCCAACGCCAACACCAACACCACCAACAACAACAACAACAAGAACAACCAGAACAACCAGAACAACCAGAACAACCAGAACAACCAGAACAACCAGAACAACCAGAACAACCAGAACAACCAGAACAACCAGAACAACCAAAACAACCAGAACAACCAGAACAACACCAACACCAACACCAACACCAACACCAACAACACCAACACCAACACCAACACCACCAACACCAACACCAACACCAACACCAACACCAACACCAACACCAACACCAACACCAACAACAACAACAACAACAACCACAACCACAACCACAACCACAACCACAACAACAACAACAACAACCACAACCACAACCACAACCACAACCACAACCACAACCACAACCACAACCACAAGTACAAGCACAAGCACAAGCACAAGCACAAGCACAAGCACAAGCACAACCACAACCACAACCACAACCAGAACCAGAACCAGAACCAGAACCAGAACCAGAACCAGAACAACAACCACCACAACAACAACAACAACAAGAACAACAACAACAACAACAACAACAACACATCGACGAGAGACCTACCGAGCGACAGTGGACGCAAAACCAAAGCTCCCAGAAGACCCTTTTTCGAATGGAACTGAAAGACCGACCGAGCGACAGTGGGGCCAAAAGTGCACTCAAAAGAGTGATAGACGCATGCGGTACATTCAGAAAAACGGAAACGTAAAACGAAAGCGCAACT